GTTACAACTGTGTCCACTGTCTTCTCTCACTGCTTTGCTGTCTTCATTTCCTTCTGCATCTTCAAGTCAAATGGTTTGTTGACATATCATCGCATGTTTCTCCTAAGACTGGACAGCCTCAGCACACACCTAAAAATAATATAAAAGGATTTGTGATGGAAAAACGTCCCCAGGCAACACTTAATAACCAAACTAATGATGGCATCATGCAATTCAACTATCCCATTGATTGAATAGATTTTGAAAGAGTTAGGCTCTAGAAAACTGCTTTTAAAAGTGTTACAAAATGTATTGTACTTGTAGCATGTTACACCTTAGAGTTCTTATTGATGATAACATGTGAGGCTAGGAATAAGTCATGTAAGTTGTCAAGCAAGTTGCTTGAATCGATGCACAGAAAGATAGGCTTTTCAAAGTGTTACTGGTAGCAGGCTATGCCACAACTCTTAATAAGACATAGGAAAAATCTATGACACTGTTGTTAAGCATTGTCTCACCTGCATAACCAGGTACAAACTCTGTGTCTTCAGGTCAACTGGTTTGCTCAGCCGTCATCGCAGGTTTTTCCCAGTCAGGACAGGAACGTCAGGACACACCTAACTAATATAATGAATAATTAGTGTGATGTGTGATACTCCCCAAAAAAATTTTACAGGCTAGGTGACTATGAAAGATAATGATAAAATCCTTCAATTTAACTATCTCTTTGCTTAGATGATGCTTGCGGTTGATTGATTGCTTAGATATGTACAATGTGTTAAAAGTAGCTTCTTATTGCCTCTCAGTTCTTAATACACAGAAAAAAATGAAGTTGGAAAGCATTGTCCCACCTGTACAAACTCTTCACTCTGTCTTCAACTTCAAAGTCAGCTGTCTCATCTAGCCTGGTTTGGACAGGAACATCAGGACTGCTGACCCTATTATACCTAGTACATAGTTATAAAAGAACAATTGATGCCAGGTACATGACTATTGTATATGAATGGGTAACTAGCTACCAGGTAAAGATGAACTCTTACATGTATGCGACCTTTTACTTTGCCTCTTCCTAGAAATGTTGACAAGTGCTCAAGAAGTCTATTATATATATACTAGTCATTTATTCAAGTCAAAGGCAATACAAAATTAATGTGAAAGAGATTTTGCTACATGTGTGTTATTTTTAAGTGTAACACATAAAGGAAGAGTGCTAGAGTCAAACAGATCAACTAGAGTCAAAAGTAATCATTATCTCACCTGTGGATGTTGTTGTCATCTTGCTCTTGTGTCTCTAAATCACCCCATCTGGTCCAATCTTCTCTTGTCAGGTCCAGACAGTAGTCTGCAATACTGCATCAGTCAGCAGCCACCTAACTATACAAACATTAGAAGTTACACACTTGTCTCAAATAACATCAAATAGCTGTAGTTAAAATGCAGAATTGGGATTTTTTCTCACCTGATATTCCTCTTGGGTCTTCAAATCATCTGGTCTGGTCCAATCTGTCTTGTCAGGTACAGGCAGTAGTGCCCACTACTGCATCAGTCAGCAGACACCTAACTATACAGACATTTACAGAAGGTTACACATTTGTCTCAAATAAGACCAAATAGCTGTAGGTAAAATGCATAATTGGGATTTTTCTCACCTAACAGATATTCCTCTTGGACCTTCAAATGTCCAGCATTATTCTGATGTGGTCCTATGTCGGGTTCAGACAACAGTCTTCACTACTGCATCAGTCAGCAGGCACCTAAAACTAATAAAAAGTATGCAGACATTAGAAGTTATACATCTGCTTCAAGTAAGACCAAATAGTTGTAGGTAAAATGCGGAATTCAGATTTTTCTCACGTGATATTCCCCTTCGGTCTTCTAATGATTTGGTCCATTCTTCTCTTGTCAGGTTCAGACAGTAGTCTTCACTCCTGTATCAGTCGGCAGCCACCTAACTATGCAGACATTACAAGTTACACACACTAGTACTCGTCTCCAATAGTACCAAGTAAATGGTAGGTAAAATGCAGAATTGGGATTTTTCTCACCTGATATTCCTCTTGGGTAATCAAATCATCTGGTCTGGTCCAATCTGTCTTGTCAGGTTCAGACAGTATAAGTCCTCACTACTGCATCAGTCATCACCTAACTATATACAGACATTAGAAGTTACACACTTGTCTCAACTCAAATTAACTGTAGGTAAAATGCAGATTTCAGATTTTTCTCACCTGATGATATTCCTCTTCAGTCTTCAAATCATTCGTCCAATCTGTCTTGTCAGGTTCAGACAGAAGTTCTCACTACTGCATCAGCCATCATCTAACCATACATACATTATAAGTTGAACACTTCTCTCAAATTAAAAACTAGCAATGCAAACACACACCTTAAACTTATATATCTTTACTTTAAAATAAACACATACCTCGAAAACTGTACATAATGACCACAAAAATCGTGGATAGACACAACAATAAAAAAAATCAACCCCCTTTAACTGAAACTTTATGTGGAATACGAAAGCACTCGGCGCAAAATGTTTTGAAAACAGGAATTGCTACCTTCCAGCATAGTCAACTGTAGTGTTTGTGAGGTTTGCGGAAAAAGCAGTCCAGTCCTATGTGGGGGTGGAAAAGCAGTCCAGTGGTTTCTACGAAAGACCATAGGTACAATTTGTGTGTGTGTGTGTGTGTGTGTGTGTACATGTGTGTGTGTGTGTACTTCCAGTTTCTATGGGTACTTAGATTTTCTATGAGTACGGTCTGCCTATTTTATAATACCGGAAAACACCGGAAAAACACCGGAAAACACATATAGGAGCGGATTAGTAACTGTGTGTAAACAAAGCGTAGGGTACGGATGGACGTAGACAAGTGCAAGTGAAAATCAATAGTGTTTAGTTGGGCCGTTATCTCATCAATGCAAGGTGTATTCCGGTAGAATTAAGCCTCCTATATGTGTTTTCCGGTGTATTCCGGTAAATAGGCAGTTCCGTGTTTGTGCCAGAAATACGTGGTCTTGGTCATTTTAATACTATTTTTACTGAATTGCTCTCAAATGGAAACGAACAAGCTTTTAAATTGTACATGATACATTGCAGGTGATAATTGCAGAACGAAAGTATAGTCACCTCGACATAACTAGTTTTCAACCGTTTTGTATCGTATTCATGGCGTCCTGAAGCTTTGAGGCCACCATCCTGTTTACGCAAATTTTTGGCGGGAAAAACAACTAATTATGTACACGGCCACATTCCAACAGGTGTTTTGAACCACGTGGAGATAAAGAAAAAGTTTTGGTCGATACACAATTTCTTTCAACGAATATAACCTCAAAACGCTGAACAACTGACTAAAAAGACATGCACACACATTGTATATAATATATTACACTCTACAAGCGCACCACACATTGAAAATGTTGTTGAAAACGCGGCAACTTGATACTTTGCTAAGCCTGTCTAAAATTAGGAAGGGCCGCTCCCTACTACAGAAATAGGTAATTTCTTACGGAATATAACTTGACATGTTCGTACTAGTTGCTAAGGAATAATGTCAGCTAAACAATGTACTGGTTTACCTGCAACAATGAGTGAAGTCGCTACTCTTCCCAACTGTCTCGCCATTTTTGTCTTCTCCAAAATTCGCCAGGTGAAGAAATCCGCACTTTCTCTTCAAAACATCACCAGAACGGTACAAATCCTCGGCGAACATTCCCAGACATTCTGCTGCACACTTACTAAGACATTCAATAGACGAAAACGTCTAAAAAGTACCCAGAACTTTGTGAAAAAATCAGCCCAGAGTATTCCCGTCGTACGAACTCGCCATTTTGAATGGAACATACCAAACTTGTTTTTACACAGGTGTGCAGAACGGCCGTGCATAATTAATGTGAAGTTGGTAATCCATCATGAGATACCTTTACAAGCCGCTAGGGGGTCCAAAATCTAATCATTTCCAAGTCTCATTAAGACCTATCCACCTACCAAGTATCAAGGTAATCCATTGAAGCCTTCTCAAGTTATCGTGTCTACAGAAACAGAAACACACACACACACACACACACACATACACAGACACATACACACATACACGAACGCCCCTGAAAACATAACCTTCTTGGCGAAGGTAAATATAACCCCCATGACATGACATGCAGGTAATAAAAACTAGAAAGGTAACATTTGCAAAGCAAATGCATAATGTTTAACAATATTTATTTATTATGTTTACCGAAGCCCAGTCACTATGCTTTTGATCGAAGTATTTGTGGATACGCACCATGCGCCCGCGTTTTGCTTGTATGTATGTCGTAACATTGATTACTGGTTATTTTTAACGTCTGATTTAACGGTTCCGGTTGTCATTCTGAGTTTCATTGCGAGTTCTTTGCGGCAGATTAAATAGAATTTCATAAGTTCGTGGGTACATGTTCTAAGCTGCAGATGAAAATGTTGACCTGTGTTAACACAACCTGGAACGCTAAGTCTAACACATAAGATTTAACACCATCAACTATACATAACAAATAACATATAAGAATATACAATAAAAAGCCCGGAGGTATAAAATCTCAGATTTTTCTTGTTGTTAATTATAAAGACAAAATGTCCATTCGGCCGTGCCCATGGTAAGAAAAAAAATCTGATAAAAATATGATACTACATACTATTGATATAACACAGCAAAATTAGAACATTCCTCACGTCTGATTATTTAAATTGACCTTGGTCTCTCCAACAGTTATTCGTCTAAAAAATCATGAACACAGAAGTTGTAGTAATATACGCAAAAGCCAAAACGTTCATATCGAATTTTATTGTAATCAACTCAAGATATTAAACAGAGTGAACAGATTAGACGCAGAGCAATCTGTATGAAAAACATGTGCACACCAAACAATAAAACATTTGACAAATTTCCACAGTTTCTTCAAAATCATTTTTAAGTTGTGCGTTGTGCTATTATCTTTATATCTAAAAACACTGAAATGCATTTGTACATTAAAGCATAAAGATTTTCAAAGTCTTAGATATTCCTGTTCCCAAAATATCATATCTGATACAAAAGATAATGTATTACATGACTGTCAGTCATACTGTCAGTTTTTGAGATAAACTAATAAATTAAAACATTTTAACATCACAGCAATCAAAATAAATCATAATTATATTATAAGTCCAGCTGTTGTTGACCATAGACAAAGTTCTGGATGTTCGTGTTCCAAAATATCATCTGACACAAATGCTAGTACATTACAAAACTTATATACGTGATGAAAATGAAAATTATACCGACAGCTCTTTGTGATAAATCAATTAAAATAATAGATTTGAACATCACAGCAATCAAAAATAAATCTTAATTATATTAAGCTTCTTCTCCGTTGTTGACAACAATCTCAGTCCCACATGCTAGGATCCCTCCTCTTGTGCCCAGGGCCCCGTGGTAGTTTCGCTATTTCAGCATCAGTCCGGGAGAACGGGTTGAGACCTAAAAGAAAGTACAACAATCAAAATCAATCAAAGCACAGCTATTTTGGAATTTATATTGAAAGTGTAATTTCAAATTTCAAATTGGTAAAATTGTGTCCTAAAACAGGATGAGGCCATAACTGACCTATATTACTTTTTTCAAATGAAATTTATGTAGATCACTGTTACCAGTAGCTTCATTCTTTAGTTAAATAATTTAATTTACTATGTTTAAAACACAATCAAAATTAATACAAAAAATATATTTCGATGTTTGTCAAGCAATAGTATATAAAGCCCGGTTTTACACCGCTTCTTTCATGTGCATGCTGGTTCACCTCCCCAGCAATCAACTGTCAAAATCACCTCTTTTAAGTGCAACCAAAAGATATTACGACAGGCAAACCCTTAAACTCAAGCAATGTAAAACAATACATGTACCTCCATAATCTGAAGTAAAACCACATTTTAATATCAATCTCGCTTACCTGAAGCTTCAGCTCCGATGGCTGGCTGGGCGAAGCGTTGTTTGGCACGCTGTAAGGCCATCTGCCGTTTCTCTGCCAGTTCGTCGGTGATGAGTTCAACATTAGTGGGAGTTACTGGTGTCGGGATCCTCTCCGGTTCAGGGGTGGGCGCGAAGGCTGTCTCCTCGGGCACCTTGAATAAAACATTAAAGTCATGTCCCAAGTAATGACAAATTCTTATTTCTTTTGTTTTATTGATATGTTTGATTTTTAAATAAGTTGTTGAAGGGAGGCCTTTACATCAGCATATTGAGCTTTCGTCCTCCCTTGCACTGTTATATTTCATAAATATTTACTTGTTTATGTATTTGTTATCTTTTTTGTGCGAGTAAATAAAAGAAATCAATACAAACCTTCTCAATGACGCTACTATCTGACGCTCGCCGTGCCACGTCAGACGAAGGTACAGCCAGGAACGTCGATGACCCTTCCAGGACGCCGACAGAGTTCCTGCGGCTGCTGAGGTTGATGGGAGACCGCCGCATGGGCTCCATGGCTGCCGCCGGGTGCAGCCTCTTGGTCGCAGCATCGGCCTTGGTGAATCCAGTGGGTCCTTGTGGCACCGGAGGTCTTGGAGCCGGCTTTTTGACTGCATCTATTGGTATGGAGTAACAAAAAACATTAGCGAGCACTATAAAGTCATTAGAATATGTATGTCTAAAGACTCTAAAGATTGAATCGAACAAAAGTTAAATTTGATTTAAATTATTGAAGTACTTTTGTTTCAGGACTTCCAAGTTCACCCCTGACCTCTTGAACTCCTGTTATCTGGTTGTCAATCTTTCCCATCCACGTTCTGTCAACCTACTCTCAAGTTTGGCCTATTCATTGTGTCTGACATTTTGACTCCATGCCAGACTGCCTGTCAATCTTTCCCTCAACCTACATTGTACAAGCCCTCAATCTACTCTCTGAACAGATATTATACAAACTCACAGCTCAGCCACCCAAAACAATACTCCCATACCCAAAAATAAGTCTCTGTACGTTATTGAAACCGAATTTGATCAAACTGAAAAACATGACTAACCTTCACCCGACAAGGCCATGGGCCCTAGGATCCCTTCTGGAGGCAGGCGTTCCTTCTTCAGGAAGGTCTCTTTCCCCTTGGTCTCATCTTGCGGACTCTCCAGGCTCTTGTTGAGTTTCTTGATGTGATAGCGTTTCCTGATGGTGTAAACAGTACAGCATTGGTTAGTACATTCCTTCAGGAAATAAAATCGTTTACTTTTCCATACAGCTATCTTATACAAGACTATTAAGTGTTTTATGTGAGGACTCATCGTATCAATCTGATCTACAATCATGTAATGTTGAATTCTCTCCAATTAACAATCATATGTTTATTTGCTTATCTTTTTGAAATTCACAAGATTAAATTCTTAGTAGGCCATTAGTAGATTGCTACATGTGTTGTAATGTACTTAGTATGTACTTATGCATGTAATTATGTATTTCTCCCAAGGTTCATTTATAAAAAATCTTAGTAGTGGGTCATTCTTGACTATGTATATACATGTACCTGCATGCCAGCAAAACAAACAAATAAACTAATCAGTATGTCTGCTCACCAGTATTACATATATGTATAATACTGTACAGGATATAATCAATAAATGTGTACTTACTTGAGCTGCCTGTATCTGTAGTAGACAGCCCCAGCAGTTATGGATGCGGCGAAGGACAAGACAATGAGAGCAATCGCCCAGGGCGGCAGGACCTCACAGTTAGGGTTCGAGTCTGGACACTGGCACCTACAGGAAAAAAATGGCATTGTACAATTGTAACTGACTGCTTGCAATTGTAAGTATTGCAAGACTTAAGATCAGAACCATGTTAATATACAAGACCTTCCGAAATCGAACTAGATGCAGACACGTACTTGGCTCCTAGAGGGCGCTGCTCATTCTATGTTCAGACTATGTATCTGAGAACTAATGTCAATATTTGCAGTACTATGTAGTTCTTGCATAGGCGTGAATGTGTCAGGTTTACTCTTGTTAAAAGGGAAAAGCAAGAAATAAATTGTAGCAGCTGTGGACTATCTCCTTACCAGTAGTGGTCGAGTCCATCGCGACATTCCTTTGGCCAATGGCAGGGGTTGGACACACACTCGTCAAAGTCCGTCTCACAGTAGCGGCCCACCCAGCCGGGGAGGCACTCACACTCATACCCATCATATCCATCCGCACGTTTGGTGTGCGTACAGTTCCAGTCATCCTCAATTCCTGTAATAGTGGGTGAAATATTGTTTCAAATGTAATCGATCATACTGTTGATCTACGTGATGTTACTATGAAGGAACCCCTCTCTTGACATCTTTTTTCTAGTCTTGAACATATGTGAAATGGCATCAGTAACAATTTACCTTTTCTGTCAAAATTCAAATGTTTGCTTCATACTGAAGATAATCTCAAGACACTTAAGCTCAATGAAGAGCTAACTATTCACTGGTGGTGGAAAGAAATACAGATGCTACATGTACAACAAACGTTCATTGTACCAAGGAAATTCTTCAAAGCCCTTTTTGTCAAATACAATGAACAGTACATATAGTAGATCCATAGACAACACCTTGAAATCCCATTCTACTGCAATCCTTTATAGTAGTTTGAAAGTCGGGAGAGCGACAGCAGCTGTAATTTAAACTCTAGACCAGCATCAGCATCTGAACCAGAAGTACTCATCTACATACTACACAGTTACCACTGTAAACAATTGATTAAAATGTTTTGCAACACTTTTTGTAAACTGCAAAAACAACCATTCATGTATGGTGAAGGTTATCATACCTTTGCAGGTAGCGTTGTTGACGCAGGGCATGTTGAGAATGTGCATGTCGAAGATGAGACGCTCTGAGTACGCCCCTGCCGCATCTATCCCGATCAGGATAAACTCATCATGGCCGTAGAAGTTCTCTATAGGGACGTACGTCAGACGTGCCTTGATGAAAGTTCCTTCTGGTGGGATCTCTGTTAGACAACATAACAGATAACACATGTAGTCAATGACTTCATGTTCCTAGGAAGTTATAGATATAAGGTTTAGAGTACATGTAAGGAAACTGATAAAAAATGTCTCTGTCACAAAGGAAGAAATCCGACTGTCTGTACCATGGTAGTTTCAGCATTTTTTTACTGTAGATGTTTATGGTGAATTGCATATGGCGAAATTTATATATTTTGAATAGACAGCATAATTGTAGCTGATATTTACAAATGTATGTAATATTGTTAATGTTCTAATCGAGGCTATGTACTCATTTCCATCTGAGTGAAGTGAGGAAAGTCATGTAAAGTGCCTTGCCCAAGGACATAAGATCGGTGACATGGGAGGATTTAAACCTAGGGCCACTTGGTTCTGAGTCAAACACTCTGCTGTTACGTCACTACATTGGCAAATGTCACCTTAAAATCTGTGTAGAAATTGTTGTTCACTTAGCCTTATTGCACGGTTACAGTCATAGTCAAGTTTGATTTTTTCCCATACCTCTATTAAATTTTCTATTTCCATACATTTTGTCGACTTTACAAATTTTACCTTAAACCTTACGCAAATCATACTTTACCTGAAGGATCTGGTTCTAACATATCGATGTAAGCTGTTCCAAACGTGGCGTTGTACTGTTCCACCTGGAGGGTGTCGTAGTTATCAGGGTCCCACACTGTCACCACTATCTGGTACGGCTCGTAGTAGATGTTGGTTTCAATGTTCTGTTCAACAGTCACCTGTATAGGCAAATGGAACATAATGCGTTTAGTCCCAATTAAAAACTGTTGAATAGTCAGCAAAGTCTTTTGTATAATATGTATGTAGTTCTTACTCTCCAAGCAAAGGTTAGGCCTTTTTTGCCAGAATATACACTGACAGACAAAAAGCATACAATGGCTAAAAGTCTAAAATTGACTACATATGCTAAGAAAATGTCCAACACAGGCCTACACTGCTTGGAGAGTATGCAGTTTTCGGGTTTCTAAGTAAGCCTTAAACGTATTATTCAAAATAGATTCAATTAACTTTGTTGGCATGGCGGCTTGTAAAGGTGCCCTTATGTTCCTGTTCCACCATGCCTTCCATGTATGTGGAAAATTGTAATAAATAAAGAAATCTTACGTTACAATTGAGATGCAACATTTTGATTAAAATCATCACATTTATTTCCCACTAAACAAACACATCACCAACCTCGAGGGAGTTGTTTTCAGTCACACGTCTCATCTGGCCATCAATTTCTACAGAGAACTCCGGCCAGTCGTTGACAAAGATGACTTCAATGCTGAGAAGAGCTTGAGTCTCCAGGGCTGGGATGATGTCGTCATCTGTACGGTTCTCGCGTATGAAGATGGTGAGATTGTCAAAGCCTGTGAAATGAAAAAAAAATATTGGAGACTTCAAATTTGGTATGTTGTAGGATGTGGCATTTGGCAACCACATGCCACATCCACCCGTCAATCAACAGAAACTCGATCTCCTCCCATGACATCAGTACCGTTGGAGGGAATTCACCACAACTTCAGCACTAAGAAAAGACCCCGCGCTTTAGGTATTGCAACCATAATTCCAAATTTATAATTACACGGATTGCTGATATGATATTTTTTCTGTCAAGTCAGTGGTATACTTTTTTCAGCATTCTGCAATTGAAGAATGTCCCAATTTGTTGTGCAATTCCGAAGTATTTCCTGCAAATACACACTTTAACAGACTGTAGGTGGGTATTGCTAACACTGTTATATTGATGAATGAGACTCACCCCACTCCTCCTTGAAGTTCTTGTAGGTGAGCAGCCCGTCCTCTGACAGAGAGATAGTCCCGAGCTGAGCCACTTCACCAGGCACGATCCCGTAGATCAGGTCATCCCCGTCCGCATCATCAGACTCGATCCAGTACATCAGGGTACCTGGTGCACAAGCAAAAAATAAACTTTCAACTTCAAAAATGAGAGAAAAAAATGCTCAACAGCTATGGTTTAATTCTTGAGAATTATGAAGTGTGTATGAAGGCTACAATGACCAGGTGGACCAAATGCAGAGATTGTCACCAAACGCAGAACGCTGGCTTGACTTTATCAGCGTTACAAATAGTAGCTCCTGTAGCCCCAACAATTTATCTATCACCACCAGATAAAATCTTCATTTTGGTTGTGTGGTTGCTAGAACCCAGTATAAAAGATACAAAAATATAAACGGTAATAGATGCATATTGTTTACCTTTACACAGTCACTAACAACTACTGCTCTGTTTATTATTAGTCAAATACATTCATACATTTGTATGTATGGGGACAAGTCGCTCTAACTCTGTCCTGCAACTTGCATGGCATGTGTGCTACAGCATCAGTTATCATGGTGACAGACGTCTTACAGGTCAGTGACACTGTAGTTTGTTTGACAGTGTGTAGAAGAAGAAGAAAACGAGACAAACAGTACGTTTTCCTTCTGCGAAAGTAAAATCAAATTGACTGTTCAAGTTAAATCGCTAACCTGAATCCTCCTCCATCCAGACTTGTAGAGTTGAGGTAAACTCCGGAGGTTCGTTGGGGATTTCCTTCAGAGCGATGACCACGGCAAACTGCGTCTCCCTGCTGAAGTAGTGAACACTGCTGTCTGTGGACCGCCTGGTCCTCTGGCTACGTTGGGTTGGGTAGTTGGTAGAACAGACCTGCGTGGTAGATTAAAAATTTAACTTGTGTTTTGTCTCTCTTTCTGTTATCTATCTAATATATTCTTCATATTGTAGAAGATAAACAACATTAGCAACAATCTTTATTTTCAATTTTATTCATGCCAGTAATATAAGGCCGAATGCACAAGACTCAAGTACAATTGTGGGTCCTAGGATACAGCTTGAATGCATATTATATAAGCTTTTAGGACGCAAAAGTTAAAGGAATTAGTGTAGTCAGGCCCAAGTTTTCTTCCCAGCCCCCTGTTTAACTACATTAACTGTTTTGTTTGCTACAGGATTTCATACACATGTCTGGAGACCAAGGAAATTGTTTTTTGTCTTCTTTGACATGAAGACATTTACTTACATATGTCGTGAGAGTCCCCGCAACTTCATCCACCTCTGTCTGCCCGTGTTCATTACAGGTGCGTGATGCGTCATCCCACTCATCCAATTCTGTTAGTGGGAAAACATTGTGATCAATACGGTTAAATAGTGTATAAAGATATATAATCCCATGTTTATTACATGATCCAGGTCAATTTTGTACCCTTCCCCAGGGTAATTATACTGCCATATGGTTGAACAGTATAGGCAGATATAATTGCTATGAAAATGGATGAAGATTCTTTCTATTTTATAATCATTTTGGGCTTTCTTGAATGTATTGCAAAGATGAAAGGGATTGTATGATGTAATTTAATCTAGTATTACACCACTTCCTGAATTCTTCCATATACATGTACATTGACTTGATTATCATGTCTTAGTTCAAAATTAAGGGTAACAAAGTACCTTTGTTCCAAAAGATCAACAGCTGGGTGAGTTCTGTCCAGTTGGCAGAGGGGTCAAAGGTCGTTGTTATGGCGATGGAGTCGTTCAGCTCGACCTGGCCCACCACGGTCAGGTAGAAACTTGGGTTCATGATGGTTTTAATCCTAGGAAGTAAGAAAACAAAAGTATGATTGAGTTTGATGTGATTGAGTTGTACAAGATCTCCCACGGATTTGATAAACTGCGGACAGAAAATCATTGTAACCTCTGCAACAGGTCAATGTTCACGCCTAGCTTATCCAAAAAGACTCGAGGACATGCCTACAAGTACCAGGTACAAAAATCAAATGGACCCAGGTCCAACTTCTTCCCTGCAAGAACAACGGTTACCCCAATTTGGAACAAACAGTCATCAGCTACAGTAAATGTATTCAAGACCAAGTTGGCTATAGAGTGGAAGGACCACCCTGATAGATATGGATACACCTTCTCCTACTGAATGCCCAAACTGTCTACACCACGAAGACGGCCTCATTACCCAGTAAGGGTACCTAATGGCCTGGATTCAGGTGAATATTCAGGTGAATAAACACTAAGGAAATCGGAGATTTCTCACTCCTAGAAACTATACAATCCTTGGCTTCCTGATTTCCTGAAAAAGTCGACCTATAACTCCTGCTGGCTTCAATTCTTAGACCGCTGGTCTCCTGTCATTTTGCCTGTCAATCTTCCCAACCCGTGTACTGTCATAAACTGGGATTTCCAAGCAGACTTTGACTTAACCAACGGCCGACAATAATCTAAGACATTTTTTAGTATTGCTAAGTACTCGTTTAAATTTCGTCGTCACTTTTTCCGTATGTAATAACATGGATCAAATGTGCTTTCAGTGCCCAATATATACTACAGTTGTACAATGAATGATCTAAGATAGACTTTTCAGTGACAATTCATTTGAATTTTAGTATGACACATCCATGACTATCCAAGAATGCTCTCAGTTTCCATATATTGCAACGATCGCGATCGTACAACGCATGTCACCATTGCTCTCCATTATCTTTTTAGTTTCTTTCTTACACTTACCTTCCCAGTAGGTATCTGGAGGTCATGTTGGCTTCTATGGTGAGTGCAGGATCAGTGATGTAGGGGATGAAGTCATCAGAGGCATCAGAGCCATACTCTTCTGCAATACGGGTATCATCTAACATCCCGAAGGCCAGGGTTACTCCAGCAGACACCTCTGTAGAAAACAAAGCAACGATTTTAGACTTCCAGAAAGTATTATTAGATTTGCCTGCCAGCTCACCCCACATGTCTAACCTTTGCCTGTCAATCATCCCCCAATCATGTGCTGTCAACCTACTCTCATGTTTCCTGCGTCTTACCGTTTAACCTGATTGTTCTATGTGTAGATCTGCCTGTCAATCTTGCCCAGTCCACATACTGTCGACCTACATTGTACTCTTTCCACACAAAACCACAAATGCACCCAAAAAATGCCTCTGTACCCATTGTGATATGGTAATTTAATTTCTTTGTTATTTTAAAATCTTGAACCACATGTAAGTTATACGTTTTGTCATAGGTGATTTCCTAAAATGGTATGTTTACATTTTTGTTAGGTTTAACTTCAAGGGTCATTCTAAATCTTGCACACTGAAAACTGGTAAATCAGAATTCACATGAAGAGTAGATTAGTATACAGTAGTTCATAACTGACCACCCATGGCTGTTATTGTGAGGTCGTAGTCGTCTGGGGTTGCCCTCTTCTTCCTCTTTCTCAGGTCTGCACTGCTGGCAGTCAGTGGTTGGCCAGGCTGAGCTGTCACAGCCTCGTCTCCATCAGCTAAATATACAGGAAAAACACAGGGTTGTGTCAACTTTATACATGTACAGTATAATTATGGATGATTTGAAAATACTGTAAAGCTAAAGAAAAGGTTCCGAAGCCTTTCTGAGACTGTAATAGGTTGTTAAAACCATGATAATGATTGTCATGATATTGAACAGCCCTGATGAAGATGACAGACGGTCATCGAAACGTCGGCTCGTGAAAAATAAATGGTTGTGATCAAAGAACTTTGCTATTCATTCCTTTACCAACCTGATGAAATTATTTATGCATGATAATGAATGTGTTTAGGGCATAGTATTGGGAGGTAGAGCCAATCTCTCGCCATCCTCTTTTTAAAAGTCCAAAAGAAGAGTTCCTGACTTACGCAGGGTGACGATGGGTCCGTCACATTTCTCAGCACACAGGTTTGAAGGGTAGCACATCTTTACACAGGTCATGGTACATCTGAAACGTAGTAAATACATTTAAAGTAATTGTTACATTACAAAATTGAATGTAACTAATTGTGACAGAGAGAGACAGAACACTTTGACAACACAATTATCATGCTCTTGTTCTTACCTAATAATTTCATATTAAAGGTTTTTATATTAAAAAAAAAATTTTTTTGGTGTATAGTGCGGTGCCCAGCCCCGTCTCTGTGGCCCTTGGGCTATAACAGTTTTAAAAGATTTCTCTCTAAATTGAAATTGAATTGAAATTAACATAACGATACATGACGGTACTTACGATCCTGGGGGAATATTGTAGTTGGTGCCAGATGAAGAAGAAGAAGTTGTTGCACTAGGAGGAAATTTCATTGAAAAAATTTAGATATCAGAATACTGCCAGGTATGTAATCTAGGCAATCGACAATCAATTTGCTTTACACATTACAATGTATATATAACTCTATAATAGACTATCAGACTAAATTAATGGTGTTCTAAAATAAATACAAAATTCTGTTAATAATAAAGAATGAAAAATTTCTAATCAACTGTAGGCAACAGATAATCAGATGGCAGGAAATTGGGGACAGGAAATGAGGTAGCCTTTTTCTTGGACCTGAACTAATCTCCTGTCGAATATGTCATTGTCTCCGATTTGTCTAGCATGTATAAATAACATACGGAAACACAAGCAAACAAGCAGACACATTGAAGATAAGAATTTCGTACAAGGAGGTACATTGTAATAAGACCTCTAAACAAACAAACAAACAAACAAACACACCTGCACTGAGTGGCGCTATCTTCCTTTGCGTTAGGGTTAGCAGCCCTGTAACTAGATGCCGACTTTTGTGCCTCTGCATCCGATGTGCTGGGCCTCGTCTCGGCTTCGATGAAGCAGGCCAGGTCGATGGGTTTGGGGAGGGCGGACACGTTGGCCACGACCACGTCAGAAATGTACAGGTGGCCGTCCCTGATGGCAACGGTTCCAGCGCCGTTGGTCGCGACTTGGATGTAGGGAACTGTGAACTCAGGGTTTTCTCCACATGTCGTAACACCCACCACTGTTAACAAAAACAATGGTTTTTACAATTACTATAATAGTAACAAGAAATCAGAGATTTCAGATTCAATCCACAGCTTCTTGAATTTCCCCATGTAGAATACTAGTACTAATTCCTGTTGGCTCCCAGTCAGATTGCGGGTTCTTTATGTTCATTTCCTGTGTCTGACCATTTAGCCTCCTGTCATTCTTCCTGTCAATCTTCACCCCACCCAAGTACTGTCAACCTACTATGGATATACAGATGCTTTTTTTTCATAAATCCAAAGCTGAAGAGCCCAGACCAACACGTAATGTATAAAAAAAAAAACACCTATCATGCGATAAGAAATACTACATTAGATGAATTCTGATAATTTTCACACAGGTTTTTCCTTGTAAATAATGAACTTGACATGGCCAGTTTGGTTATGATAAGACATGTACTGGCCATTTCTGCTAATTACATTGCACAATGTGAGTTTGGTCATAACATATAAGCTTAGCGTGTGTTAAAGGTATGAGTGACATTGATTCGAAGACCTCATTATCAGAACTTACATGTCTTGTTTATTCCTTCATCACTGGGCTTTTGGAAGGAAACCCCACATTCTTTCCCGTTGCCGCTCTTCTTAGCAACAGGAACTGTTGGCGTGTCAAACTCTGCAGTTCCGAGTGTGTTTGTCTCTACATCAACTTGTGGTGGCAACAGTTGCACAGTAACACCTGGTAAAATACATATCACATACTATCAATGAATGTCCTTCTTAATACATGCACAATCAAAGTCATGGTATGCATACATGTGCATTCTGCACTTACTTGACCTCCCGCCATTCTACCTGTTAATCTTCCCTTTCCATGTGCGGTCAACCTACTCTATCCGGACAAAACTTCACAGCTCCAAAGCCTCCCAAAACAATACTCCCATACCCGAAAGTAACTAACATTCAGAGTCATGTTGCTATAACTCCATTGTATGACCCATACCTGATGTAGTACCAGTCCCAACAAGTCCTGCCTTGTTGACTGCCTTCAGAGCCACATAGTAGGTGTGGTTGTTCAGCAGTCGACCGGAGAAGGTGGTGTTCTCGGCAGTCTGGTTGATTCCCACGGGTTCGTAGTCCTGAAGCTGTGTCCCGTCATTGTCATAGATGGCCCAGGAGATTTCCTGTGTGAACATTAGAGAACAGATTAGAATGATTAGATTAGAATGAGTTGCAGAACTCCAGTCAGAAGCTCTGAGGAAGGTGTTTGATAGACATTGAAACGTAAGCAGGTGAGAAACTCTATGGTTGTGTAAGAAGAAAATTCTATACCCTAAGTATCTTCCAACCTGATGAAATTATTTACAGATTAGAATGATGTGTAACACACTTCCATGGGCAGACTGGACCTGTTTTTCTGCAAACCCAATAAAAGTATAATATTATAATCACGCATATAACGATAACGTTTTACTTTAACGATCTTGATTTGTCAAAATTCAAAGTAGGCTGGCGTTCATAACTTTTCAAGACTTTTAGGTATACTTGTCGACAAACTCCCAACCACAGATGGCCTCTTGTGAGTCTTGACTCACTCCAAACCATGGCATGGAGAAAGTCGGAAGGCAACAGCTCAAGGGCTACATCTAACAGGGGCTTTAAAGCAGGTTCAGCATAGGCCATTGCACACTTTTGATGTAGTATTTTCAGCCATGCTGTAATAGATCCAGCATGTATTTTTCATGAAACTTGTCCAACATGTTACGTTAGTTTGCAATTGTACTATGATCGTACGGCATTTGTGACCTGGTCCTTACCTTGATTCCACTTTCTGGATCGGCGAACCTCCAGTAGGCCTTGATGGTGTCGTTAGACTGTTGGTAGGAGGTCGGCCGTTCTCCCTGTACCTTGTCAAAGTGGAAAGATGACACCAACACCGGGGCAGTCATGTCGATGTAGAAGCCATTGGAGGTAGTGTTTACAGTCTGGCCCTTTGCAGACAAGGCTTTCACTACAAGAAAAAAGATGATCATTATAACTTGAAATACAAGTAACCTTATGCTGTTGATACCAAGAGAGTTATAATTATCATGATTCTTTTGATTATGGCATGTTCGAATGATCATACTGGCCCTTTGCAGACAAGGCTTTCACTACAAGAAAAAAGATGGTCATTATAACTTGAAATTAAAGTAGCCTTATTCTATTGATACCAAGAGAGTTACTTCTGCGTGATTCTGGACTAAATTGCTTACTAAAAGGAATGATCATATTTTTACACAGTCAAGTCACAATGTCATTCAATTCAACTTTTGATTATGTACAAAATATTTTCTACCGGAAAAAATCACCTAATATCTTACTAAAACAGTTATCATATGACCATAAATGACTCTTCATAATTTACATTTTACCTTTTCATGTAAAGTATCTGGCAAAGAAAAACTGAAATTGGGTGTGGCCCATGTACTTAATACTGTTAAAGTTAAGTTAGCACAAACTAGCCTGTAAGACAAATATACATCCTAACCTATGAGCTTGTATGGGATGGCATAAGTCTCCTCGTCCCCATCCTCGTCTGTCACAGTCCTGGTGCTGGGGAGGTCAAGGTCAGTCAGGTTGAACTTGAAGTCGATGTTCTCACTAGCCCTGGCGTCACAGGCAGGGTCACACGCAAACCTGCTGCAGCCGTCCAGACACGGGATACAGGGGTTGTAGATCTGTGGAGAGACAACAACGGTTGTTATAGCGATATCAGCCACCTTGCTTGCAAAGCTCGGCCTAGAAGACATAACCTGCAGTCTCGCCGACTCCGACGGCATGGCCACGTTAAATGTGTCAGTGGCTGTATTAACAACATTATTGGACTGCAGCTGCCTAGCAGTAGAGGTTGGGGAAGACCTAAAAAGACCTGGATGGAGTGTGTCAGGAAAGACATCAGAGAGTGCGGCACTGTTGGTGTAACCCCCCTGATGATGAATAGGGCCGCCTGGAGGTGCAGAGTGAAGACAGGCTGAATGACAGGAGGTCAAAAGGCCGGATACAAAAATGGCTTGAAATTGAGATTGTGTTGACAGCAAACGGGTGGGGAAGATTGACAGAGGCAGAGTGGCAGGTCAAAAGGTCAGGTACAGGAAATGGGATGAACGTCAAGGTCAGGAAAACCCAAAGTACCTCCCCCATGTCCGAAATCTCTGATATCTTTCCGATATCCTAAAGTTTTCAGAGATTTGACTTTCCAAGGTGCTGAAATGCCATCCGTGTAAGAATGAAGATCGCGCTCAACTGTTGGTCATCAACCACTTTCGACAAACCATAAAAATATGCATCCAATTTTCCATCGTAACAGGCCATATATCTTTTTATCAGAAGTTTTTGAAGTGATAAATACACGGAAGATTGAATTAGACACTACAGTAGGAAATATGAGTCAAGGGTTTACATGTATGTGATGCAGACAAACTAACCTCTCTGAAGTCTATAGCTTGGTAAGCAGTTCCGTTCTCATATTCTGACATGACTCCGCCGTAGTACTTTATAATTGGTGCAGTGTTCCCTCTCCAAGGTCGGCCATACCGGCACAGAACATCACTGGGCGGGGGGAATCTATCACAAGGACAAAAAATCATATGAACTTTAATGCATCTCTTCTTAAACCAGCAGTAGAATAATCTATTACTTGCCAAACACAAGGATATTCATTTATTATTAAACCATGATAAAGAGTCGCAAAAGCAATATGAGAGGGTCAAATACAAGAGGACACTAGACTAACATTAGAAAATGATGAAAAATGTAAAATGTCTTTTTGTAGTACTTTTGTGCATTTTTTACAGTACTAGTGGTAGAGCGTTTGACTTTGAAACGGCCAGACCCACATATCATTTGTATTATGTGCATCAATTCAGCGCTATAAAAGGCTACGATTGCACAGGTAATATTTGATCAATTAACCATTTATTAGGACATGACATTGTGTACTTACATGACATTGCGGAAGTAAGCGTAGGTTTCGTATGGGTTGAACTTGTCCTCCAGTTCTGGCACGCGGTTGTCTTTGTTCCACATGCTGAGCATGAACTTAGTCATGTCGTCAAAGGCTGGGGCACCTGAGATCACGGCCCACAGGTGGTCATTTATGTACAATTCGAACGTCCAGTCCTCCTGTAAACAGTAACAAACAGGAAAATATATTTTATTTCCAGAGGGAAATAACTAAAATCTATTTGCAAAATCATGCCTGAGGGCTACTTGCTTGAATGTACATTCAGATAAGAGTCGAAGATCGTACAGTACAGCAATCCGAAACAGACAACTACTGTCTGAACAACTTATTCTAACTGTAACTGCTTGCTATTATGATGTATGACTCATTTTTTTTGAAGGCAGTACATAATGAGTTGACCCACGTTCTGCATAATGAGTGAAATATGCCCAAAGAATCTAATGAAGACAAGTTGCAAGGTGGTCTTTTGGTTGTTTAAGTGTTCTTGACTTTGAAGCTGAAGGTTCTAGATTTAATTTCCTTACAGGCACCAATGTTGTGCCATTGGGAAAGGTGATTTACCCATTTTTCCTCACTCTACTAAAAATGTTCTCAGTTACTTTGTAATTCTAAGATGTTTCAGATCTAGGATTCAAAAAAGTATTCTAGTGCAACTCAAAGCCAAGCAAAGCTCTTACACATAAGTGACGACACATCGACTACTTACAAGAGTTTCCCAAGTTGTCATCTTGAAGACAAATTTGTAGGTGTACCAAGATGTCGACGGGTTAAAGTTAAGGTAGACAATCTTGAACGTGGGGTTGTACTGATCGTTGTGATATCGGCACCACAGTACCAGCTTCGAATTGGAGGCCCCTTGATAAAAAAACAGAATAAAATCCTGAGTAAAGAGACTGTTTTGTACTCAACCAAGTGTTTTATTCACAGCCAACGTTTCGGTGACCGTCTGTCATCTTCCTCAGGGCAGTTCCGACTGATTCACATTGCACTGTAGCACAAGTGTCGCTGCTATGCAGCAAGCCAACAGATAAACGAAAATTGATGTACTCCAGAGTACTTTGGTGTATGACCTACAGGCATCCTGGCATAAAAATATTGCGAACATACTTATAATATTTAGTATTTCGGGCCTTTTTACTCCAAACAAATTGATATCAAAATGAAACTGTTCTGTTTTCTCCTACCTGATGGGTGGATCTGCATTCCACAGGCACTCTGAGTGATGAATCGTTCGTTCTCGTCTCCTGCGTACGTCTCCCCTAACACAGGATCGGGAATGACGGCGAAGGGCAGGGCGTCTGTGGCTGTGTCCGCGCCCGTGTCTGTGTCTGTGTCCTGTGCCGCGGGCTGAGCTGCCACTGTGTACAAACTGCAGGTACACGTCGGGCAGTACTTCTGCAAGGAAAAATGACACGGCTTAATATTATTGGGTAGTTTGTGTATATGCACACTTAAATACAAATAATCACTGTTTAAAGATGGATCTTCAACACACTACACACACATCTTTTCCAAAACACTGGAGTGTATGTGGCCCATGCATGCATGATATTTGATCCTGTAAGATGTATAATTAGATGTATAAACTGCAGTGGAAAAGTGGACAGGGTTCTTTACGCTTGTGTCAACGGGAAAATTATTAGTAAGGGCCAGTAAGAAGGGTTCTTCCTTTTATTTAGGGTTCTTCCTCATGTAAATGTAGGGACTGGTACAGGTTTGACTGCATACCAATGGCCAGGTAATCATTATGTACAAATGTAGAAGTGGCTAGTAGTAAAGCTTAGGGTTTATATGGTCTCATATAACTGTTACAACAGTCTTTTGTGACTTACAGCATCAGTGTCGCTCAAGCAGCAGGCCATGCAGTAGTTGAAGTCGCCGACAGTACCATCAGGACCGGTGTAGAACAGCACGTTGGTGACAGCTATACCTGTACCAGCTTTGATGTCAACCTGTGCAAATGTAGAGAAAAATGTGTAATCTACTTCAACCATTTAGTCCTCCTTTCTCACACACTGTGAAGCTTTTGTTTTTAATTCAAATTTTAAAACTCTTTTATTTTCTCGGACTTCAGTAAATTGTGTGTTGAGTCGGACTTCAGTAAATTGTGTGTTGAGTCGACCAAATACTTGTGTAAAGGCTAGTTTAAAGGCCATAATGACATAATGATCTACATTGTACATAGCATAAATTTAATGTTATATCTTATAATTGTAGAAATGCATTCGCCCCAGAGGTGTCGCCAAAAAAGTCGACCTGTTGTTATTGAATTTGGGAATAGACGGTACGCAATTAACATGTACATGTTGCTGATTTTAACTGTACATACCTGGTAAGTCCCGCCCTTCTGCATATCAGCCTTCCTGTATATGGCACCTGTGTATACCTGTGGTTTCTGGACATCCCGGATCATGGTCATTTTTATATCACCCCCGCTCTCAGAAATCTCAACCTTTGGAAAAAAAAGCATTTTAGAGTCAGACAGCTTTCATTTGTACAATATGTTACAGATCATTAAATAAAACCTTGCAGGTTGATAGCTGGTTAAATGAGAAACCCTACATTGTACGTGGCTTTAGCCTTGGCGACTGTTTGGGTGGACTCACATCCTCCCAGCCTGCAGGGAGATTATTTAGACTGCCAACTTGACCTTAAGGTCAATCTGTGGTCACAAAATCCCCCTCCCTTCCTGCTACTCTACTGCATTCAAACATCTACATTTGTAAACCCAATGAATATGACACACACACACACACACACACACACAACACACACACACACACACAACCACACACAACCACACCCAAAACAATACCTCCGTATACCCTGAGATAATGAATTGAATTTCTTATTTTCTAGGTAGAAGGGATACTCAACACAAGATACTTTGTACTAGCACCTTGGCAGAACCTACATGTACTGCACCTGCACCCAAACCGAATTTCTTATAGTTTTCGCTAGATTTTTGGTCACCACTGCATCAAGATTTCGTCCGTTGTATACAATTTTTTTCCCACACAAAATTTAAACCAATAGACGAGATGTCATTTTTAGATTCATGAATACGACTTATCGTTAAGCCAATGTGTTATGCGCAGTACATTATGAGTTTCGTGCAGGTGCAGTACATTCTGCTGGTACGGTTATTGTACTTTGTTGTCTGACCTGTTTGGCCCTGAAGGTGGCGTTCCAACAGTTGGAGGTGTCTCGGCACATTCCCCACAGCTTGTCTGTGGTCACCTCTTGCCAGTTTCCATCCGTGAAGGGGGAGGGCGTCCTCGGACACTCTTCAGCTGCAGGATCAGCAAGATGCAGGAACATACCTGAAACAACAAAATCAGCTAGGATTAACTAAAGATCTCATGCCAATAGCATCTGATAGGAAGTACTAACATCTATCTATAAAGTCATTATGAAGGGAAACAAGAATCATATATAGCAAGACTGTTAGTGATGAATTCTTTAATGCTAGCACCGTTAATTCACTGGTATGCTTCTGAATCTATATCTTATCTTATATCGTGACAACAGTAGCAAAATGTGCACCCATTCTAATATGTTATATTTAGAATCATAGCAATTTCATGCTAATATTTTTTGTGTCACAGTAAAAGGAATACATGACATTAAACTGGTATATGATGTAATAATAACCATAAAGGATTTCATACAGACACATACATGTCACCACCTAGTGATTCACAACTATACTGCACACGGTACAATTTCTCCTACTAGATATTTTAAAGGTCGAATCAGTGACGAATCGTGTCAATGAATTTTAAATTGTACTCCCTATTACAGTTAGTGATTCCTTTTACTCAATCAACAAGTGGTCGGCTTAGGCATTAGTCCCTTACTGGTTACGTCTATGGGTACGAATTGGGACCAAGAAAAATATTGGTCGTTATCACCAGATGACTGGATTTGGGAGGTGGTCACTTGGGCAAGTTTGACTGTAATATTGATCATGAAGTCCTTGAATAGTTTCATAAGGTTGGTAAGACACTGAGTGAAGAGACTCTTTTTACACAAACAAGTCTTTTATTCTTATGGGAATGCATCTGTAGCAGCGACACCTGTGCTGCAATGCGATGTGAACCAGTCAGAATTGCCCTGAGGTAGGTGACAGACTGAATCGGCTGAATAAAAGACTTGGTTGTATAAGAAGAGTCTCTTCACTAAATATGGAAGTCAACAAAGCTTGTCACTGCACCTGGGAGAGTTGTGTTGTCTCCGTGAAACTCAAGGTCCTCGGTGTAGTTGTGTCCGTCCACCAGAGTACCGATGGAGATTTTGGACAGGTCGTAGATGATTGGCGCAGACACAGTCAGGATGGAGGACCCAGCGTTGTTGGTCGTTCTCAGGTGGACGTAGTAAGGGATGTTGGTCTGACGGACAGAAATTTGAAGCACGTTACCTTAAAACTGTTAAGTCATGTTTCTACCAGTTATGTCAATGTCTGAATGTGCTTATATCAATTCACTGTTATATACTGAGTATAATTCCATCTGTACACCTTCCATGTATTCTGGCATACTCATTTTAACCTAAGCAAAGTGAGGAAAGTCGTGTAAAGTGCCTTTCACAAGGTTGCACAAGGTTGGTGACTTTGACCACAGACGGAAGTAACAGGAAGAATAGTTCAGAAGTGGTGGAATTAGCCAATTTATAAACTTTGGCTGCTGACAGAATATCCAGATCACAGGGTAAGGTAAAATGCAAATTCATGGGGTCTCAGATATAGGTTTTGACTTGTCTATTTGTTGCACTGAGCAAATTTTATTCACCAAATACTTCTTAAACGTTCTGCTGCATCGATAGCACTTACCCTTAGATCTAGTTCCACGAACGCATATGATCTGTAAGAGTTGTTCAGCCTGATCCAGTCCACATCTACAGACAGGGAATCTTCGTCTTCTACAGCGCAGGACACAGCCTTGAACAGGGCCACTTCGTAGTACGCGATGTCGCTCTCCGGATCCGAGTAGCCTTCCCAGTTGACTTCAAACGTTTCAAAACTGTCCACGTATGTCATCACCTGTCAACGACAGAAAGGAAGTAAAAAATGTTTTCATATGTGCCAGAAATAAATGACAGTGAAGTTTATTTCATAACCATGGCCAACTGGGCCAAATCCATTAACTTAGAAAAGTTACATGAACCATATACATGTGCATGTACCTACATGTACACGTAGGGAATGCTTTGGATTATATCTCAGCAGTTGTTGAGACATTGGGTTTCTAGCATGTCTTTCAAAGATATTTTCGAGGTAAATTACCACCAAAACATATTAGTTACACTGCTTACTTACCATGCCATACAGTGGACCAGCCCTCAGTCTGCCTTCTATTGGATCAGTCAGATCCACATGGAAGGTTGCTGTCGTCTTGTTACATTCACCTGAAACATAATCATCAACAATTTGATCACAGAGTTTCTTCTTAAAAGTGCTAGAAAAATAGCTTCGATTTTAAAACACCATGATGGTATGAAATGCTAAAACTACACATAATTAATAATCAAGGGCTCAATAATTAGAAATAACATGACACCAAAAACACAAATTCATCATCTCTTACAACAATAGTCCAGTGTAACCAGCGTAAACCAGTATGAACCAGTATGAACCGGAAACTTACCAGTTTCGTCCATGGCTACCACAGTGGCAAAGTAATCTTCATCGTGCTGCATGACTAGTTCGTCTGCCTTGTAGAAGGTATCCTTATCAACCACGGTCCAGTCCCGGACGGTGAAAACATCACCAAGAGACGCATACACCTCACTGTTACTGTCAATCTATGGAGTGGTAAATAGATATTATGTCAGAATTGATGTTAACATTCCAATTCAAAATTTTAACTCAAATAATGGCATAGTATAATTATGATACTACAAATACGTGAAATGTGTGAAATGAAAATTAAAACTATGTGAATTTCAGAAAATCATTATGAAACAAATTAAATCAGCTTCTTGTTTGTATTTTTCTACACAATCCACATATTTTATTAAGGCATATTAAAGAATCTTAAATCATTTTTTCAAATTGTTGTTAATAGTTTGCCAGTAAGTTTTAACCCTGTCCATCAACTGAATTCTACTCTCCACCCATTCCCTTCCAATTCTTGCTTCTGAGGACGAAATACATAAAACTCCCCCTAAACCACTGCGGCCCAAAACAATACTTCCGTCTCGGGAGTAAAACTATAATTGCCTGTCAAAAACTCACCATGTCCTTGCAGTGCAGTGCATGTGCAGCCTGGTAGGCTGTGGTGTTGTCAGTCTTGTGTCCGATGCCGATGAAGTTTAGGTGAATGCCCTGTCCCCGTGTCTCAAAGTTGGACCATTCCACCAGCACTTTGGAGGGGGAGTTGATGAAGGCTGGCACTGTCACATCACCAGCTGTTGACAAAGAAATTCAACTCAGTTTTAGTCAAGAATGTTGTTTGGATATGTTATATTCCTGTCATGTTACTGAGCTTAAAATAAACAACCGAGTTAGCTTGTTGATGATGGGCTCAAGCACACTTTTCAAATTTACAAAATCTACAAAACCACCAATTGAACGGCAATCGAAGATTATGATGATAAATCCATTATAGTAATAGGAAACTTCGCCTCTTGCGAAACATACAGAAACTACACTGATACCCCTGGCACAACATGCAAAAACTGCAGTTTTAGACCTTTTAACCTTTTCTCATGTTTACCCCCATTTCCTGTGTCTGTCCTTTTACTTATTATTCTGCCTGACAATCTTCAACCAACGTGCACCCACATGCTGTAAAACTATAAGTACTCAAGAATCAAAGAACACACAAAACCACAGTTCAGCCACCCAAAAACATACTTCTGTACCCATAAGTACAAAACTAACTCATAAAATCCATGAAGAAATAATACCAGTTACCTGTGACCCCACCATCACAGCCCACCCTGATGCCATTAGAAGTGACCTCCACCTGTGCGTAGTTAGCACTGGAGGCCCGCACAGTCACGTAGTAAATCCCTGTCTTCGGCACCAGATCCTGCACGAAGTAGAAGGTCCAGGTCTTGTTCAGCCCCACATCGGTGAAGGGTATGATGTTGTCCCGGGTACGGGCGTAAAGACGGTCGGTTCCGACTGCGATCTCGTACTTGTCGACTTTCTGGTGCGCAGATTCCTCTTCTGTTTGTTCAACTGTAGGGTTGCCTAGAGGGATCATTTTTTAATCGGTTGATGCGTAAATGTATGTGAACAGGAAGAAAATGTACAATCATCCCAAAAAGTTAAAGACTTTCTATCCTTACATTTGGGATACATGTAAATGCAAATGTACATGTAAATGTTTTGTTCATACATGAACTTGATTGTATTTTTGTTTTTCCGTGGAATAAGATGACTTACCAGAAGACGCAGCGTTGATGCTACTACGATCTACACCGAAGCCTTCAAAGTTTGCGGAGATCTCATCGTCGGCTATCTGGTAGTTGAGGTCATAACCAGGCACTGGACCATCTCGTACAAGTCCTGGGATGAGCGGCTCCCTCTGGACAGTTATTCCTGATAGAAACAGCGTGTTACTACCATATTCATGAGCGAAATTATTTTACAAGAATATGTGCAGATGGTGTTCAGCACCAGGGACAGGGGTAGTTGGCGATTTGCAGCTGGTGTCATAATCAGGGACAGGAATGTTTCACAATGTGTGGACGCTGTTCAGCACCAGGGACAGGAATGTTTGGCTATGTGCAGATGGCGTTCAGCACCAGAGACGGCTATGTGCAGATTGTGTTTAGTGCCAGAGGCAGGGATGTTTTACAAAAACTATGTAAACTAGGGCTGCGTACCTAAACGTAACATCAGGTACAGGTACAGGTACTGGTACAGAGGTTTAGGTACAGGTCCGGACCTGTACCTGTACCTGAACAATTTGACAAATTAACACGTGTTCTTCACTTTTTCAATCATGACACAGAAACAATAATAAAGTGTTGGAGGGAAGGGAAAATGACTGACCTCTGACCTGATTTGAGTTTGTTGACCAATCACAACCCTGGATCAGCCACACTCTCGCGATGTCTCGTGAGACTGAGGATCTCAAATCAATCGACGGTGTTTACGTCTTTTCCAGTGCTAATTTTTCGTCTTTGTGGTAGGATTTACCTATCTTTAGTCATATACATGGTGTAAACTAGCTATTTCGGTATATACTCGTTACTTCATGATCCGGTATTTTGGACCTGTACCGAAACGATTTTTACGGTATTGGACCGGTACAGTGTACCGGTCCGCAGCCCTAATGTAAACTACATGTTAATACCAAAGTATGTAAATTTAGGTTTGTTCCACTCACCATCGGATCGTTCAATCCGTGAAACATTCTGCAGGTTGGTTGCCTTGACTGTGACGTAGTAGGTTTCACCGTCCATCATTTGTAGGTTATCATTGGAACTCCCGGTGTTCTCTGCAAGAGCAAGTTTGGCGGTTTAAGTTGATTCATAAAAGTATTTTCAAGAAGATGTCTACATGAAATCAGTTAATACTATGTTAGATATCTTGGAGTATGGATACAGATGCACACTGTTCTTTTGTATCCTTTCTTTGTTTAAGGTTTTAAAATTATTTATCTGTCATTTATCAGTCATATTTAAACAACATGCAGGTTCACTCCATTGACAGCTTTCTTGACAGCAAATAGTTTTCTGACATTGCCATTGCATGGTAATAGAAGCAACTAGTGACAAGGATCTAGGACATATAACCTAATAGATGTGACCAGGAACTTACCGTCCACATCTGTGAAGTCCTGTACGACCGTTTCGTCCACCCTCGTGATTGACCACTCGTAGGTTTCAATAGGACAGGGGTCGCCCCTGAAGTCCCAACTTGCATACAGAGTGTTGAGAGATGTCTGGTAGTCCCTGCAACACAAAACCAAAATGGCATTTTTTATTTACCATGTAATAGGCCAAAAGGCTATGAAATGATGATATGCAATTTGAATAACGATCAACATTACTTTCTTGAATACTTACAGATCTTGTCCAGTCTTCTCTCCATCATATACCGCACCTCTGGAGTCCTTACTGATGTACACACCGTTGGAGATGGCAACTGTCGTCAGGCCTGCCTTGTTGTATGCCTTCACTGCCACAAACACCTGGAAAAAGTAGATTGTGAGAATGTGTTTTTGTACTTTTGTAAATCATATTTCTGTATGTTCTAATTAACTATTCAGTTTTTTGTTATTTTTTGTGCGAATTTCTAGTTTTATTTATTGTGAATTTCTCTCTAGTTCTGTATTTTCTCATTGTTTCCAAGGCAACGGAAATGCATAAATGTAGAAATTAACTGGAGACAGAAAATAATACAACCTTTTCTGAGACATTTGACCTAATTTCACGTTAGTGTCGTCATGCCTAACATATTCAAATTTCTGTCAGAAATTCCCCATAAGCTAGGTAAAAAAATTCAGCCAATCACGTTACATTCTATTATGAAAATTATTGTTACATGAAAAAAATATCAATTTTATTTAATCTTTCCGTATGACTTACAAAGTGAAATGGATAATAGAGTATTGCTTTGCCTTTGTTTTAGTGCTTAAACATAGCTGTAAGATGCTAAGTTTACATATGTTCTAAAAATGTGTCCATGTATATAATATGCATACCTGTGAAACGTCAGTGAGATCCAGCCCTTCAATAGCGATGGGCCCGTTAGGGTTCACTTCAACCTCTCTGTACTCCCTCACATCTCCTGCTCCTGGGTTACTTCCAACTGCAACCTCCATTCTATTACAAGAAGTAACAATGAATTAGTTATGTATCAGAACACCCTGAAAATATAGACAATGTTGAACATAACGGCACACTGAAGGTTAACAAACATCCACTAGGAAACAGTTAATATTTCTACCTTTGACCATAGCAGATCACCATTGCACAAGCATACACAGAACTGTGAAATGGCCTAAAACTAGAAAATCAGTTCTGCTTTGTTTTACTTGCAAATGGCACTGTATGATACGTTATGGAAGAAGAACAAGGATATAAGGAAGAGGGAGAAGGAAGACAAATGTTGCCGTTGTTCTTACTTAGCAATGGAAGAGTCCGGATCACTGAAGGGAGTCCATTCAGCAGTCACTTGTGAGAGGGACTGTTGACAAACTGCATCCTTGGCCAACACACATTCTGGAAAGAAAAATGACAAAAAGTCTCTCTTAGAAAACTGTATAATGTATTGCCATTTCAAAACCAGATGCCGAAATAAAAGCTAAAGGGGCTACATACAGCTCTGTTTAAGCTATCCACAAGCCCTACATCATGAAAATATGTTGTTTTGTGACTTATCCCTTTTGAAAGATTTAAAGGAAAGATGCCCTTGCTATCTGCTATAGTGTCCAAACTTACTACGTTATTCTTACATCAAAAAGCTATCTACAGCAAATAGTAATGACTATAGCGTATGCAAAACAAAAGATACACATAAAAGGTTTGGTAAAGATATTGCAAGGGAATAGAGTTACACAAAATTCCACATACCATCTCCAGTGCAGTTAGACGCAGAGCTTCCCTCAGTACTGAAGCTGACACTGTTGAGACCAGAGAGCTCCACTACAACCCCAGTTCTTGGTGGAGAAGCGTCCACAACAATACTGCCTGAGTAGGCATCAGTCTTCAAACCTACACTGTTGTAGGCTGTCACTGTTACATAGTACTGGTGAGTGTCATCGAGGGTAAGACCTGTGCATGGGTACGTACAAGGAGAACAAAATGTATTATAAAGTCTGTACCACCTCCTGGTTATTTGATATTTCTTTTAACTTCCATGATTGTCATCCATTTAGATGAAGAAGTTATACCAAGAATTAAATAATTGCCCAAGCCAATGTACATGTATATGTATGGAGATCATATTCTAGAGCACAATATAACAAGGAATGGAAGTATTCTATAGGCCATTTTTTTCCAATTTGACGTTCCTGTCAGTCTGAAATTACATCATTTTCTCTCATTTCCTGTGCACATGTGACTCTACTGTATTTAAATGACTACTGACAAGCAACCAAGCAAGCAAAGACAAGAAGGACAAAACCTCTTCAAGAATGTTGTTACCTGTGGCTCTGTATTCAGACCTGTTGCCCTCCAGAGTGACTGCAGCCATGGTGTCATCCTGTCCCTCCTGTGTGCCGATCCTCACCTCATACCTGTCTATCCGACTCTCCAACTCCAGGAAAAACGCCCAGGTGCAAAAGATCTCAGTGGAAGCTGTAAAGAAAGATTTTTTAATCAGAAACTTAACGACTTTTAACAGTTATAATCATGATGTGGATACCAAATGCACAAAAAAATCATTTCAGACTTTTGGGTTTCGGGGTTCATGACTGTACTCGAACTGTGGAGTGGATTGTATGATGTGATCTTCCTGAATTCCTCCACATACTGCCAAACCAGTCCCATTTGAGTCACTTTCAGACCTGACCACCCTATCAATCAACTGTCAAACTACCTCCCACCCACCATGCAAACATGGCTACTTGGACATGGATCACAAAAAAACACACAGGTCAGCTACTTATAACTTCTGGGTTATTATAGTCGACTGCAATGTTTGTATGAAGGTTAGCCTAGCTCACCACCGGGTAGGTACTCAGGACAGGTCACAGTCCCCAGGTCTGGAGGGGTCTCATCAATGATGACACTACTGCTGATGGAGTATCCCATGATGCCTGCTGCGTTTTCTACATAGACTGTCAGGATGTTCGGCATTCCTATAACACAAAGTAGGAAACATAGTCAACACAATGGATGACTTAACATTACAACAATCAGCACTAAGGACAGTAACAGTGACAACAACCAACAGGGGCAATACCTAACATATAGAAATTTTGTTTTATAAAGTATTTCTAAAAAGCTGTGACTTTGTTGCTGTTATTTACCAAGTATATTTAAAGGATGGGTATCATAATATTATTGAGAAACCCAACGTTTCAACAATCAGCACCAAGGACATGGACTGTGGCAACAACAACAACAAGGACTATACCTAATACATAGATTTTGATTACCATGCAAATTGAACAAGAGTGTGGTTTTGGCTATTGATTGACAAGGATAGAGTTCTAGCTTATGAAATAAAGACTAAGCTTTAACTTCCAACACTTAGACTACAGAAATGGGACTTACCCAAAATTGGTCTAGCTATTTATCAATTGTTCTAGCTATTTATCAATATCTTGAAATAAAACAATATTCTGTACCTGCGCCAACTGGTGTGATAGCTGCCTTGTTCCCATAGCTTGGATCGTAGCTGGTCGCTGACCGGATGTTGGCACCGGAAGGAACTGAACCAAACTGGTACCAGCCGGATGTAACCGGACAGGTAGCATCACTGACTTCCCATGCAGCACTCAGGGCATCCTTGTCCTGTCTGTAGGTTGTTTCACCTGCTGTTACAGCCTAAAGAATAAGTGAAATTCCATTGGTTGCTTAATTGATTAGATTACTTAGGTCTATATGTAGAGGTTACTGATTCTTACAACTGTCTCCAGATAGGCCTGCTGTTACAATTAAATCATCAATTAACAAGAAACAAGATCTTTTGAAACTCTTGGAAGCATTTCAGTTTGTGTGCATTTATTGGCACAGCCAATGGAATACTAGTAGATGGCCTGCTGTACTTTCAAGTGGCCTAGCAGGAACTTTGCAGGTTGAGAGCATGTTGTGACAGGCAGTAAGTGAGTACATGGGCTCAATTTCTCCAAGCCTAAAGGGGCAACCACTTAGACTACCAACTTGACCCTAAGGTCAATCTGTGGTTGCAAAAAATCTTCCCCTTCTTGCAACTCTACTGCATTCAACTACCTTCAATACCCATGCAAATACACAAAGCTCGGGTGTAAAGAGCAGACATACGACCACTGCAAGTGCTGAGTTCACAATGAGAAAGCTCAAACTTACTGTGTTACCACCAGAGAGGTCCACGCCGATACGTGTGATATCGACCACTGGCCTGCTGCAGACTACAGTGACCCCGTCAGAGTAGGACTCCAGGATGTCTCCCACCCCGGTGACCGCACGCACAGTCACGTAATACGTCGTGCCACAGTCCAGGGAGAGGATAGCTCTTGCTTTCCCACTACCGCCCAGACCTATCGGAGAATAGCATTGGCATCAAACAGTGTAAAAAATTAAAAACATGAAAGTTACTCAGTTAACTTTATGGTTAACACTATAGATGCATGTAGTACTACCTAAATGCAGTAAGAGACTGAATTTTTATTTGTCTGACCAATCATCATTAAACAGAGGTAGTTTCCCGGACTTTTTAACTAGTGTCTTACAAGTACATCTTCATACCAATCAAGAGTTTTTGGGGATTTCTTTATCTAATAATGATATTCATTATTTTAAATGTGATTTATGAATTTTCTGTGTATTATGCAATTTCCTTATCACTGATTCTGTGTAATATTCATTCTCCCACCGGCTCCCTGAAGACAGAAAATGAGCTGAGATAACCTTTTCTGGGACCTTTTATTTAACTTCCTGTCATCAGCATCCCTTATGTGTAAAGCATGTGGAAATAGCTAGGGAAATGCATACAAACAAACATACAGATACACCAAAAACAAAACAGCCATTCACAGAAGTAAAAGAAGAAACATCCTCTGACCTCCTCCCCTGACTTGGTCCTCAGGTTTGAGGATGATCCCAGCAGACAGGAAGGGTTGAACATCGTCCTCCCCACTGGAGGTCCCCACAGCCCACAGGTAGTGAGCGATGCCATTCAACTGGCTCTCAAAACCTACAAAATGATAAAAAAATTCATACATGTAAAGTTGTTCTTGTGTTAGAAAAGTTTCTTACAAAGACAGAGTTATTTGTGACCGTCAGCCCTACTGAGCAGAAGTTTATATTGAGTTTTTCTGTTAATCCTCAGATTGAACTCCGGGTTCTCTTTAGGTGAAAAAAAGACAGTACAGGGGTGGGAGGGATCTCATAGTATCCTTTTCTGTTCTCTTACTGATGCCTCCCTTCACCTGGATTCGAGTTCAGTTAACTACCCATGAGAAACATCACAAACCTGAGAAGTGTGCCATGAGGGTGATATCGTCCTTCTGATAGTCGATGTCCACACCTTCCTCTGCTCCATCAGTAACGTAACCAGCCCTGTCTCTGTCCACCACAAAGACGGGAGTAGACGTGGTGGTGTCAGAGAAAGAGTTGGCGCCGTTCCTGGCCTTCACCGTGACGTAGTACACAGGAGTCTTGCTACCCCAGTCGGTCAGAGTGAGACTGAGTCCGTTGATGTAACCTGCTTCTTCTGAGCCCATGTTAGTGTAGTCATGTATATCACTCGATCCTGGAAGAACAAATTAAAGATGACAGACGTTTGTAAAAAAAAGCTCACATTAGTGGCTGGATTGTAACAATGATGATATCAGCAGAAAAAAGGACTGAAGCCACCAAGGTTGAAAAACCAAGAATACAACCATCAGCACCAATGATAGAGACAGTAAAAAAAAAGTTTCTCTTGCTCCAGAATGGCACCATCGCTTCTGTTTCGTATCATGATTACAAAGTACACATTCCCGGTGTCTTTACACCGCATCCTACCAACCAGGGCATAATTGGCCACAACCCTGTCAATCAACTGAAACCCAATCCCTACCCACTCACTTCCAATATAATCCTTACTGGTCAGGACAAGATACAAACTTTCCTTTCCCTAAACCAATGCTGCCTATGAAAGCTCACCAGGACTTGTTCCAATGCACACCCAATAGTCCTTTATCTGACTTTCTGGATCGATGGCTTTCCATGACGCCTGTATGCCCTCAGGGTCGGCCTGCCACACATAACCATCTATCTTCTCCTCCTCACTGCCATCCAGGACTCCCACACGTACATACAGGATCTGTGAAACACACGAACATGTATTTAGACACAAAGGACACATTCTAGGTTTTAAAAATGCGCAGAAATTATCTCGAAATTCAAAGCTTTGGGCTTACAATCTTGTAGTGTATTGTGTGCATCATAGTCGTAATAGTGTAAGTTTTACAAATTCGAAATATTGTGAATCCATCCCTTCCCATTCTTCAAAAGAAACATTACAAAAACTCCACTGTAAAATACAGTATATCAGCACAGTGAAAAGCATTCAAGCAATTTCAAGGTGACAAAACTGGATTTTCAGGGTAAACTTGTGATTGCTTGTTTTGTATCATGTGCTGGTTGTACCTTTTTGAGGACGGTACCCAAAAGATAAACAGACTCCATAATGTTATGTAGATTGTTTTGGGGCTATTTCAAACGCTTTAAGTATGAAATGATGAATCAGATGAAAACATGCTACGAAATGACAGTAATTGTCAATATCAGATTTTTTCATCCAGAACATTTTTTTTTGTTTTAAGGTGCAGTACTTATGCTCACCACAGGTGGCGATGGGTCGACGATGCTCCCGTCAGTGTCGTAAGCAGAAGACAGCAGTGCCCTGTTGACGGACGCCACCCTGGTCTGGTACAGCGCGCCTGCACTCAGGCTCAGGCCGCTGACTTTATGGTGGGTGAGGGATGGTGAGTTCAGCAGCTCCCAGGTTTCACCAACTATAGGAGACAGAAAGGCAGTTTGGACACATTTTAATAAAAAAATTGTATCTGGCAACGCAACATGTGAAACACGCTACTGGGTCAAGTATGTATACGTTCTTTGAATTACGTAGGTTGTACTTTAAAACTGTACATAATTCATTGCTTTCTATGCTGAGCCCTCATCATTTACAAGAAGGGGCATGGTAGTTCATATCCACATGGCATTTGATGTAGGTGTCGGCAAAACGACGGACAGGTTTGATCAATGGTCTCCTGGTGGCTTTCAATAGAACTGCAGCAGAACTTACAGTTTTTGCATCTCATATTTTGCACATCGTTTTAGGTGGGAAATTGCCCTTTTTTGGGTTCTCTAGCAGCCTTTTTAGTACTACAGGGGCCAATTTTCTTTGAGACTTTGAAAGGGAATAATTCTGGATGAAATTGACAGATTGTCATGATTGGTGATACGTAATGACATATTAAGTGATTCTTTATTGATTTAAAGTTACTGTAATCTTTATGTTTATTTGTGTTTATATCTGATTCATTTGTTTGTTCGTTTAATATTATTGATATTAGCCGACAGTATTTCCAGGAATACTTACCTGGGAAGATCTGTTGTTTGGTACCATGCAGGGTCTCGAAGATGGACATCTTGAAGTGGTCCAGTCCAGACTCGTTGTCATAGAAACCCCAGCCGGATGAAAAGGAGTCTTGGTTTGTCTGCAATATTCAGTAAAATAAAGATCAGTATTGGAAAACATAGTATAATGGAATCACTGTTTTTTGTTTGTTTTTAGAAGTAACTTGAAACTCTATTTCTATGTTGAATGCATCAAAGATGTTGGAAAATATTAAAACAAAATTAGTCTTAAGGCTTGGCCACATAGTATTGTTTTGTGATTGTTGAATCGCAAACTGAGGAAATTCTTGGTATAGTTGCGCTCAGGCTCTGTACAAAGTTTAGCTGTATTGTTAAGGAAAATGCTCTTTTAGATCCTAGACAATGCCAATGGTTCTGTAACAGCCTAAACATTGCAAATGCTACACATTGTACGACAAATATGACCGCACCATTATGTGAAGGTCTGTGTAATGGCCCATATAGTATCAGGACATGAATATGTAGACACGTTTTGCTTTCAGGCCTTAGTTCTTGCCAAATTTCAACTTGAGAACCAAACAAATAATGCCTTTAATCCCACAACTATTTAAGACAAATTAGGAGAAGTGACCTGGAAATCTCTGTCAATATCTGTTGTGGAATCCCCATCCCAGATGTCCACCAGGTAGTTAAACACAGGAGGAGTCAGGTCCACGATGAAGCTGTCAGTCAGGGCTTCTGTCACACCTCCCGCTACATTGATGGCTGTCAGTTTGCTCCAGACAACATCACCTAGACAAAGAATTTAGGAGGCAAAGTTTTAACTTCAAGAAGGGTACAAAATGAGCAGATATCAATAAACAAGACAGTCTTTCTTTGTTGGGCCATAATGACCCCTGCCATAATGACTCTTGTCTTGACTTGCCTGACTTTTGTTCCTTTTTCGACTTCCAAAAAATTGTCTATTTGCATTATCAATCAATAGTTTGTGCTTATAAACCTGCATTTCCCCTCTGGTCTCTCAGTCACTGACGAAAGCTAGTGGATACTAGCTGAAACATCTGACGTTTTCAAAATCATATCCAGTTGCTTGAGTAACTGCTGTTTGGCGTATGTTCTGCTTGTGCCAATATGACATGTTGATAAAGGCAAAAATTTGAAAATTGAAATGGGTCAAGTAGTTACCATGAATGAGGTGGAAGTGGAAGAAGTTGGCAGCCCTCTGGCTCTTGTCTATGTCATCAGGACCGTGCATGAGCTGGTCGTCTCCATAGGTGCCATCACTGGAAAAATATTCAATTATTAGCCTTTAAAAACTGAGCAAAATGGTACAAATATATCTTTCATTTTTAGCTACTACATTCATAAAGTTGTTCATGTAAGGCATTAGCTGCGCTCTCTCAATTAGCATGCATGTCGACCTATCGGTGAATACATGTAAACAAAAAAATAAAATCTAAAAAGCTACAGTTTCCTAATCCTTTTAAGCTAAAATCGATAATATTGAAGACCCAAATTTAACCTTTCAGTGCCAAGCAGTGACTATAACAGAGTCTTCCCATAGCTTCATTGCCCATTATGATTTTAATTTGTTATATCAATTGTTTCTTTTTCTTGTCATTGCATAATCATTACAGCACACCGACATATATATATATATATATATATATATATATATATATATATATATATACTGCGTCAAAACGGCTGTGGGACTAACCCTAGTTTAATTTTACACATGGCTTCAACATTTTCTCCACTTACTCATTCAGTTGTCTCCTGTAGATAGACAACATGAACTCATCAATGCCAGACTCTGGGTCTATGAAGTCTCCCCATTGGGCGTCGACACGTGCAGGCTCGGAGGTGAACTCAAGGTCAACGGGGACACCGTTGGCGTCTGTTTCGTCACTGTCCCCGTCCACAAACCAGCCAGATTCCGGTGGGGTCAAGTCCACTTGGGCTGAAACATTGCAAAATCATTGATGACTATACAGTGAATATGTCAAACAAAGTTTGTGGCAAGTATATGTTTCTACTATTGGTAAGTCTTGCTAAATTAAACTGAAAATAAAACGTGATGAAAAAGTTGAATTATAATGGACTGTAAGGCGAAATCTTTAGAAATATTTTTATGCAGTCATGTCAAATTGCAACATCTACAATTTTACAGTGACATAGTGCAAATTGTAAATGTAAACAATAATAATATGCGGAAGTTGGAAACATTTTGATGTTGGCAAAATATGAGGTTAAGACAAGATTATAACACTTTAAAATCAGAAAGATGCCACAATGATTATACAATACGTACACATATTGTAAACAATTTCGGTCATACTAACACCAGCTCTGTAGTACAAGTTGTATCGATGATTGAAGATTTCAAATGACGGACAATACAATCTTGTCTTAATACAGAATGTAATGTTCCTCAAAGTATGTATTAATCATCACAACACTTAAACTTACATCCATTGCTTGTTGCTGAGACATTCAGTGCCCTGTACCCTCCATGTACAGCCACTACCGTGGTGTAGTACTTGGACATGTGCACCAGAGGCGTAGCAAGGCTGGCGCAGGCCTGGTGGGTTCTGGTGTCCACAGACTGGAAGGCCATCAGATCTGTTTCACCTGGTGTGGAGCCGACGCCCCACCAGTAGGTCTTCAGTCCAGATTCAGGGTCGTAGAAGTCTCGCCAGTTAGCACACACCTGGGAAAATGATTCAGATAGAATTAATTCTTGTGTACTCGGAAGTATTGTTTTGGGTGGCCGACGTATGATTTTGTGTGTTTCATATTCAAGTAGGAGGGTGAAGGGTGGGAGGTGATTTTGACAGTTGATTGCACATATCAAGATGGCGGTGCCCATCAACCCAAGGGTAAAACAGAATATGTTTCATTTACGTTCTTCTGTTATCCTTGTATCCTATGTATCATGTTATTCAGCATGGTGTACATGTAACATCACGCTCTGATTTAGCCCCATGGGCATGAACAATGCAATTAAAGATTCGCTGTAACTGGTCATTTTCTTACCTCATTCAGCTCCGGGGTCCAGTCGAGATCTTTCCCATAATCATTCCCATCCAACACCTCTCCAGGGAAGGGCGCAGAGCCGTCAATGATGATAGGAACATCAGCCGTACCAACTGTCATCAAATAAACTACGGGACAAAAACAACAAAAATCAAGAGTCAAAGTGTATTCATATTTTCCAATATCATTTGTTCTTATACTGTTGAAATTGTCAGTTAGCTTTCTTGTTGTCACTAAATAAATGCAGCATTTTTTATAAAGTTAGTGGTTCTTGACTTCATGGTAAAAACTATTTTTGTGGGTGGGGAAGATTGACAGGCAGAATTATAAGAACTCAAAAGGGCAGACACAAGAATTGGTATATATAAGAATTGTCAACATGGGTAAATTTAGGGAGCCAAAGGAACTTTATAATAATTCCCAGAAATCTGAAATCTCTAAATTCTTGTTTACAGTTTTGTATTTTGTAGAATGGACAAACTTTCTAAAATTGAATAGTTAAGTTCTTCATTCACCAACTTGGCGAATTTGTTCACAGAAAAAAGAGATTCCAAATAAAATGTTAAAATCTGTAGTTCTGACCTCCGTTGACAGCCCTAATTTTGGGCCACGCGGGCACGCCGTCTTCAATGGTCGGGTTGATCTCGATGGTCCCGGTGTGGTTGTGACGTTCCCAGTTCATCACCAGCACGTCAAACTTGGTGAGACCCAGTCCGATGTCTGCCTCCACAACAGCCGACTGTTCATCACTGTGGACAGGGACAACAAGGGTTTCAAATTATTTATGAATCGGTCCTGCAAAAGTTTAATGTTCCCACGCCATATCATGCACAATTATTAAGACACATCTACATGTATGCAACCACAAGACACATCTATGCCACCATAAGACAACAACTATACAAATTGCCAAATATAAGATACTACGTATATGTAATCATGAGACACTACTATAGGGCATATCTACCCATCCACTGGACAACGTTCAAGGCACTGAATGGTATGACACCTGCGCACATCTCACAATACTTCACAACATCTGCTTCTACCCACTCACACAACACCCGACACAGTACACAGGGGGGGGGGGGCTCCAACTACCTAAAGCACGTCTACAGTACAAAAAGAGATCATTTTCATACTCCGGCACAGTTCTCTGGAACTCCCTTCCGCCACATGTAAGAAACTCAAAATCTATCAGTACATTTAAGACCAGACTTTCTTCCCTCACCAGTTAATTTGATTTTGGTTGAGTGATTTACAAACATTATGATTTTCCTTACCAGTAACTGTTAATATGATTTTGTTTGATTTATGCTTGTGAGATAAGTTCCATTGATATGCAAATTCCTTTCGCTTTAACTTATTTATGTTTTGGTTGGATTCTTTATGTTACCTTATGATTAATTGCACACTTGTATATAGTGATTATTTTCTTCTTATTTATTATTGTATTTTATCCTCAGTTACATGTACTTTGTATTTTACTATGTTGGGGTTTACCCCCCAGGTATCATTGAAAAACGCCGAGAAGGCGATATGTATCACCTGGATAAATAAATAAAATGAATGAATGAATGAACTCTATGGAAGACCCATAAGAAACTTTGAGGCAACCACAACCTTGATGTAACCTTAATTCATCTCAAAACAATAATAATTATAATAGAAACCCTTGATGTAGCCATAAGATAAGAACCTAATACTATTTTCCCAATCTGGTGATAAAACATGATAATTGTAGATAAAAAAAATTAAATCTAAATTTCATTCATTTATTAACTCATTTGAGTAACTGTTTTTGACGTATTAACATTTGAAAGAATTTTGTTACAAATTTGGAGCATATCATGTTTGGAAATGAATTAAAATGATTAGCATACCTTGTATTGTAGGAAATCTGAAGGTCATTGGTCTCAATGTCAAACTCCACCCCCGTGATACCGTGGAACACCGGCGGGGTGTTGTCGATACCGTACGGAGACGTGTGGCAGACGGTGAGAGACATCGTACCGCCGTGGGCTACTCGGTTGAAGCCGCGAATGCTCAGATAGTACCTCCTGTCTGTAATACAGAAAAGTATGTGATTGTGCAAAGGTTTCAGTGGGTTGTTTCATTTCCAATGAGTGGGCAACTTCAATAAACATTATCAGACTAGAACGCACAATATCTATAACTCTTAGTTTCAAGTAGCTCTTAGTTTATTCTTGGACAATATCAATCATTGTGCATGTTGAATGAATGAGGGAAGAAAAGATTAAAGAAACAAAGGAATTGGTTGATGATTAACTAAAGAATTTAGATTAGGAACCATGAATAAAGAAAGGGAGAAAGAAAGGAAGGAATGAAAAAAAGGATGGAAAGAAGAAATGATTGGGTGGAAGAGACAAGGAGAAAAGGCAGGGTGGAAGGAAAGAAGGCAGGAAAGAAGGAAGTGAGAAATGAATATTTTATATATTTGAACAAAAGAAGGAAGAAAAAAGGAAGCAAAGAAATGTAGGGATATGGGAGAAGTAACAGATAAGAGGACAGGAATAAACCGATTTTTATGAATGAGCAAATGGGATACTGTTCATACCAGGTAGGATCCCGTTGACTACAGTAGGTGCAGGTGGTACTGGGTAGATGGTCCCGGTGTGTGTCCACTCTGAGCTGTCATACAGGTGGTCATGTGGGTCGTGATGCGGGTGGATCATACAGTCACAGTACTCCCAACCCGCACACCACGAGTAACCATAGATACCGGTCTCATCGTCATGGATACCATCGAAACTTACTACAGAAGGGAGGGAGAGAATGGTATACAGATTTTGGTATTACCAACTACATGTTGTAGCATACATTATGTACATGTAGTAGAAATCAATTAATGCAAATCATTGTCCAAGTCATAATGAACGCTAAGTGAGCAAAACAAAATAAGCACACGCAATAAAATGCTAAAATTGGTAAGCTACGTACTAATTGCTTAAACATTTTTGATTAGATTGATTATATTTGTGAAAATCTTTCGAAATTAGATTTTTGTCTTTGTTACAAGAACTTAAGGTATCATTTTGTCTTGAGATATTGGGACAAATGGATTGACAGATACACCAAGTCTTGTAAAAGCTATATTATAAATGGTAGTATGATGTAGTAGTGCTGAGGCACATTGTTCCATAATAATATAAATCTTACCCCTGCTGCCTAACTCCATTTACCAAATAGATTTGGTACCAATCAGCTACCTTAGCAGAAAATTAATTGTACAGACAATAATACATGTACATTTTTTCATATCTGTATTACATAAAAGATTAAGAGAAAATCTCACTTGAGATGAAAGTGTTGGCCCTGGTGTAGAACCCTCCCACCTGATGTTTCATGCCGTTGGTCACAGTCATTGATGTTGGACCATCCTGTATAATCCTATTAGTAATTGAATTAAAATGGTTCAATTATTATTACACCTTTCTATGTACTACATGTACCTTGTACAATGTACGTAGGTTGAGCATGTTGCAAGTTTTTTGCATGTTATCTTAAAGTTCATAAATGCATATTTGATAAGAAATGGATTCCTCAATTGTACCCATCAGTTCCTGAAGACGCAACATTGGGACCTGCATGCCAGGAATTCATCCCAGAACCTTCAGTCAACAACCCAAACCACAAGAACACCTTGCCACCATTTAACTATTAAGTAATATTTTGTTGACGATGATGATGAGAATTCAAACCTGTGGTTGGGTAGTCTTGACGTGGCTGTCTCACATCTGTTCTGGTGCCACTTGTCCACCACCTTGTCGTGACAAGCCTCGTAGAACGTCTCGTCACTGAGGACTTCTCCAGCAAAACCTGGGTCCGGTGGGGTGAAGTCTGCCAGGATTCCCTGGTAAAAACATTTTGTTTGTTACTTAATGATTAAAGTTAAAGTTACTGCCTGTTACTACAGAGGACCCTTCCCTCATATGCGTCGGCGTCGTGTGGTGTAGTGGTTAGAGCAATCGACTATGAACCGGGAAGACCCGGGTTCGATTCCGAGTCGTACCCGGTACATGTCTGAACATGCGCCCCGACGTTGTGCCCTTGGGAAAGGCACTTAACACGACTTTCCTCACTCCACCCAGGTGTGAATGGGTACCTAACTTCGGTTGAGGAAAGTCGTATTGAGGTCACCTTGTGGCGCCGAATGGCAGCCGCACAGACCCTTGCGACAGTTCCACAAAACATAATTGTGGAACAAATATGTGTATCATGTGTGTTATTTGATTGTTGTAATTGTTGTGATTTGTATTGATTATTATGTGATACCCTGCATCAATTCAGCCGTATAAAGGCTGCGACTGCACGGGTACTGTTTGGACAATAAAAACCATTTATTTATATGCAATATGCACCAGTGCAACCTTTTGCGTTGCAGATCTATCCAGTCCAGAATATGTTAGAATCTATGGTTTCCTTACAAATATTGGCAGGATAGAACGGTGTGTTTTAGCTAATGACCACAAATGACCACTCTGAGGCCGACCTCATCGCACGAATCAGATTTCTGATTTTTCAAAATATGTTAATATAATAACTTAAAGATTAATGTACAATGTACAGGAACATGTACTATAACTGCAAAGATCATTGATATCAAACAGAATAATGTAATCTACTACATGTAAGTGCCAATTTAGCTTATGGAATAAATTACAGTATTATTTTAGAACGATAATAGCTAAGTTTACTGTTAAAGATACTGTTAATTACAGAAATGAAATTCATTACAAGTAGCATTGTGTAAAACAATAAGAATCACACAAAAACAATACTACGACACTGTGCAATGTACATACATGAGAAGAGATTTCTCCCAGATATTCCATAGTGTTGTCTGCCTCCACATTGAAGAAGTACAGTTTGTTGTGTATCAGCTCCAGACCATCCAGCGAGAGGGCAGCAGTGTAGCCTACACCCAGCCTCTCATAGAAGTGGAACCTGCCAGACTATAGGGAAACGGAAGAAAATTTGTCAGAAAATAGTCGGGTTAGATCATTGGGAAGAAAATTTGTCAGAAAATAGTCTAGGGCTAGCAAACAGGAAATCAGAGATTTCAGACTTCTTGGAAGTATGCAATTCTCAGCTTCCTGAATTCCCCCCATGTTCACATGTAGTTCCCTGTTGGCTCCAAGCCTGATTTTGAGACCTACCCTGCATGTTTGTTTAGAAATACATCTTGGACAAGGAACCAGATTTTTGGGCACGAGATATATTAATGACATCAGGGCATTTCAATCATCCGTCAACAAAGACGGGGGATGCCACAGACTATATGCTACCTATTATCCACTGCTCCATAAGCCACCTTTGTCAAATGCACAATGTGACATCACGAAAGGGGTTAATTGCTCATTCCTTAACAAAGACTCAAGTTTTAACTGTTGAAAATTTGGGTAAGTCCAATTTGTTGAAAATTATCCTGTTTCTTGCTTCATAGAAACAAGGAAAATCATTTTACTTACAATTTGCACTTGTGGTCCGTTCTTCTGTCCAACAGCCTCAATCTCTCCCAGGAGTTCACAGTTCTTAGATTCGCCGTAGTCGAAGTTGAAGCTCTTACAGTGTACTTCGTCGTACTTCAGACACTCGGCGGCACACGTCTCGGGGCTGGCAGCATAGGTGTCCGCCCCGATCATGACCTTGAAGGCGGCCACACCAAGACGACCTTCCCTTGGAGCAGTGAAAGCACCCAAGCCTACAAAGAACGGTAGTTATAATCAATAATTTACATATAGATGCAATATTTCTATCATGATCATTATGGCCGTAGATAACACAATACACAAATACTTAATATATTAATTCAAACTTGTGGAAAGCTTTAACAATAGAGTTGGGATTTTTTTCATTATTTTGGTTCATTATTAGTAAGTTTCCCATCAATTATCTGCACATTCCACTGTCAGTTTTCCACAATTTCAACCTCAAATCCAACATTTTTGTCAGTCTGCGGTTACACCATTTCCCCCTCACTTTCTGTTACTATACTATAATAAAAACTGTTGACACACGTGCAAACCAACAAACAGTAACACAAAAGAAAACATATGTACACAAAATTAAGACTTTTCCCTACCACAAGATGTCAAAGCAACACCTTCTCTCACAATTTTCAAACGGCTTCTGTCTCTGTGACTGACCTTTACGGAACCTCTATATATGGACCTGATGACGTTACGACCTGTTTTGTTATTGTTATTTATTTATGTATTCTTTTATTTATACTTTATATTATTGTTTTTCTTTGTACTATTATTATAATTATCAATTTATTATTATCATTTTACCCCTTGACTATCCTCCCAACTCGACCCCCACAAAAAGCGGCCGTCATGGCTGAATGGGGTGATATATATTGTACATATGATATATCATTAAGTATAAATAAAGGCACAAACAAACAAACAAACAAACCATCAGATCTGGCGCTGCTCTTTGTGATGGTGAAGGGTCTCCATGCTCCTATCTGGTCTCCCCAGACGCCCTGTCCGTACCCCACCCCCCATCTCTGACCAGTCAGCATTGAGTCGTCATACAACTTCACAGCTGCACTCAACTTCGTCGGATCACTGTAGATAAAAAAGAAAAAGAAAATAAGTCCAGGACTAGATGAAATCCAAAATACTTGGCATCTGTTAAACACATTGCATCATTGTCATTCCATATAATATTACATGACTGTATTTAGAAGGGGCGGGCAGTTAGCACTGTATTAAATTTGTTAATAGTTCAGGTTTCTATTTTCAAATTGTCAGCTTTTCTTTGGTTTAGGCCAGCAACAAAATATAAATAAAAAATAAATTATAAAGTATTATGATTGTATAAAGCCAAACAAAACTTCTAAAACAGCTCCGAAAAAGCTTCAAAGTTTAAAGACCTCTGCTTGGAGAGTAAAATACAGTCACTGTAACCTTTCTGTAATCAACAAAATCTGTTGACATAATGTGACACCAGATTAAAAGCCCTACTAAACAAGGAAATGCAGATGTTTTCAGTAAGTAGAACATCTGGTAGCCGAGATAGTATCCACGCAATTGGTACTGTATCCAAAAGGCTGCTGGTGACATTGAATGATTTTCTACCAAAAGATAGCAACATTGGATACTTGTCCTGAATACCAAAGATCTGATTTGATCAGTTTTCGTTACCTTGTGGAGAGGTAGTCCACTTCAATCTTGCCTGTAGTTGGAGTGTTGTCGTAGGTGGGCAGACTACAGGTGGCCTGAGCACACTGACCACCGGTGTTACAGGCATGCACGATGAAGTACAACGGGATGCCATTCCTCAAGTCCTGCAGAATACATTCAATCAGTAAAATTGTAAGATAGTTTCTAAAAATTCTTGAAAACTTTAAAAATGATGACCCACTGGAATGGACTGGGTTATGACTAATTTTAATTACTATATAATTATTATGTTTTATCATTATTTTGAAAGTTCAATTTTCTGTTCGGGTACAGGTCATCATGGAGGAAGTTTAAGCTGTAATTTCCAACACAAGGAATTTCAACTTACCCAAGTAAGTTGAAATTTACAACATTGGTAGAATTTCTAGCTGGTAGGTATTTTCACATGTAAATGGTATCTCTAACAAATCTGACAGAGCTATTCACTCAATGGTTCATGATCAGTTTGCATTATAATCAATCAACACACCTCTTTTATCTGTGTCACAGACCCTCCCAGTGCCTCCATATCAATAATGTCAGAGTCCCCGGGTGATGTCCCGACGCTGTAGAACAGGTTAGCGGGCGACCTGTCGTCACTGGCGGCTATCTCGATCTCGAAGGCCGGCTCGGTGTAGTCCAGACCCGGTATCTGGCTCACCTCACAGTTCTGTGCCCCTGAACCTCCGCCTCCCTGAAACAGCAATACACTCACATTGGACATGTGCATAGCCGATTCGTATGTTTTGGGTCGCTATTTTTACTAGCAGTTTCTTAGTAGTTATCAGTAGTTTTATGTGTACTAATTATCTGTTTTTATACCAAATGTTCCTTCTGTTCCTGCAATTAGCCCTCGGGCAAGAATTTGCAATAAAACTTATTATGCTATTTGTCTGGACATTGTACTAGGTTAACAGTGCGTGGGTGAGGGAAGATTGACTAGCAGGATGATTTGTCAAAAGGTCAGGCACGGGAAATGGGGTAACTTGAGAGTATGTTGACAGCACGTGGGTGCACGGGAAAAAGACTGGCAAGGCAGATTGACGAGTCAAACAGGAAAGACGTGATAAACAGGAGAGCTGGAAATTATACCAAATTTGGAAAACCCAAATTTTTCCAGGAAGTTTTCCATTGTATGAACTTCAAGTAACTTCCTTCTATGATTCCCATCAGTCAAATTTTTGAGACGTATCCCCCCTCAAATATTATGACCCCAAGGGCACACCAGAGTTCACACCCCCATCACTCTATGGCCAATGAAACTCAGCCACGAATGACTCAATTCCTTAGGTGGTTCCAGTGCAGACTCGACACATACACACAAACTATCAACTGACCCGACCAAAGACAATACTTCCGTCCTAAAAATTTATGATAAACTTACACCAACAGCCGGTTCTATCTTTGGAGGGGACTCGTCTTTCTCTTTAGTGGTGAGCTCCAGGATCCGAGCGCTGATAGTTGGGGTGGTGAACTGCCACAGTAAAGCTTCGAACAGCGTTTCTTTGATGGTTCCGACCAGTGGGATGCTGACCTCCACTGTGACCAGCGCCTTCAGACGCAACTCCAGGGGGATCAACTCAACATCCAACGTCATCCTGGAATAGAAATTAATCATGTAATATGCAATCTCGAACCAGTTTAGCTCGCTGAAGAGCTTCACTTGCATTGGATGTGGCAGACAGACGCCATGTGTAGTATTTGCAGGTTCGTAATACCGTTCTACGTACGAGTTCTTTTTGGCTGTCAACAATGAAAGGCGGAACACAGCTTAACGTCCCATCCTAAGGACTGCAACCCTTTCCTTTAGTTACAGTGCATTTCATGCAGGTGAGCGACAGTGGTCGGGATTGGAACTCACAACCCCTTGGTCCAGAAGCAGGGTCACTAACTAGCTAGGCAATGTTCCGACATAGGATTTGGTTATTTGGGTTGTTGGAAAAAAAAGGTTTTTCGGAATACATAATATAGGTACCTAAACCTAGTAAGTAGATCAAACAAGAAAGAACAGGATATAACATGTTATGATATGGTACATTGCTGTATCTTGTAAAAATCGACCCAAGATTTGTTACAAAAAAAGGCACTTCTCTTTGGAGTCCAGGTCACAAAAAATCTACACTTTTTGTTGATCTTTGCGTCAGATGCTAACAAGGTGTTTCACATTGTCCAGTAGTAGTAGTAGTAGTAGTAGTAGTAGTAATGTAGTAGTAGTAGTAATCTACGCATCATACCCAACGTCGAATGGGAACTTGCTGAAGCCCATCTCTGCCATAGTGGGAAAGCGAGTTTGCATGATGTCTCCCTCCAGCCGGAGTTTCCCATACATGAGAGCACCAATACCCAGCTCACCCCATACTGTTATCCCTATATAAGGTGTCGACGTCCCTGCAAATCAGAAAACAGATAATTGTGTAACGTTATGGGTACAAAAATATTTAAAACTTTATCATACACTGTATATTTAGGCCACAATAACATTCAATACGGTTGTATCTATATAATAACTAGCGGTATCACACATGGTTCTATTTGGTCATTACACAGGCTTCCTATTATGCATAATTTAATGTTGTACAGAATAATATTATTTAGAGTGCATTTTACGTGCACTGCATGCGTCGCTTTTGGAAATTCAAAGATACTTACAACTTTTTGTTTGGCACATTTTGCATTGAAATGTGTATTTTCTTAAGTGGGTATGACATAAATACAACAAAGTGTATTCCGCATTACCCTCGGTCCCAGCCCTTCCGCTGGTTGGGCTGTTACCTCAGGTGACATAGAATGCCCTGTGTTGTATTCTACATAATTATATATAAAACTTATGTTTCAGCTTAAATTTCAGATTTCATGTTGCCATCAAATTCTGTATTAGAAGTAATAAAATCAAAGTCTGTGTGTACCTGTCAGACCCATAGTCCCCATCTCGGCCTTCAAAGTGATAAGTACTCCATAAAACCCATCCGCACCAAACCCTGGCAGAAGAGAAAAAAATTAATTCATGGATATGAAATATAGGTAAAATGTCTGGCTCATGTAATGTACGTGTATCTATTAGCCAATCAGGCAATTTAGCACTAAAACATTCATAAACATTCTAAAATATTCATAATCACTTAAAGTGATAAAAATATAAACTTAAAGGCAATTTCTACAGAAAACAAGTTGCGTTAAACAATAAGGGACTGACACAAACACTCAAAATGTGCCAAATGATTCAAATTAGTTAATGTATTACGAAGTCAACCAAGTTTGAAATGTAATATTTCCAACACATGACGTTTGACTCGGACCAAATGTTCGACCGTAAAACTCCAGCCTTTGTCAAGGAATGACAAATCCACCACTTCAGTGATGCCATGTACGCAGATGACACAGCACGGAACTTAAGCAGTGGGATCATAGGTTGCAGAAAGTCTGTGGCGTGCCCGTCTTTGTTGAGGGTTGGTTGTAATTCACTGCATAATGTGACGTCGTTAATTGCTCATTTCTTGGAGTTGTGCAGTCGAAATTTGGCTAAATCCTCAAACTGGCTTCATGATAACTTCTACCAACACTTATGAACTTTCAAGATACTTACCAAATGTCATCGGTACAAGCCCACCAACCAGGAAAAACTGTGAATATGAAAAGAAGTTGATCGTCTGCCTGGGGTACTCCCAACCGCCACGGAAGGTCAAGTCGAGGGACTTGAAGAGCTCTTCAGTGTCCTTACTCAAGAGCAGGTCGATGGCTTCATTGACAAGGTCTGCAAGCAGCTCCTTTAGGCTCTTCATCAGGTTGAATGCGAGGATTGGGTCGATGTTGTTTAAGTCCAACGTCTTACGGATGTCCAGGAATGTCATGTTCAGGACAGGGTTCGTGGCTGTTGCAGACCTCTTCACAAGGCTGTGATGCAGGTGCATAGCTTCCTGTTGCTTTCTGTAGGCTGCTAACTCTTTGTACTTCCCAGTAGGAGGAGCGACTTGGACTGCTGTTGTTGTTGGGCCTGGTATTCGTCTAGCGACTTTCACCTTGTAGCGAAGAGAAGAAGCCCTGGCCGTGTCGCCGACCAGTTTCTCCTCTCGACAAGCAAACAGAGGGATGACAGCGTCTTTTAGAATCTCGACTTTGTGGCAGTGCCGTTCGGATGATTCGTGGTCGCATACATGTAGCTTGAAATCCACCACAACTCTGTGCCCGTCAGGGTTCATGGCGGCATACAAGACTTGAATCGCTTCTCCGATTTTCTCTTTCTGTGAGAACCTCTTGTGTGCCTTTGGTATGGTCTCGGTGAATGACCAGTTGCCGACCCGGATGGTCAGGTGCCGTCCACATGTCTCCATGTCCAGGCTGACGTGACTCATGAGATCTGTGTGATCCGGATCCAGGTGGACACAGCAGGAGATCCCGCGGCAGTTACGGTAGGGTAGACACTGCTTTTGCTGGTGCCACATCTGGGGTAAACCCGGGCAGTCCGGTGCTTTGGGGTCGTAGTGTACATGTAGCATGTGCTTGCACTGTTGGGCCTGGATCTCCAAACCGTTGTCCAGGGTGTGAATCATGAGAGGAACGAACTGTGGAGTTTTCACCAAACTCAAACCTTCTTCGGTGGCCTGGACGTCCCTTCTCCTCCGAGTGCAGTACGGAGGCCTGGGGATGGCGAGTTCGTCCAAGATGGGGACGTTCACAGCACAGATGTTGTTCACACACATGAGAAGGTTCAGGGTCGTGACGAAGGTCTGATCAGGACCGCGTAGAATGCTGTACTGTAACTTGATGTGGTCTCCAAAGTCGAGGATTTCAAAGGGTCCCTCTGAAATGTCATACGTGGAGCTGAAGTTCAGGTAGTGTTGTTCGTTTTCGAATCTGATTGTTGTTCCAACGTCAGGCAAACAGGGGTTGATCTTCAGGGAGACCAGGAAGACAGGTTCAACGACCTTGAGGTCAACGCTTGCCTGACATTGGATCCCCACGCAGTGTTCCAGAGCCACACACGTGACCATATTGTTGGATAGTTCAGCAATGTTCTCTGCTGCTGTTTTCAAGATGCAGGTGCTTCCAGCAGTGAAGGTTGGCATCGTCAGTTCCTCTTCCCACGTGCTTGGTTGTCGTAGAATCGCCGCATCTAGTCCAAGCTGCGACCCAGTGAACGAAAGATAGTCTGTATCTGGCAAAGATGCTGGAAAGTCCTTTACCTTTGACAGGACATTTGCGAAAGTCGACGCATCCGACTGCTCAATAGCCTTGTTGGGTAGGCTGACGTTCTTCAAAATGCTGTGGATAACCAGGTGGTTGTCTGTGGTGAAGTGGAGGTCAAGGTTCACGCTGATGAGTTCACCAAACTCCAGTGGACGGGCAGTCCACTTCAGCTCGATACTGCTGCTAATGCGCCGGGTTTGTATGGCTCCGTTTGCCACTTCGAAGAGGTCTGCGGTGAACTGTTGCCCACCAAAACTGTACCGGACGGTGAAGGCGTTTGGGTCGAGAGAAAATGATATGCCAAAAGAGTATGTCTTCACTGCATAGTCCAGCTTTACACAGCCCTGGACTCCAAGGCATTGGTCAGACGGCTGAAGGAACACCGTGTCATCTTGTTTCAAGGAAAGGTCTGGGCAGGATCTTGCCGTGAGGGATGCGGTGTCACATTCGTCTTGCTCCAGGTAGTCGTACATGTTGTAGTGGCGGAAGACAGCCTTTGTCACAGTGCCCACGATTGGTCCAGCAGGGTCATAGTGGACGGATTGGAGGAACTTTGCCACAGTTTCTGGCCAGGCTGAAATATAGAAAAAACATCAGAATATACAAGATGTACTAGTTGCGAGTGTTTCAGCTTATGGTGCAATCACAATCATTGTAAGCCATTGTAAGATTTTGATGCCGCATTATCTTCAAGCAGGCTGTAACATAACAGACCACTGACAAGGATCTAATAAAGTCTTTTCTGTAACAAATCAGCTGATTTTTTTTTTAAATTTAGAACACATGCTCACCTTTTCCAAAATGCATTCAGTTTGCAATCGCATGAGGCATGTAATTGGACCCTTATATCCAGAAAGAATTGGTCATAATAACTATCTTTTTCCCGAAAACATTGACATTGACAATCAAAAATACAGTACATAAATCTTTTCGTTTAAAAATGCTAAAGATGTGGAGAAATTTTACACCAACCTGTTATAGAGAAGGACCCAGTGTAAGGGCAGAAGTTTATGGCTTCTCCCACTTGTTGACCCGTGAGGGAAAGGTTCCAGACCTGTACGCAGGCCAGGTTCCCACTGAAGGCGAACCCGTTCCCCTCGGCATCTTCCGCATACCCCGCCCTCGCAGACGTGTCTGTGGCCAGCCTTCCAGGTGGATGTTGTACCTCCACGACTACTTCTCCGTCCACCCACAGGTGCCCTGTTGCCGTGACGTTGTCGTAGGACACGCCGACGAAGTTCCACTCTCCTGCCTTCACTGCGTCTTCTTCGGATTGGAACATCACGTCTTCTACCCCGGTTTGTGTCTGCATCTGAAGATTTGCACTTAGACTCCCATTCGGTGAAAGCCAAAGGTATAAACCATGGACATCAGGACCGACACTGCCTCCCCTGTAGTCGAAAATCGGTGCAGACTGGTCGAGTGTACTCGGGCGAATGGCGACCAGTATGGTTATGGATGATCTTGACTCAAGTTTGCCGTAGTTGGGGAAATCTATGTGTGAGCGAGAGTCTGCGGTATCTTGTATGGTCTGTGATCCGCCGTCTTCATTGTTGAGTCCCGTACCAGGACTAGTTCCATGAAGGACAGCGTTGTCTCCTGTCTTTGTTACATCCATTCCACCCAGTTGTGTGTTTAGAGGATAGAAGGCAATTGGTTTCACAGAAATACCTGAAAGAAAAACGGCAAAAGGTTTGTTCATATAATATGCATAGGGTTAATTTGTTTTATCATATACATCATACCTAGATTGATAATGGATAGTCCGATATACAGTCATGTACTGTCTGAAATTACTAGAAGCACATATTGGAAAAACCTTTACTGGGTTATTGCCCATAAGTCTAAACAATTATAAATGTATACCTTGGATCTTAAATGGTACACCAGGATCAAGTGCCTCCTCTGGCATGAGGATGTTGTCAAGGAGGATGAACTCTTCTTCTTCTCCTTCCCCGGAGTTAAAGATGACCTTCAAGTTTGTATTGTACTGTTGGTCGTCTGTCAAGCTCTCAATGTTGTACCTACAAGAAGAAAACACACGTGCATTAAACCACGTAATATACATTTGGGTACAATATACAGGTTTGAAATCAATCATTACCTTTGCTAAATCTCTACAAGAATTGGTCAACTAGTTAAAATGCCTTTTAAGTTATTAATTGTAGAGTAAGAAAGCAACTTTTCTGACATGGGGGTGCATTAGAAAAATGCAAAGTTAAAACCACTATATGTCATTTTACAGTACATATGCACAAGAAAATTGTTACCCAAGTAGCTATCATACATTTCAAGTATAGCATCCACTAGTTTTTGTCAGTGATTACTAATAAATTAAATGTTTGAAACGTCGATCCAGTTGCTTAGGTAATAATTTCCTTGTGTATCAATCAATCTGGATGTCCATGGGCCTACAGAACAGATATTTACACTCAGTAAATTCTTAAACTTTGGCTAAATGTTCTATGCAAATATCTTTACCTTATCCTGAAGACATCACCGATAGTTTCCTCTCTCTCCTCAGTCATTGGCAGCAACAAACTGTTGGTGAATTCATAGCTGCCCAGTCCAACTGTCAGCTTATAGTCATTCACATCAATCTGGTATGATACTCTGAAGGACCTACGTCCGGTCTGAAAACCACATCAAAAAATTATGTCAATTTTATTTCTGTTTTATATCATTATGCTATAAAAGCTTCAAGGTTGTATCTAGAAACATAATTCATCAGCAACCATACTCAAGCATGGATTGTGGATAATCGGCGCTTATCCAGAGACATGCTGGATCTATGTTGGATATCCAGAACCGTGCTTAATCTTTACCCAAACCCATCTAGGCATAGAGCTAGCTAGGTATGGTTCTGTGTATATATACAATAGTAAGCCAGCAGCACTTTTTTTGTATACATGGTCAGGAAGATTACGACTTCAATGTTTTCCATATTTGAACCATACTTATAGCTTTAATACTATTTGTACTAACTGTAACTACATTTAATTTTGCTGCATATAACTTTTACCGCATAGTGAATGCTAAGTTTCAGTGTCTCAACCTCAGTGTCATTGACATTGACAATAGTAGAAAAACAATGGAAAACAGAACATATGTTCAACTGCAAAAACATCACATCAAAATACAATCTACAGTACCTTGAAGTCCACAGACAGACAGCATTCGACACTGCTGCATTGGTCAGTGTAGCTGCAGGTTAGGTTTCCTGGTTCACTCGGGAGGGTGCCGTTCTGTTCTACACAAGTATCAGGGACTGTTGTCTGCACACTGTGGCTACAGTCATCCGCAGTGTACAGGTCTGATACACCTAAGAAGCGGTATACTGCTTGTTTCTTCAGTTCGTTTCCGTTTTCCCCAAGGAAACTGTCTGCAGTGCCTGAAATACAAAGGGAATACCATGAATGAAATGTCTAATAAGAGAACGTCCTTTATTTAATGGAATATACTGTAAATGGTGTAATTCCAGGTTTGTTCATGGTGCTTTTATCTTCATAGTTTCACGGTCACTTCTGTATCATGAAATTATCATTGCCTCCATGACATGTCATGTACATACTAGCCATTTACAGGTGGTCATCACCATGCATAAGATTTACGAAAGCACTGAACATGTCATGGAGGTATGAGATCGCCGAAGTCTAGTTACAGGTAAACGTTGAACAAACACATCTTGAAAGCCTTTTCAGTGCATTTTCTGAATTTCAAGAATAGGCTTAATGAATCTAATATAGTGTAGAGTTTTAAAGGACTTCTAAAGATTGCAAGGGACAGATTCTAGAGATTTCATAAACTACCTGGAAGCACATATGGAGAATCCACCAATGGATGAGCAGAGGTAGCTTCAATGGTGAGAGGCATGTTGGGTTCCCTGGTTCCATCAATGCTGACATCCAGTTCCATGGTAAATTTCATAGCGTTACGCAATCCTCCAGCAGGGTAGTCCACATTGTACCTAGCGGCAAAAGAGTCTTTGTTATTATTATGATCAGTTATGAGTTGAATTATGAATAATTAGTATGATCAGTTATTATTATGATTATGATTATTGTTATTATCATGACTATTATCATTATGATCAGTTATTATTATGATCAGTTATGAGTTGAATTATGAAAAATTATTATGATCAGTGTTATGATTATGATTATTATTGTTATAATTATGATCAGGCGTTATTATTGTGTAAGGGATGGTTCATTGAATTGCATGACTTGTATGTTTTGAAAAGAGTCTTTGTGAGACAAAAATTGCAACTGTAGCTACGTATACCTACATCTTTACTTGTGTGTCAATTCCAAATATCTAGTCTTTCATATCATTCACATTTGTACAATGGAGATCAAAAAGAGTATCAAATGTGGCTTTTGTGTTGACCAATACTACGTGTAACACTGGGATAAAATTACGATGTCACCAATGAGCACAAAGGACACTGGCAACAACAGCCAATCAGCACTAAGGACAGGAGTAACAACAACCAATCAGCACTATAGGGAGAATGTTCCACTCATCAGTATCGATAGGGTGGTAATAACGAATCAGGACTAAGGACAGGGGTTATACAGTCACCAATACAAGCACCAAGAATAGGGTTAACAGTAACCAATGAGCGACAAGGACAGGGGCAACAATAACAAATCAGCACGAAGGAAAGCGGCGGCAAGTTCTAATCAGCAGTAAGCACCAAGAATAGGGTTAACAGTAACCAATGAGTGACAAGGACAGGGACAACAATAACAAATCAGCACGAAGGAAAGCGGTGGCAAGTTCTAATCAGCAGTAAGGATGCTAATAACCAATCAGGGCTAAGGAAAGGGGCAACAATAACCAATGAGCACTAAGAATAAGCAGTTTTACTTACTTGACAGTGATTGGGCCAACGGTGTCAGTCTGCTCCTCCCCCCATGGGTACAGGAATGGCTCGTAGTCATGTCTTCTGTTTCCTACAACTGCTTCCACTCTGTATGTCTCTGGGTCATACGTAACCCCCATCCTAAAACTCCAGGTCTTCACCTAAGAAAGGCAGATGGTTGTTAATGTCATTGCATCTTTTTATGGCACTCGGAAATATCCCATTGTACTACTTGCATAGGTAAAGGTTGAAAATGTATGTGATACAAAAATTCCTTAGTACTTATTGTTTGAGAACAGATTTGAATGATAACGTTTTTAAAAGGAAGATACACAAAATTACTTATTTATTGCAGTGCATTTACTGTGAAATGAAAACCTTCGTTGACCAACCTAACCCTCTTAAAATTGCTTAAAGATACAGTAACGTTCAATAGCAAGTGTACATCTCAATAAGGCAGTAATTTGATTCTCTATCTTTCATGGCGTTAGGCAGCAACAAGGTTTAAGTATGTGAAAACTATACCTTTAAGTCAATCTCCATACAACAGACAAATCCAAGACATCCTGGGTTAATCTCACAGTGAAGTCCAGGAATACTGCGAGTAAGAAGATTAAGAAAATAAGAAAAACTACAACTTCACGATTTGGTCAGACAGTTAAGATCTCATGATCAAACTGGTAATTAGCTCTAGCTCTTTCCTATAAGCAAAAATATTGAAAAGGCCATCCTAGTAAAGGACCATTCTAGTAGCAAGTCTTTCCAGTTGCATGCAATATGGTATTCAAGCCATGGTCTACTGTTCATTGTACTTGTTAAAACAGCAGGGGGAATTTTTCCAGTACAAGGAGCCTAGGAATACTGTACATAGCATCATTGTCTTATCTCTCATGATCTACGGATTCATCTTCATCTTCATCTTTGCCTGGGCTCTGAGGTGTTATGTGAGCCCCGGCTACACCCCTATATATAGCCCCTGTTGGGGCACTTTAGGGGGGGAGGCCCTGGCCTAAGGCGGGCAGAATTAGTATCTCTTTTTAGTGAGTTCACTTTTACAATTCTTTTTTATTTTACTTACTCGGGAAGGTTGATACTGGAACATTCAGATGGTCCAACCCCACTTGGTTGGAGGGAGCACTCTTCTCCTCCAAGTTGGTCCGTCATGTCCAGTTTACAAAAGACTGCATCATCTACATATTCATTCACAGTACCGGCCAACTCGGTGGCGAAGCCAGAAAGGCTGCCATCACCTGTAAAACAAAATATAAGAAGAATTAGATACCGCGAAATCTTTTTATTGGCAATGCCTCGGGGGCGTAGCCATTCATCTTTGCTGGGACTTTTTGGGACAATTTTGATTTTCACTGTCTTCAAGTTCACAGATCTGCGGCAAATGTTTTGGTATGATGTAAATATTTCGCACTTACTGAATGTGCATGCTGAGTCAATTTTAGGGTGACCTCCCTGTCAATCTAGCATCAAAATCATATTCCATGCTACCAAAGCAATTAAAATATTTAGCACTTACTGAATGTGCATGCTGAGTCAATTTTAGGGTGACCTCCCTGTCAATCTAGCGTCAAAATCATATTCCATGCTACCAAAGCAATTAAAATATTTAGCACTTACTGAATGTGCATGCTGAGTCAATTTAGGGTGACCTCCCTGTCAATCTAGCGTCAAAGTCACATCCCATGCAACCAAAGCAATTAGAAAAGAGACAAACCCATGACTCAAACCCACCCAAAACAATACCTCCGTACCTGAAAATAATGACTAACACAGATTCTTTTGTAAACAATACTGTTTTTTCTGACCTGGTAGTTGAAGTGCACTACATGTCTCTTTTGTACACTGTCGCTTGGTGACAATCTGGTCAGATAGAAGGTCCCATCCGTTCTGACACGTGTCATCCTTGCACTGGGCCACGAAGTAGCTCACTCTGTAGGCACTGCCTTCATCTGCCACAGTGTACCTAACACAGAAATGAAGAGCATCGTTACCATAATCATCTCTTTAGTAGTTAACCTAATATGGTGATTACACAAGACAGAATCATTGTACAGTCCCCATAAAGTAAATTTCTTGGCTGGCCAATGGTATTACAGCCTTATAATCAATTTAGAAAATGGAGGCCCTTGATTGGTCAGTCCCTTCAGGCTTTGTAAAGATGTCATACAATCTGGTCATTCACTACTGTAACACAAAAACATGGTGAATTACTCAATGCAATCATTCATTCATATCAGAACATAAAGTTAGAAGAAACATAAAATAGCTTTCATATGAGAGTTTATTACTTAATATGTATTGTAAATTATTATAACAAAAAGAACTTACTTGATGAAGAAAGCCTTCTCAATCCTGATTCGCTGCTCTTCTCCCCAGGGAAAGTCAAAGAAATTGTGGGTAAACGTCTGGCTGCCGATTCCGTGGGAAATGATGTACGTACACGGGTCGATGTCGAAGAAGACACTGAGATGTTTTGTGATAATCTGCAAGAGAAATTGTAATCGAAATTTATCATTCATCAACACATAAATCACAAAATGTTTTATGTCGTTCTAGGATTTTTGGCCACATTATCATCAAAATTCAATTAAATTCTATGTACTTCTTGACTTCTACTATTCTTCCTGAATTGTAAAACTTTTGCATTTGTCTCATTTTGCAGGAAAAGAGAAGGGAAGGTTCACACAGCATTTCAATTTATACTTAATGGTTACAATATATCTATAGTACAATAGTTGTACAAGGGCATGATATTTGCAGTGTTATGGATTTGTGGTGGACAGATCACTGTCAAAACAAAAGAAAAGATAAAACAAACGATTCAAGATCTTTGGTTGCTCCCGAAGTCAATTTTTTATCCTCTACACAAATAGAGAAGATCCAACAAAATGTACCTTGTAATCAAATGCATGGCATACATCCCTGCCCAAAGTTAGGTACTCATTTTCACCTGGTTTAAGTGCAGGTGTAAAGTTCTCCATAGAACAATGCTGCCAGGGACTTGGACCCAGGACCCTTAGCTTCTAAGTCAACAACCCTAACCACAAGACCACATTGTCACCTTGTTGTATTTCTTCTTCTTCTTCTTCTTCTTACTCTCTAACAACCCCTACTGGGGTATCACTGAGAGGGGGGGTGGGTGCGACGGACTATGGCTGCGCGGCCAGGAGCCCGGCCTTAAAGTCCTCCACTGTCTGGGCTTTTACTAACTGTCCCGGCAGCTTATTCCACTCATTTATTGTTCTTGGAAAAAAAGAAAATCTAAAACAGTCTGTTTTGGCAGATATTGCTTGTATTTTTTCTAGATCTTACCTTGTAGTCAAATTCATGGCAGCAGGTGATCCCAGTACAGCTGTTCTCCGCCCCACAGTCTGTCCCTTCTGAGTGGGAAGATGTCCACCGACAGTTGTCTGCCTGTGCTGTACAGGACTCAGTCATCATGTAGGGGATTCCCTGACACCGGTACACGTTTGCAAGGGCTTCTTCTGCCGCTGCGTCTGTGGTGCCGGCTCCGAAACTGTTCAGGTAGGCTGTTACACTCAGACCTGGGTTGGAATCTGTAATAAGGCAATGTTACAATTTGTACAAAGATTTGAGCCGAAGTGGTATCTATCATCATTTCAAAATAATATAACCCGAATCATTACAGTGGCTCACAATGAGCCTTGGTTAGTTATGAAGTAAATAAAAAAAGGAAAATTTCAAAGTTTCAATTTTCATTAAAATTTACAGCCGTAAATGGGACACTGTAACACAATATTGTTTATCCTGAAATATGAAAATTAATGAAAATGAATTCATAGGGTTGCAAATGTAGCATCCAAAATTGTCTGCATACATCAGATAGTGGCTATTTTCAGTCCAATATTTAATCACTATAACCAATCAGCATCAAGGACTGAGGTGGCAATCACCAATCAGCATCAAGGAAAGTTGTGGCAATCATCAATCAGAACCAATGACATGGATAACAGTCACCAATCAGCACAGAGGACAGGAATTGAGAATTGAAGCAGTTGAAAATGTTGCAAATCTAGCACACGTAAGCTGCAAAGTTTCAACACTTACCGTCTAGTTCACAGCTTTCTTCAGAATCACACGTTGGTTTGGGGAAGACAGAGTTCTGCATCACATGACCACAGGACTGACAACTGTCAGGGTCAAGGCAGGTCATGACCTCAAGGTCAATCCTGTACTGCCTTGCCTCAAGGTCATTCGTTAGTGTGTACCTGGAAAATCCCATGAAGAAGATATTCTTTATTTATTCTTACATTAGGTTGAGCAAATGTACATTCTACATTATATATACAACAGTATCGTCCAAGTTTGTATGCTGTTTGTTTTTTGCTTCCTTTGAAACCAGCCAAGTTTAGCTAAAGACACTATCCAAAGATGTTTGTTTCTTTATTTCAAAGCTATTTAGTCCTACAGGCCAATCTTCCAGGGCTCATACAGAAATAAAAAAAAACACATCTACATCAGATGACATGGTAAAAGACTTGTTCAAGGTTGATAAAAACGGTACATTTTCTTGACTTACTTGAGCTGATACAGATTTCCAACCTCCCAGACATGCTCCACTTCCCACTCAAAGTCATACAGCTTGACGGTGTGGGTCATGGTGTGTAGGGCAAGGGTCAAGGTCATGTCACAGGGGTCAAAGCTGACAGCCACCTTGGACGACCTTGCTTGAACCTGAAGGTCACACTCCACGCAGGTCTCAATCCCTGTACAGGAGTCGTGGAGGGAATACTGGTACGTGTCGGGGAGGTTCAAGGTGCTGAGGTCAAGGTCACATGAAGGTGATGATGCAGGGACCACGCAGGTGTCCTGAGGGTTGAAGTCCTCGGGAAGACCCCAGTATCTGTAGGCAGGCTGGAGGGCGGCATCGCCAAGGTTGTCGCTGTACTGTGTGATAAGATCCTGAATGGTTCCAGCTCCTGTAAAAATAGCAGAGTTTGCATGACTTATACTTTGAAATAAATCAGTATAAGCAATCAGGATCAAGGACAAGGATAGCATTCACCAATCAGCACCAAGGACAGAGAGAGCATTCACCAATCAGCACCAGGGACAGGGATACCATGCACCAATCAGCACCAAGGACAAGAATAACATTCACCAATCAGCACCAAGGACAGGGGGGGCAACACCAATCATAGAAGTTCTACATGAGGATACTTTTAGCCATGGCATAACATAGCAAACATTGCATGCACTTCGAACAAGTTTTACTAGGGGGCATACCTGGGAGGACAGGTGTCTCCTGAACACAGGCTGGTTCAGGAAAGCCCACTTGTGATAGGATGACCACTGGTGTAGTACACGTGTCCACACACGTTGCTACAGAGAAGTTGAGGTAATAGGTCTTAGCTGGCTTGTCGTAGCTGATTGTGTACGTGAGGCGAAGCTTATCATTGACACCAACATTCTGTGTCTGTTCAGTTCCTATAGAGGCAAAGGTAAGAAAATGTATAATGTTAACCTTCACATGGGTAACCAACAAACTGTTATTTGTTACTCCAACACATCCGTATACACGTAAATGGTGGCCAGCCCCTACAGTATTGCTGCATAACCAGACACCACGGGGTGTCTGCTACAGCACCAGTTACCATGTCTAGTCCAGGTTATGGACCATATGTGCACGTGCTTGGAGAAGAAAACTACTTTGTGTTTGTAACTTACCCCAGGTGTAACTGTAGAGATCCAGGCCAGTAAAGTCTGTACCACCAATTCGGGCCGACAACGTTAACTTGCAGGGGTCAAAGTGCAAAGCTGCAGTGGTCCTGAACGTGCCAACCTAAAAACGAAGACAATTTATCATCAACTTTGTTAAATTTTTTACAAATTAGAATTTTTCTATATGTAAGGATGCTTTTCAGGGGCATGACACAAAAGAAATGAAAAAAGTGCATTTCGGTGCTACGTGATTCAGTTCACTAGGTTTGCTTCTATTAAATTTGCTCATCTGAATGAGAGTTTCCTTTTTATAATATGTATCTTATAACGGTATATTCTTACCCTTGAAAATGCTGAAGAAGCCGTTCTGTTTTGGTATGAGGAAAATATGGTTAAATATGGTCCAAACTATGTGTATATGATCATATTTTGAGCTAATTATAGTTAATATATACCTTTAGGTCAAAGTCCACGCAACAGCTCATTCCCATGCACAGATCATCGAACCTGCAGTCCACTGAGCTAGGCAATGTTGGAGGCTGTAACGTGCTTGGACAGGCTGGAACAGATGCAAAGTTTATAAAACCAGGATACATAGAGCTACATTTTGTCAATTTAATTGAGGTGTATTTGGTAACTCGAAACTTACAAAATCAGTTCTACAGTTTTCTTTTTGTTACTACCCTGACTACATCATGCATGTAGAAACATCTAGCTATTCCTCCATTGATTCCATAGATGTGACATACAACATAGGGTGCTTAAACTTTGCAAGTGCACTAACTTCGCACGATTTTTACTGATCATATTATGCACGTATAAAACTAGCGATGGAGCACCGTGAGTTCGAGCGCGTACGTGCAAAAGCGTGCGATGTTAGGGCAATAACACGTATAGTACATGTATTTGATGTAATAGTAAGTTATCACAAAATGGGACATACCATCTAGCCCGTGCCAGCCACCCTGATGACTACAGCTGTGTCCAGCGAAGGTGTCGGCCAGTCCCAGACCTCTCATCACATAGTCCTGTCCTGCCTTTCCTACCTGGCCACCTTGTAGGGCTAGGAAGGTATCAACTGTGTCTGGAGAAAGGATATGTAGTGGTTTAGAGCAGATGTGTGCGTGTCATAATGTGTGTGTGTGTGTCTTTGTGCTTGTGTTGCCGCGTTCATGTGTGTGTGTGAGCGTGTGTGTGTGTTTGTGTGTGTGTGTGTGATGAAAGTGTATTTCTCTCTCTCTCTCTTTCTCTCTCCCTCTCTCTCTCCCTCTCTGCGTTTGTGTGCATTTGACGTTTTGTAAGAACAATTATGTTATGGTATTGTGATTCTTGAATCCCAGTATTACTAAACACATCCATTCCTCAATACTGTTAGGTTTCTAACAAAAAAAAAAACTAATCTGAAACCAATTTATTTCATAATTTTATCACCAAAGATCAAACCTTCCAAACTCACAACTTCTTGTTTAACACACAACTGTGTTTATATTTTGTTATTATTTATGTCAGTTCAAATATTTGTTTACTGTTTTGTTACTTCCATTTTTCATTGATTGGACAAGTACACCAATTATTACTCTCAGTTCAGACATATTGTTTCTATTATTTGACCTCTGACCTCCAATACACTTATTTCTCTATGCTGATTTTGTTTCAAGTTTGTTATAATTTCAGCATTGTATGTCTTATGTATTATCATTATTGCTACAAGTAATTATTATTATTATTATTATTTTAAGTTGCTGGACTCCAGGAAGAATAGTAACAAACAAACAAACAAACAAACAAACACAACTCACCCGGAATGCTGACAGCTGCACAGTCAGTCTTGTACGGAACTTTAGTGTTGTGCATGATTGGGATGTTTAGTGCAGAGCTTGTCCCACAGGACAGTCTGAAGGAGGAGCTGATCTGGAAAACATTTTCGCTGTCCAGCTTCTGGATACTGTAGGTGAAGGATAGGACTGAAGCAATGGCGATGGTCTCAGTTTGACCTGTAATGACGATAGATGTAAATTAATATCCTAATTTGAAGAACTTTCTAATGTTTTTTGCATTTGAAATAAATTAAAAAAAATAATAAAATAAATATTTTTCTAATAAATGGTCATAGATAGGATGATGAAAATTACAATCAATTACAGATGCATAAAGTTATGAATGCTCATGATAAAAACTTACAAATCAAGTCAAGTTTTGTTGCACAACGATTGCATCAGGTACAATGTAAGGCAAGTTGTTTTATAAGACTATTAACCACTTAAAATTGTATAAGAATACCACTTAATTAAATACAATCTACACATCAATCTAGCTATACAACTTTGGTAGAATCCAGAGTACAAATTGTAAGACAGAGCGTTCTATTACCTTATAAGACTTAGTAAGTCACAAGTTACTTAGATATAATGTACTGCTTAATTTAATGCATTCAGAACAAGGCTTAATTTGCTCCGCCCCTGAGGCAATGCCAAAAACCAAGGCACGAATACACAGAAGTAAGACACAATCTTTTCAAAGCTTGCCATCAGAGTTATTTATCCCCAATATGCATGCAGCAACTTTTAGTACATTATGGAAGTCAATTAGATACCGATTACGAGTCAAACCACTAAATTTGAAATAACTGCCAACCGGGTTGTTCGGAAACCCACCCCAAGTGTACTGGTACAAGTTGAACTCTGATGTCCACTTTCCCATCCCCACAGACATGCTGTAGGTGCAGGGGTCGAAGGTCACGTGGAAGTTCGGCTTGACCGTCCTGATGGAGCAGAGGTCAAGGGTCATGCAGCAGGTCACAGAGTAGCAGCCATCACTGGCGGCACAGCCAACTCCAGTAGGAAGGGTCGGTAACACGGCAGCTGGGCAATCTGGGAACATAGTGTTGATATTTAATGTAGGTCTGTATTTGCCTGATTTTCTTTTATTTAAACTTCATTATCATTCACAATACAACAATATAAAAAATATAGCAGATACATAATTGTAAATAATGATACATAAGAAAAAATATGGATTTTTCAACATGAAAGGTGTTACAGAGATGATTATCATTCTAAAATTGCCATTGTTTGTTGTGTTCATCTATTTCCGTAGTCTTCATTAGCCTGTTTTTGAAAAGTCTATCTGATATGTATAGTCTATGTGTAGCCAAATTTGTACATCATGGCCCTTCCTATCTTATTTCAGTTTCAGTTTTATTCAGATCCACAATTAGCCTCATAAGAGGCTATTCTTCCTGTGGTCTACACATTCATATTTACATACATATATTACAAACGTACAAAACATTACAAAATTAACAGTACATGGCAAACTTTACACAATTCACTATTTACAATCATATGATACAATATTATGATATCAATATGTATCTAGCCCCTATTGTCATTGCCATTATGAAGGATAAAGAAGACTACACTTACTGTTATCCCCTGTCCATCCGGTGGTGGACCCTGTACAGTCTGTAGCTCCAGTGAACACCTGTACCAGTCCCATGATTCTGTCTGCTGCCTCCACAAACACACCGGGCAGTACCGCTGGTGCTCGCACTCTAGCGGCCGCCTGCTTCATCTGTGTGATGGCGGTGCTAACAGATCCTGTACAGGGGGCAAGGTAACCTTCAGTTATTGACTCATAGACTGACTTATTCCTTGACTGGAATGGCACGGACTATGAATATGCTTTATGATTTTGACTATTTGTTTTGGTTGACATGTCTTGTTTCTTATGATTGATTACTTGTACTCTTTGTTCATATTATCTATTATCTCTATCTTATCATTTGATTACAATTATGTTAATTTTGCCCTACACTGTACTTAATGTGATTTATGTCTATGTCCTTTGTAACTGTTCTGTTGGGCTACCTTGGAAATCAGTTGTCCATAACTGAAGATAGTATGTAACTACTGTTTTTAAGAGCAATAAATTAATTGACTAGCGACTGTTTTTGGTTCAAATCTTAAGCACTGGTCCCAATACTGTACCCTGTGGAAAATACTTTTTACATCTATTTCTGCACTTAGATTCCATCACACTTATCAACAAGAAAAGGGTCAAAGTTCAACCCAGTGGGAGTGGATAAGATCTTACAGTCTGGGCATGCACAATAGATAATTATAAACATCATACCAATACTTCAGAATCTGCAATTCTGGAAATTATAATTAGTGACAATCATTAATATAACGAGGAACAGAGATCTTTGCTTGTAGTTTAATAGTTTGCAAGGACAGGAATTTTAGCTATAAGTCTAGATAAGATACAATATGTAAAAGTACTACATCCTCATAGGTACTGTAGATTATCTTCACGTTTTCTCTGGTATGTACAGAAGGAGGGAAAATAAGTTTTTGCAGTGTTTCAAGGTCAGGGTTGAAACAATTCATAATCATGTCATGCCGTACTAATTTGAAACATTTTGAAAGATTATAACTTTGTGGTGAAGTGGTTACCGCACACAAAAAAAAACACCACAAAAGTGTCAAGATCTACAGTAAGCTTACACACCTGTAGTTGGTGTCCACGTGTCTTGTTTGTAGCAGGTGGGTTGGGGAACTTTAGTTTTCTGCAGGAAGGTGTTGTTCGTACAGGTTGCAGCATCCTTGCAGAACCTCAAGGAGAAGTCAAAGACAAAGTTGTCTCCCTCCTTTCCGATTGCAAAGGTCAAGTTGAAGACCGTCCCAAACTTCACAGTCTTGGTTTCACCTGAATGAGAGAAATGTTAACTTTTATATCCACACGCTCATTCACTCAATATTATGTTATCTTTAAAGAATGAAGAAGTCAATTTTTCAACTTTGCTAAATACAGTAAGTAGGAGCATTATTACCGTTGGGGAATTATCATTAGATAGCTTCAAACAATGTTTAGAGTTATATGTTCAAGGGTTACATGTTACGTCGAAGGGCAGATATACCGGCTATACAGATACAATATTACATTGAAGGTATCTTTTTTCTATAACAATCATAGAGTGAAACTCATTGTGTCGAAGTACATTAGAAAAATCTTCACTTAAAGCAGCGTTTAGAGTTAAATGTGAATAAAGCTTCTTTCGATCAAAAAGACAGACGGTCGCTGTCCATGGTACTGAAATAAAGGCTATTCTGTTTGTAGGTTTACGAGCACAGAAAACTGAAAGGCAGCGTTTCTTATCATGAAATTACAGAGAGAATATGTCTACACAGTTTCAATTTTTATCTTCACACATTTTATTTCAATAATCAAGAAGATTATACGATGAATCAAGACTTGAAAAGAAAATGTGCAGGGTTGGAAGGTCGCTACCAGTTTTTTTTAATCTCCCTCTTATTGACCTCAAATTCAGCTATCGGCCAGATTCTGGGACCTTCGAGTTCACCCATTTCCTGTGTCTGCCCTTTTGACATGATATTCTGTCAATCTTCTCCCACTTGTCTACATATGGCCACACAGACTTGATTTTATAGATGACATCCTTTGAAGACCACCAAACTAGTGTGCGCGGGCGAAAAAAAAGAAAAATCCGGCCAAAAATAAAAATGCTACTAAACCACAGGAATACAAAACTGGTATTGTGAATTTGGCACATTACATAGCGACGTATACGACAGGCCGGCACATGCTGGCTTTTTTGGAATTTATGAATCGGCACTGTACGTATGTACTGTCAGGTCTTGAGTCGTGGAGCTTCGGTAGCCTGGGTGCCGTCCTCCAGAGTTACCACCGGCTTCGTTGTCACTTACCACCATGGACTACCCAGGCCTAAAGCCAGGCCAGAGCCTCGGAAGACGTGATCTTTTTTTTTATTTTTGAGATCAGGTGAAAATCAATGCGCGTGCGGATGTCATCCATAAAATTAAGTCAGTGTAGCCTAAGTAAACTCACTAAATGACTGTGTTATCCTGACTTACCCCAGGTGTAGTTCCATGTGTTCGATGGCAGCACAGAGTAAGTGACGGTTTTCAAACCGACCCCAATGGTTAGCCGGTAGTCGCACGGGTCGAAGTCCATCCACGTCTTGGACTGGAAGGACTCCAGACTCAGGTCGAACTCCCTGTAACAGGTGACACCTGTGCAGGTGGGGCTGGTGACCTCACATACCACACCTGTAGCCAGCTCATGCCAGGCAACATCTGGGCAGGCTGTAATGAGATTGTACCCATGTTAGTAAATAGAAGATATCAGATATATGATTTGTGAAACCATTTTTACAGTTGCTTGTTGTCTATGCTAAATGCTTTCTAATTTGATGCTTTCTGCACCTGAGCCTTATAGTTCACAGTCCCCCAGTCACCTGTGTGGCCTCTGTGTTGCTTCCTTTTGTTATTGTATTGGAACTGTGGAGAGATTGTATGATGTAACTCAATCGGGTATTACACCACTTCTTGAATTCCTCCATATAACACACTGTGTTGGGTGACCTTCAGACGAGATATTCCTATCAATCAACTGCAAAAATCACATCCCACCCAACATGCAACCCAAAGCTATTAGCACAAGTACCAAAACAATACTACTGTACACGTACGCGGAATTAGTCATCAACTTTACACAGTGGACAGCTTTTAAACATGTCTGACCTTTTTAGCTGTAGTTCTGCCCGTCAAACTTTCCACCCATATGTTGTCAACCTACTCCGTGGACAAAAAGAGACCGCGGCAACCCAAAGCAATACTTTCATACCCAGAAGAAACTACATTGTGATTATTCCTACTCACCAGCTAGAGGGACATCTATCCAGCCCATGAATAGGACAGAGCTGACGGGGGGCAGGTGGCTTATGCCCTCTTGTATCACATCGCTGATTTGAAGAGCGCTGAAAAGCCCAGCCATGGTTGTACTGGTCACCTGTGTGGCCTCTGTGATGCCCACGGCTTGAATATAGTCAGCAGCTGTCCTTACACCATCTGTCAATGAATAGAAACCCATTAAGCTTGTCAGTAATCGTTTAAACCAACTTATATTGTTGTAAAGCCATGTTTAACATGCAGCCATCTACCATAACTACAGGTAGCATATCAAAGGTAAGTTCCCCATCAAATGGCACCTTGAAATAAAAGTACTACAGTAACTACAGGTAGGACATTGTATGTAATATTGTAACTGATACATAATTTGAGATAATTGTGTTCTCGTCACAATAGCACCACTGGCCTATACATGTATAACACATAGCAGTGATAAGCAGCACTGAAGAAGATGTCTGATAAGCATTGAAATGTAAGCAGGTGAAAAACATTTATTAGTGGTTGTGTAAAAAATAAATGAAAACTTCAACATGCAGAACTTACTGTTGCTGTTTGTATTATACATATGCCAGACTGATTGCACTAAATGGGGGAATCGACTTGATCTGTAGACTACGCATCACTTACCTAAGAACGTCAGGGTGGCTTGAGGATCACAGAAGAGCTGTGGTATCTTGCTGTCCTTCAGTAGTGGGTACACGGCCTCTACGTCACCGTCGATGACCAGCGCTATCTCCACAGTTACCAGGAACTTCTTCTCCGCATCATTCTTCTTGATGTAGTAGTAGATCTTGAAAGCGTCACCAATGGGGATTTCTTCTCTTTTCCCTGAGAATAAGTAGTGATGCAGAGTATCAGTTTCTGTTATTCCTAACTTATAGGTATTATTATCAATTACAAGGGGAAAAATAATATAGGTAGCAAAATATATATTTTTTTGGATGAACGGATAAGAATAATGAAGAGTTTGACAAAAAGTTTGTGAAATATTGTGTTTGGCTTTCATTTTGATTTTATTGGACTAATCATAATAAGCTTTTTGTACAATCATACGTAATTCAATTGTAGGTCGTTAATCATGCAAACAAGGTTTTGATTTAAATTATACATGTCCATATTGATCACTTCCTAAGTGTCACTTTACATTGAATGTAACTAGCATACGGAACTAGCATGTAACCACATAACACAGACAGATAACTTTTAAAAAAACTATCAGAGGCAGCGATAAACAACAGTAATAAAATGTCTTACCCCACTCGTAGATAAACAACATCTTGCGGATGACCCTCTTCCCAAGGGTCAAAGACAAGGTGTAGTTACACATGTCCAGGACGGCGGAGGCCTTGAGGGTGATGTTGACCAGTTTCAAGTTCATGTCCAGACAGCAGGTCAGTCCCAGGCAGTTGGACTGGACAGTGCAGGTCATAGTGGAGGGCAGGGTAGGGGCATTCATGTCTGTACATTCTGTTATGGGTAAAAAAAATGAAGTTAACCAGACAGTAGATGTATTTCCTCTATTATAATTGCTTTTAAGTTACTTTACTTTGATCCCTTACATGTACATGCAATTAACCTTCGGGAATGATTTGGCAAAAAATATTATATCAGTGTACAACTCTCGTAACTAACATTTATACCTGGCATTTGATATCAACTTTTTTAATATATATATTATATATTAAGTCATACTGTGTTTTTATTTTTGCATGCAGTGACCTCTCCAATGCAAATTCATCACAATGTGAACAATTGCCTATGTACCATATTACTATAATTGCACGGCAAATTTATTAGCCTAAACTTAGCCTTAACCAAAAAAAAACACTGTGAAAGTAAATAGCTTTTGCAGAACACCTGATTGAATGACACAACTGTATAATGTCATTATATCATAATATCATACAAATGCGATATACGTTTGTCTCAACATTCAAACATTAGTAACTGTTTAGTGCCTACAAACTTACTATCAAGTCCTGGTCATTAATTACTTGTAGTAGTTATCCCTAAATGACTTACTGTCGAGCCCTGACCAGCCACTCTGCAGTACCACAGGTCTCTGACAGGTGTGATCCTCCACGATGTCATCTATGCCCAGGATCTGCAGCAGGGCGTTTTTACTGGTCTCAGCCAGAACCTGGCCCACCACGTACCCCTGCTCCTGCACGTACGTCTGCAGGCCACTTACCGACAAATCTGGCAATAAAAGTCATTATTTAGCACTAGAAAGGTAAGGTAACATTTGTAAGGCAAATAAATAATGATTACTATGATAATCACATAGCTCAACAGACTAAGGTCCTCAGTTTATTCTTATTTAAACACATTATATTAAAACAGAACATTGTGACCGGCCCCTTCAACTCTGTCCTGCCACTTGCTACATAATGTAATTCAACACCACAGCTCCTACTGCATCAGTTTGAATTTGACCTTGCTGTCAGTCTGCGGGTACACGATTTCCCCCCTTATACACAAATGTTTTATCAAAGTGGCAAATACATGACGTATATGTACTGTACTCAAAATGTATAAGCTGGTGGATAAATGGTAAAGGAGGTTAGTTCTCAGAGAATGCTACTAAAACTTACCCGGTATAGTTGTGGACAAGTTGGTGTTACAGAACGGCTGTGGAATCTCCATGTTGCTGATCAGTGGATTGCTCTTGGAACACGTTCCTTCGATACACAGAGTCACGTTGAAGTTCACCACAAATACTCTCTTGACATCGTTCTTGCCGATAGAATAGCGCAGGTGGAAGGCATCTTCTCCCAGGACTTTTTCCTATATAAAAAACATTCAAGATGTGAGATAAATGATAAATGTTATATGAACCTCTAATTTATAGAATTCCAACATTCTTGGAACGCCTCCCTCTTTCTAACTTCACATTCCCAAGATCCCCCATACACACCTTCTAAAATCGGCATTCCATCTCAACTTCCCACAACCATTGTTAAGCATTACCAGGATCCCGCATTCAGACCCTCTAAATTCTCATCCCTCCTGCTATTCCTAAATCAACCATTAAGCATTGCCCAGAATCCCCCATGCAGATCCTCAAAAAATAGACCAATCCCATAGCCTAGCCATGTGACATCCGTCAAAAAGTTTATATGCAAACATTTCGTGGACATGCAACCAGCCACTCATTGGTCAAGCCTGTAGCTTGCCTTGCTATCATTGGTTGAAAAGCTGATTGTGATGGACAGTCAGGATAGATCTATTGTCAACCTACCTGCACTTTTCCCCATGGGTATGTGAACAAGGCCAGATGGTAGCTCCAGTTTCCAAGTCCAATGTTGAAGGTGTAATTACAGAAGTCCAGGTTGATGTAGGCCAAGGTCGCAATGTTGGTGTAGTTCAACAAGTTCATGTTCATGATGCAGTCCAGTCCCAAGCAGAAGGCATTGACCTGGCAGCTGAAACCCTGCGGGAGCCAGTCGAAGCTCGGAGCCAGGGAGCAGTTGCCTGTGGAATGGTACATACATTTGTATGAAAATTGTGTGATGTAGAAACTTCACAGTGGTTTTCAACATGTTTTTGTTGTTGAGTCTTGCTATGCCACCCCACGCACTTGCACAGCAGGTATCTAGAACCAGTTCCACCGGCCGGACCTTCATCCACAATGGAGCTCAGTTCTGGAACCAACTCCCTGACACCATTGTGGGTTACATCAACAACAGTGGCCTGCAGTCTTTCAAAGTTAGAGTCTATCGACACCTCCTTTATTGTAAATGAGAACGCTTGGAGCCACTGATTGCCCACTTAACTGTATTCTTACCATGTGACTGTATGTACAATCAGTGGGTATTGCTCACTATAGCACATTATATAAAAAAATTCCTAGACTACTCAAAACTCACTGTGTTATCATCAATGTTGAATCCAAACCTTACCTGGCAGAGTCCTTTTAGGAAGTGTGATCACTTGCCCAGCAGGGTAGAAGATGTCTTGAAGTCCTGCGTTCTCAACGATGAGGTCCACCAGTCCTGACGCCACGTTCTCTCCTGCTTGTTGGATGAACCGGTCGATTGCTTGAAAGGAAAAGAATTTACATGTCAATTTCTATTTGTATTGAATCAGATATGAAAATTAATCTGCCTTAAACCTACTAACTGGTAGGCGTTTAAGTTTTTGTAACTTGTTAGCTACCTTAATCAGGAACTATATTAACTGTGTCACATTTTACTGCATTCTCACCACACCACCACCATACAATGTATACCAAGGAGTGGTTGGTAGGATTGATTTCACACTAACGACAACAGAAGTCAAAACTTTATTTGCTTACTCACTTAAACATTACTTCTCAACTTAAAACTGTCTGCAATCACTGTGACAGTAGTAAGGTCATCCTGCAACTATAAGGATGTTGCAGGGTGACTCTTCATATTTTTCCTCATCTGAATAGACTAGTATAGAGATGGAAGCATTCTGATTTATCTAAAATGTAACTGAATCAATGTTTATGATTAATTAAAGGGTTTTCCTTACATGCAGCGTCCAGGGATATCTTGTTACAGATGGGGATGGGTACCACAAGTTTCCGGATGAAGTTCCCTTCAATGATACACTCTCCGCCGATCATACAGATCATTACCCCGACATCCACTATAAAGTCTGTTGCAGTCTTGTTGATGGTGAGAGTGACAATGACACCTTCTGCCAACTTGATTTCTTCTGGTGTTCCTTCATTTGTAGGTAAGAAAGTGGTTAAGTGCAATTATGGTAATTTTTTTTGAATGGTTTATTGTGCGAATACAAACTAGTCGCAGCTTATGAGCTGAATTGCGAGTTCATGTGCATATACAAATTTCACAGGTTGACATAAACAATCGGTCTAAAAGTTTACAAACTGCGAACAGGTGACAATACATATTTAAAAGATGGAATACATATTTAAAAGACGCAATGCATATATAAAAAGGTACAATTACATATTTAAAAGATACAAATTAATTATCAAAGATACCAATTAATAATCTAAATGCCACAAGTTTCTAAACTAAATGCCATCGTTCAAAAGGTTAACAATAATGATGATGAAGTAAATAATGATTTTACAGTTATACATAACTGCTATAAATAACTCTATAATTAAAAACACACTTTCTAAAAGTGTAAGACCTACCCCATGGGTAAGTGAAGAGAAGCTTTCTGTATTCCAGTGTCTCAAACCCGATGACGAACTGAAAGTTGCAGGCGTCGAGCCGCAGCCACAAATTGAAGGCTCTGGTGAAGTTCAGGGACTTGATGCTGAGTTCCGTGCAGCAACTGATTCCTGAAACCATTATGAAAGGTAATGAATGATATTAATAATGATAACTAGAAAGGTAATATTTGCAAACATTAACAAACAACTTCTTTGTTTATTGCTGCTCAAACAAATTAATAAGTGTATGGTGACCAGCCCCTTCAGCTCTAGCCTGCTACCTAATGTAACCCAACTCGACAGGGTGTCTGCTACAGCACCAGGAACAGTAGTGTATGAAATGTCAGGAACAGCTTAGTGTGAATGATATTCAGCACCAAGGACAATTGTGTGAATGTCAGGGACAGATTGGTGTGGATGCTTTTCAGTACCAGGGACAGACATGTGTGAATGTTATTCAGCACCAGGGACAGCTTAGTTAATGTTAATGTTGTTCGTCACCTAGGGCAGTAGTGTCTGGATATCATCCAGCACCAGAGACAGTATTTGAACCCTGTACTTTGTATCTGTACATTTTCCTGTTATACGATATATCTGATTTATTCCTTTAATGTTAATCATATTCCTGAACGTTGATAAATAGAGAAATAAAAAAACAATAATAATTGTTTATTGATTGATCGATGAGTACAATCGCTAGCACGTGGCAGCGCAACTAAAAAAGTAGCTCTGAATTGCATGCTAGTGTTTAAAAACAGAGAAACAAATATTGCACAGTTACGAGTAACAAACAGACAACTAAACAAGTGAGTATTTCACAGTTAACATATAGGCAACTAAAAAAATGCGTAAAATGAACTTAACAATATTCACAATATCAACCAATAAGTAATCAATATCATCAGTGTAAAAAATAATAATTTTATAGTATGTTACATAAAAACTAATCTTGATAGGATTGGTCAATAGAGCGACCTACCGAGACATGTGTGGTCCATTTTGCAGTACACACTGTGGTTCAGACGGTCTGGCACGGCTGGGAGGTGGGCGCCGTAGTCACAGGCTGGGAAATGAAACAACAGGATTAATCAACAAACAATCTTCCTAAATCAATTAAGGGAACTGTGAAATATGTCAATAACGTTTTGAATTTTTTTTTGAGCTTTTAACATTTAAACTTTATGTGTTCCACTATCAGCCGGGCCGCTTTTCAAGCGTTCAGGGGGAGGTCAGGGATCCCATAAACACATTAGTACAAAATTACATAATATTCAAATTACATGATTTTCAAACTTACAGCATCGTCTCTTATCCATATGTCTAATCCTGATCAATTCCGTAGTGGCTTATTGCAGCATGTTTTCAAATGCTGTCACTGAGGGTGCCTTTCTTACATTGGGTGGTACGTTAGTCCATGTCAATGCACCTGAATATGCTATCGACCTCCTTTACAAGGCATATCATAACATCTTCAGAATCAGTTTACAGTTTAGGACTCGCCAATTTATTTCCTTGGTTCTTGGACATTTTAAGTACTATCTGTACTATCACTAATGGAGGTCTTTGAAACAATAAACAATTAAGTTGAAAATATAGCAAGCAGACATCATAAAAGCAGAGTGAAGGACATAAGCCAGTCACTGTATTCAGTGAATCAGTCAAAAACATGGACCTTAGGCTCTCTTTCCCAGTTTTTATTAATTAGCATTTTTTTTTCAATCCGACAACACTGCTTCAGTGGGATCGTGTGGCGTAGCGGCAGAGTACGCGACTTGGAACTAAGAGTCCCGGGTTCGAGTCCTGACATGCCACTGATCTTGTGCCCTTGGGAAAGGCACTTTACACGGCTTTCCTCACTTAGCTCAGGTGTAAATGAGTATTGTCCTGTTACAGTAATGTATTTGTCCCCTGTGTTGGTGGCGGCATTAATATAAGTTGAAGAAACTTGAGTGTGTCGTCACCAAGTCTGGTGATTACATGTTGGAATAAAAAAAAAACACTGCTTCTAAGTTGAGTCCTTACTTGAGTCTGAGGTCTTTAATCGTTGTACGAGTGCGCTCTGGTTCCCTGTTGTAGTCAGGGACCTGTTCGTCAATTCCGCTTTCAGCTGCCCAACCGTAAGTCTATCTGGAAACATGCAAGTCTTGGATCCATCCAAAAGGTCCTAAATTAGGAAATAAAAAAACAAAGTTTTCACATCTTTTCCATAAAGTATTACGAGGATAAAGAGCATAATTTTTACTTATTTTTGGGAATTTCTCCTCCTATTCTGTGCATTGTCCACTGTCACATCCTCCCAGCTACCAGTAAGACCTCAAATTTGGCTTGACTTCTTTCCAGCTTGAAGGGAGACCATTTTGACCCCCAATTCAACCTTCCTGTCAGTCTGTGGTTATAACATTTCCCCTACTTCCTGTGACTTTACTGAATTCAAATAACTTTGGACCCCTAAGTAAACGAACACACTGAAAACAACAACAAAAAAACAATTGGGGATGGGAGAAAAGATATTAACCATTAACCGTAGATTTACAGTTAGAGTACTAAAGTATATTATGTTAGATTCAATACCTTAGTCATCATTCGCACGCACACACACACACACACACACACACACCAGTCCCGTGCAACTTACAGTTTCAGCAGAAAATCGTTTTTATACAATACTATACAATAATTATTATCACATGTGAAAAAAATATTCTTACACTTGGAAGTCCAAGAGCTCTCAGAGCCATGGCCGCAATATCTGACATCGCAGTCTTGACCACGGTTTTCGCAAGCTCCTCCATGTTTATTTCCGGCATTACTAAATTCCCGTTCGCGTCCTTCTTCGGTACGGGAATGAGCATGTGCTTCAGTAGGTGGATAAACTCCATGCACTGCTCACCACACAAACCCAAACTCAAGGTGATGAAGAATCTTGAAGGTCGTTGGTACTCCAGCTTAAACCTGGGCAAAAACAAAAGAGGTTAAAACATTAAGATCATATCCACGCATCTAACAAAGACATTTTCTTCAAATTTTGTGTTTTAAAAGATATCGTCTGCAAGTCATAATTCTGATGCAAAATTGACCAAACATCCAACCGTGAAAAATCCATTTTCCATGCAGGTGTAGTATGCTTTGCCGACATGCTATGCAGAGCCAACAGCAACTTAAAATGCATATAAAAACGTTCTGTTGAAGTGTAGGAATTCCTTAGGGGTCTTGGGCGGGCACAGAACATTCAGTCGACATGCTGTCCAAAGCAAAGTTGCACAGCTGAAGCCGGAGATGAAATAGTGTACAGCTTACCTCATTCTGAGATCCAGTGGGTCGCCAGTAAAATCAATCTTTATTCCTGTGTCCAACTCTTTTTCTTCACCTGAAACAGCAACAAAACAGAACGTCAACACTTTATTATGGCTCCCGTTATGGCATAGGCCAGATCTTCCCTGAAACAAGTGTTAAAATTTGATTGATATCGTTGCAGGGGTTCATCAGTCATGTAGAATTATCAGTAAGAAACACGTACCTTCAAATTGTCGATGTCTGCAGTAGTGTACAATCTGTACATGAAAATTTGGAGGTACGTGTTTCTACCTTTCAAAAAGAGTCACTGATTAAGGAATATTCTACTAAAATTTGATCGTCAATTTCGGCGACACTAGTAGCCCTTTCGTTGCTGTTTGTAACAGAATTAGTAATAACACCTAACGTTATCATAAGAATACAAAACCTATCACAGTACAGTAACTACAGTGTATGTAGAATGGTTATCAGTTTGACTTACCCCAGAACGCATCTGCCACCTTATACTGGTAACGGAAGGGGTCCACCCCGGGAGTCTCTATCCCCATGTAGAAGGTAAAGTCAGTGATGTTGAAGACTGCGTAGGCCTTGATCGACTTTCGGAACTTCCACATCTGAAGAAAGAGATAAAAAATGTCTCAAGTTTGGAATCTCCCCTTTAATATGTAACGTTATAAAGCTACTTGAAAAAGCACCATGCTTTAAGTCAATTGAGGATGAAAAAACAACAACATCAGTACAACAGAGACTCACTAAATTGATCATAATAATAAATAAAAAATAAAAAATAATCTTTACTGTTACCTTCACAAAGAAAGTTATGCTTTTGGTAGTGTTTTTGTACATTTGTTGTTTTGTTTGTTTGTTTGTTTGTTTGTTGCTTGACAGCATGATCCTAAAAGCTTCAAATGGATTGATTATTTCAAAAGGATCTTACTTTTATTTGGAGTTTAAACTACATGTCAAAAAAGATAATATACAAAATCTGAACCTACCTTGAGATCCACACAGCATGACAGCCCCAGGCACAGGTCCGAGAACTTACAGTAAACATTGTTGGGCATGGACAACGTCATGAAGGGACACACTGCAAGGGAAAAAGTCACAATGATAAATGATATTTATTTCCAATTGCACTTTTTATATGCCCACAAAAGAAGACACTATATTCTACCCTCACTCCCATACATTCACAGAAAAACAAAAACATATACTGTGAAAAGAAAGTGCAAATCATTTAAAGACGCACATGAAAAAAAGTGTGATCTGTGTCCAAAAAGACGTCGACGTCGTGAAAAGAGTAGGCTTTAAGGAGTTAGCTATTAGTTCTAGTTACGGAATATCGTTACCACTGTTTCTGTTTCTTTGAATTATCAAATGTCTGATGTGTATTTTACAATTTGCCGCAGGCAAGAGTTTGTAAATTATTATTATTATTATTGTTATTATTATTATTGTTATTAATATTATCATTATTATTATTATTAGTAGTAGTAGTAGTAGTAGTAGTTGTAGTAGTTACTGTAGTAGTAGTAGTAGTAGTAGTAGTAGTAGTAGTAGTTACTGTAGTAGTAGTAGTAGTAGTAGTAGTAGTAGTTACTGTAGTAGTAGTAGTAGTAGTAGTATATGTAGTAGTAGTAGTAGTAGTAGTATTGGAGAAAAATGGAACAGTACAAAGTGCAGTACATCATTTATTAACTTACTGTCGTCATCAGATTTCCTCATCTTCTGTATGAGTGTCTCCCTCGGTCCGGTGCTGTTTTGTCCTCGGAGTTCCAGCTCCATCCTGAGCTGTGCTTCAGTCATGGACTCTGGACGTTCGCACGGTTTTGAATCCAGAAGTGCCTATAAAATGTCAGTAGAGAACTGAGTATAGCACCAATTCTCAGGAAATGTGTCTTGGTGGTTAGGTTAATGGCATAATCGTTATTTATTAATTGTTATTTAAGAAAAGAAGCATAAAGAAGACGTCAAAACGTTGAGGAACACTTAATGTACATGTAACTTGTATTTTTGCATTAAATGTTACATTTTATGAAACAATTTAGCTAGTGATGATAAAAATAACTTTGGCAATGTTCTCATTTCTGAGTCAACTTGAAAAAATGTGTGTCTTTTCCAATGGCACAACATTAGGGACTACTAGGGAATCAAATCCAGAACGTTTACATAGAGTCACTGTCTAAGTCTGACTCACTTTAGAAGACCACTGCGCCACTAGTAATTGACGAATCTTTACTTTAAACTACAATAACTGCATCCAATATTTCTATTTGTATCTGTACTATAAAACAAAGCTTTGTATTTGCCCTTCAAACATTATTGAAAAGAACCAACTTTCATTGTCAGTATCTTGGAATAATCATCCATTAGATTTAGAAGTTTCAAAAAGATATCCTTACCTTGAGGTCATCGGCAACTTTCTGCAGGTTGCTCTTGCTCTCCGTCAGCCCAACTGCGTCCAGGAAGTCTATGACCTGTCCGACCTTCAGGTTGTTGATGTTGAAGATGCTGGACGGACCTGACGCATTGACTGGTGGGAAGCCGTACTTGCTGGCAGTTGCTATGGAAATCAAATTCAAAATTGTAAATCGTTAGATCTCAGTATTTGTTTTTTTCTTGGTAATTTATTGGAATATTAATTCGTATGACGTACTTTATTTATTTATTTACTTATTTATTTATTTATTTATTTATTTACTTCAAAGAAGCCACGTGACATTTAGCCTCACTGGGTCAGTCTACTGAGGAAGACGGTCAAAAGCTCTAGGTGAGAGAATTTTTTGTGTTGGATCTAAAGTTTTAACTCGAGACATGTAACTACCAACACAGATGAACTTTCATGGTACTGAGACAGAAACTGTTGGAGGGTCTTTCATACAACTTTAGGATGCTTTCATACTTGTAGTCTAAAAACATATAATGCTCTCTAACGAAGAAGAGATCAGGATTTATATGGAAAGTTACCCAGGACAAGGAAAAAGACATTTCTCATAACTATATATTTTTCAGCACCAGGGACAAAGAAGCACTAGGGACACCAGGAAATTAAAAAAAAAAGTGCCATGGGTGTTGGTGGTTGAATGTTTCCATGATTGCTGTGTACATGGGACAATAAATTCGGCAGGGTTAGGCAGGGAGGGTAAAAATAACACACAAAATGACAAGGTGATTTTACCAATCGCAAAGGTTGATGGGGAATGGGTGAAACCATCAGAAAGGGGGTGTTCTTCATAATTTACATAGGATGGTCCATCCTTTGACCATCACTGAGATGTTTGATAAAAAAGTCCATTGACAGAAAAGTGCTTGTTCCTATGCCTGAGATACCTAAGATAACTGCAGACTGACCTGCGTTGGCGTTGATCTTGGTGGTAGCACGTTTCCGTCTGCCTGATCTGGCAGACATTTTCCCCTTCAGGTTGGAGGTGCTTGGTTTGGTGGCAGTTCTGGCCGGTGAGGTGTCCTTCTGCTGGGTTCCCGCCAAACCGACCACTGACCCTGACGCTATGGTCTTCAACTGGAAGAACAGTCATTGAATACACTTGAATTCCAGTTATTAAGGATGACAAAACAACAACACCAGTACAAAGTACAAATGTAGGCTCACTAAATTGATCATACTCTTTCCTGTTACCTTCACAAAGAAGGTTATGTTGTTGTGAATTTGTTGATTCCGTTTGTGGTTTGACAGCATGACTCTAGAAACTGCAAATGGATTGATCAATTCAAAAGAATCTTACTTGGGAGTTTAAAGATTAATTAAAAAATACAAAAACTACCTGTAAAGGTACCGTAAAGATAAATCATACAAAACCAAAAACAATCATTGAATGCACATCCAAAACTTCAATTCACCCTTTTGATTAGTCGCGGTACACAATCTCTCGCTGTCTGACAAAAAACAATTATCACAGTTTCCGACCACTATTCTGTAATAACCAGTTTTAGCTTGACATTGATTGGTCAATATGGGCGCATTATGTAAATTAGCAGGATTAAATAATGTTCCAAATTTTCTTGACTTGGCCGATTAAATCTTCAATGGGGATGTCCAGAAGTACATGTATGCTAGAAGCATGATGCAGTCAGGCTATGATTTTGATAGTATATGTGTGACTATGTGATGCATCCAATACTAGGGTTAGGGTACCATTTAAATCTCACGAACATGCAAATGAGGTGATTTCTAACGCACCTTCCAGACCAGTTTGTAGTCATCACATTCTTGTACCCATACTGGGAGCTGGAACAACCTCTTCTCCAGGAACTTGGTAGGGTCCAGGTAGCCTGTGCCTTTCTTTAGGGCAAAGTGGATGTGGTTGTTGCACCCTGAATTCACCACTGTTCCAATGTGTTGTCCAGCAGTTACCTAATACAATTAACATCAAATTGTGTGTGAGACAATGTACATGTATACCAACTATTTTTCGGGGCTATGTATGACTGTAGTTACTTCTAGGTACAGACGTAATGTTTCGTGTGGCTGTAAAGTTGTTACCGATATAAATCAACTGTCAAAATCACCTCCCACCCACCATGAAACAGAAGCTTCAGTCAGCCAAATCAATACTTCCATGCCATTACATAAAAAGCAATGACAAAGGATGATTTATAATTACTGCAATGAATTAAAGGTTTTTGGCGACGCCTTTGGGGCGGAGGCATTTGTGCAAGTACTACGATCGCTTTGAAAGAATTTCAAAAATTGCACGAATGCATTCCCTAGGGAATTGGTTTTGAGGTAACCATAGGCCATGTGGTTTTTTGGACCAAGCAGGTAACTTACACCGGGTGCCCACGTGCCACCCATCCAGCTGCCTGGCATGATTAATTACTGGTCATCTGTCTTCTCCCCACACCATGGACAGAGAGCACAGCTGTCCACCTGATCAGGAATCTGACATTCCCTTCCCAAGAAAATTTAGGCTGGTGGGGGTGGGTTTATTCAAACAGAGTCGCCTTGGCAATGATTTTTATTGCCTCAGCCTTGTTACGTTTCTTTACCTCAGCTGTTTTGGCAGTAGCATCTGCGAAAACATCCGATTTCAGCTCAAAGTTCTCGACATACGCCGTCATCCCATTCACAGAGCTTCCTGTGCACTTGATGAGTACCGCTGTACTGCTCATCCTCTCTAGTGTTCCTGCAAATGGGGCATACACCTGGACAAATACAAAACAAGAGTGGTGTTTAAAAAATCACCTCGGCGATGTCTGCTTTGTTACTAAAGACAAATGCACCTGTCCAGTGAATGGGGAATGTAATATGCAGATACACAATGCATAAAGACAGACGAAAAGCAGCAGTATTGTGGCATAGAATAATATTATGGTCAAGGTGTCTTTTCTACAAACATAATATTGATGAACTGAAGATTTGGAGGACAATTGAAGGCTTGTACAATGAGCCAGATACTGACTGAGTCATTGATGTAAGGGTAATCTGTTGTATGATTTAACGAGGACAACAGCCTACCTCCTACTTTCAGTATATCGAACAAATTTTGGGAGACGACTATAACGAACTGTCGGCGAAGCAGATAGCCAACCGTACTAGCGACAAGGGGAAGTGGAGATCTCTTGATAATGATGATAGAACATTATCGCCCATATAAGACTATAATTATTATTTCAGGATCAACTCAGAATCCTTCTTTAAACTAATTAATATTTATCAGTCACAAGTTCTTCAATCTGAAAGAAATTTTGGGAACAGGAAGCAAGGATATATTTCAAAAGACATGACTTTCAATAATACCGAATGCAACATGATAATACCTTCAGGATTACCTGATTTATACTATGATACAAACTGTAATATCTTGCTAACCACTCAAACTTATATTGTTGACACCAAACGGTTTGTACTTGATTGATTTATTATATAGCCTACTAAACATTTCTTTGTACTACTTAACGACCCATCCCACCCACTTGCTGTTCTCTGTTTTTTGTTATGTACTGTAATTGTATTCTATGTTTGGTGGTGAGGCTAAAATTAGCTATAGCTAGAGTACCTCATCACCATGTCTTGTATTGTCCATGTCGAATTTGCAAATAAAAAAAAAAACATGATAATAACAAGTCCAAAACCATTACCCTATGTCCCACATCAGCTTGGAGGTCAACGCCCTGCCGGTCACCGTACTTTCCGTTATGGGTGGTTGGATAGAATCCTCCTGGACAACCACCTCCCTTCTCTACGTTTATCTTCCTCTGAAACTTCAAGCTGGCCCTGGGGCCAAACACACCGTCGTACGTGGCCCTGACCTTCACGTATCTGTTTGAAAAGACAAAACAATACTGTCTCTGTTTATGGAAAATAAAAGTAAAATTGTACTGGGAAAAGTAGAGCAATATGTATAATTTATATATACAACTTGTGGAATGGAAATCGAAATACTCTTTTTATTCTCTTTTATTTAGAGTATTCCTTCCCTCTCGTTTCTCACTCTCATTCTTTCTCTCTTAAATATGATTTTTTTTTCAAATTGTTAACCAAAGAATTTTGTAATATTAATTGTGCAAATCTCTTGAATATGATTAATTTTTTTTTCAAATTGTTAACCAAAGAATTTTGTAATTGTGCAAAATCATTTAGTAAATAGATGCAATTAACAAAAAAGATGCATCTTGTGGCTACTCAAATTTCAAAATAAAAAGAAGAATTTAAACTGCCACGTGTAGAAGCTTTCAGGTGGCATCGGGATCTTTCTTCAAATTTTAAATGTTATTTGTTGGTTTGACTTCTTTTATTCTATACAAATTGTACGTTGTAATTTGTCAAAACGTAACTTACTGTTCGTTCAGTAGGGTGTATCCTTCCTTGACAGCATTGATGATGTTTATCGCAGTGTCGAAGACAGGACGGAACCGGTCCGCGAGGGTTAGCAGTGGTTCTAGCGGCTCTTTCAGCCTGTCGACTACAGATTCCAGCTCATCTGCCATGATCTTTCGGAGTTTCGACTGGAGTAAAGAAATAAGTAAGAAATCAATATATATGTATATTATATATATTATGCATATAAAACAATTCTATCAAAGATTTCAGTAGCGAATTTAAAAAAAGGAGTTGATCATCAATGCAATTACAAAAATCATAATTATCTTTCAACAATTTAGTAGTGGATTTACTTCTTTGATGCCAGTGTACGCTCGGAGGGGGTCCTTCTTGGACTGCACGAGCCACGCGGCAGTGGCAGTCTTTGTGGCCGCGTATCCGTTGGTCAGGTTATCCCGTGCCTGCGTCACCATTTCATACGGATAGAACCAGTCGGGAAAGTGATCTGTGTAAAGAAAACATCGTGTTGGATCAGGACGGCGGCAGGTACCGACTTCTGGTCACCTTTGACCCACAGCTGATGTCACGTCACGAAAGTGGTTCAGACTGCTTCTTTGATTCTATATTCATTTCTGAATATTATAGGTTTATAGGTTGTAGGTTTTCTCCAAAAAAGACGTTCTGTAGCTCTACTACTACTACAGTATTGCTGTTTACTACTTAGTAATACAGTATTGCTGCACGACAGCCACTGATGTGATACTAATACATTACTGCTGTAATTCTACTAAATTACTACTGCACTACTACTGTACTTCTGTACTACTACAGTATTGTTGTACTACTACTACTACTACAGTATTGCTGTTACAGTACTACTTAATAATACAGTACTGTTGCACGACAGCCACTGATGTAATACTACTATGTTACTGCTGTAATTCTACTAAAATTAATACTGCCCTTACTACAGTACTTCCGTACTACTACAGTACTACTTTGCTACTACTACAGTATTGTTGTACTACTACTACTACTACTACTACTAAAGTACTACTTTGCTACTACTACAGTAGTGCTATAATATAACTGTACATCAAAGCCAACAATACTCATCATCAATACTCACTCCCTGGGTAAACAATGTTTTTCATCCGCCTCGCGTTGTCCAATATCTTAGCAACAGCCTGCTGCAACCTGATACAGAGAAAAGCAAATTATTTATTTATTTATTTAAATTGCCAACAATACAATGCAATACAGTGGAAGCCCTGGCAGCTGAGCTGATGTCGGGCCCCACATTATGAAATACATACATACATAATCATACACACATCATAACACAATAAAGTAACGAATCACAGAAATTTCTTATACCCTACAATCCATAACCTAGGCTAATGACAGTATATACAAAAAAGCACAGCAAATAAACGGACTCAATCAAAACAGAACCATTACACACCAGAAAATCAAAGATTTTATACTTCCGTAAAATACGCCGAAAAGTAGTTACTCAAGCAACTTGATATGGTTTTGGAAACGTACGGTCAGACCGTTCAGGTAGCTTCTGTCAAATGTGAGTTTTGGAGAATTTCATGTTTTATTCATTGTAAATTACTCTATTGCCTTCTATGCATTTCCAACTGGCAGCTTCTGGCCATGGGACCAAACTTTCCGTGTCTGACCTTTTGTGTTCTGTACTCAGGTAATCCCCCACTCACATGTTGTCACTTAACTGGGCAGCCACACAAGCAAACATGCCCAAAAACAATACCACCATTTTACAGAAGTAACAACTGATACGATTTGTCATTTTGAGCTCATGTATCGCATGCTATGTTTAACCTATATTGCCGCAAGCTAAATATCATATTCGAGGGAAGTTTTGCACGGCTGCATTTGTCCGCTGTTAAACAAGTCAGGATTACTAATTAAATGGAGGGTAAAGTGATGACTGTTACCTGAAGACAGCTTTGAAGATGTCTGCCAAGGCACCTTTAGGGTTGCTGAATACGTCGTCGATAGAGTCCACTATTGCTAGGATTGAATCCCAAATCTGGTCGACAGCCCAGGGTAGATCAACAGTCACTGTTTGCGTTAAGAGCTGAAAAATGTTAAACATAGATTGAAAAATCAGTAATATATTGCCATAATGATCGATAAATGTGCAATCTTTGATACCTTTTATACCTATTCTATAAGCATTTAGCTTCAAACTATGATACAGAATACGACATGTTGACTATTACATACATGTATGATTGAAGGAAACAAAATTACAGCGAATTTATTGCAATTGGATTTATCTGTACTCTTAAGTTATAAAATATAAGTTCTGATGAGGAAACGAAATTTGCTTACGTCATAGAATGTTAAGACGTCAGTCTTGATTTTGTTGATCTTGTTGATGACCCCATACACGGCCTTGACCAATGGCCGGAGGTGTACAGGCCACGCCTCCAGTGGATACTTCCCCGTCACATTCATGGCATATGTAACGACCTCACCAATACTCCAAACCTGGAAATCAAACAGATTACAGCTTGTATGCTTATTTTTGCTTTGTTTCTTCATCTTCTTTTTAAACACCTAACGTCAATGGCCTGAACCAGACGTCTGTCTCCATGGTGACTGGTGCTGTAGCAGATACCCTGCAATGTTGGGTTACATCATGTAGCAGGGCATAACTGGAGGGGCTGGTCACTATATTATATAATATAAATGTATTCATAAAATTACTGAACCGAGCAGTAATTTTTTTAGCTATGCCATGTAAATTGTGGTTTATTGTGGAACAACTCTATTTTAGTTGCCGACACGTGGGTGACAGCTATTCGTCCAGGAGAGGGTGGAGTACGTGAAACATCACAATACATCAACATGCAATTACATCAATTTACATTTAACTTTACGTACAGTTATTTATATGCGATGGTAAACATTATACATTTACTTTAAGCAAGTAGGCATACATGTAAATAGTTGTTAAGATTGTTATTGTTATACTGCTATTTAAGCTGATGTTTTGTATATAATTGTAGCTATTAAGTTTGTAATTGATTTATTTCATCTTTTAAGTGTAAAGGACTCCAGGAAGACTAGTAAACAAGCTTTGTATATATATGGAGATTCCTAATAAACATAAACATAAACTTTACAAATGTTACTTTCTAGTTCCAACATGCCTTTCCAATTAGAATTTTAGCCTCAGTACCTTGGACGGGAGTTCTTCGACCGAGTCCTTCAAGTCTTCAAACAACTGCTGGAAGTCGATATCGCCCGCTATGATATCCTGTAGGGCGGACACACCACGGTTGATGTTGTCGAAGATTTTGGTGATGATCTTGTCGAACTTCGTGGTCAGATCTGAGACACTGTTAATGTCGAATTCCTGTAGGAAAATGGTGAGTAGAAAGACTGTTACTATTACAAGCAACAGCAACTAACTAAAAGCATTGTTGGCACCAAGTTCAATTTTAAACTTTTAGACATTACTCGTTCAACCCTATCTAGGTTGAATCTTGTTCCATAAAATGTAATATTCCATTTTTTTAAAGGAATGTGGAGTGATTGGCCATGGTAATGACATATTGTTTAATACTAATAAGACTTTCTGTATGTATTTTCCATGTACTCGTTTGTCACTTCAGCTTCCATTGCCACCTGTAAGTCTATACGGTACCAACCTGAAGTACGTAAACTCATTTGTCTATTTGGGTATACACCTAAATACCACATTAAGTGACGATGATTGTGTACTTGCTATGCTGAAGAGTCTTTATAGTCGTGCAAACAGTATCAACCGCAAATTTTTCTGTTGCTCTCCATCTGTTAAGAGACACCTGTTTATGACGTATTGCGCCCAGCTATATGGCGCCCAGTTATGGAGCTCTGTAAGCTCTGGTGTTTTGTATAAGTGCAGAGTGGCTTATAATAATTGTTTTAGAATCATAATGAATCTGCCTCGGCGTTGCAGCGCGAGTGAAATGTTTGTCTGTAACTATATTGACACTTTTGAAACCAGGAGGAGGAGAATGTGTTATTCTTTTCTAAAAAGGTTATTTTCCTCCAATAACGCAACAATCTGTCGCTTAATTCATTCCGATGCCTTCTACAGGAATTCATTCTTTCGGAAGACCTACCATTTGTTATGCTTTTAGGTTTCTTCCTGTTTTACTTGTATGTCTGTAGTGTTTTTTTGTATTATTTTAATGATGTATTGTACATGTTATATGGGTTTTTTACCTGAAATAAAGAATGAATAAAAAATGCGAGAGTGCGTCTTTTGAACCCAGAATTTAGCATAAAAGGGAAAAGACTGACCTGTAGCAGGTTGAAACTGTACTCAGCGTGGCCCTTGAAACACAGCCGGATGACGTAGATGTCCAGGTTGATGTTCATGACGCCCAGATGCACACGTGCGAAGACCTCATCGTGAACGTCGACATCTACATAACCTTCCTGAGCCGCTGTAGTGTAATGCATTGAGAAGAGCAGATTAAGTCAACTAAGGTGCCAAGGTAGTCTTGTGGCTAGCGTTGTTGACTCTGAAGGTTTTGGGTTCAAATCCCTGACAGACTCCAATGCTGTGTCCTTGGGAAAGGCACTTTACACCAATTTCCTCACTTGACTTACTTAGTGACGTCCTCTATAACGTCCTGTATTTGAGGATCCATACCTATTAATAACAAATGTGCACATTAAAGAACCCACAACACTTATCAAAAGGAATGGGGTCTATGCCGGTGTGAGTGGATCATATTTTGAATTTTACAGTCTGGTCTTACAAACAGGACTGTGTTATGCCTAATGTTGGTTCACACCGTTTGCACGAAACAAAAACTAGGATTTGTCGATACTGTAATAGCAACAATGAAACATCATAGACTGCCAACATCGTTTTTCAAACTTGCACTTTTATCCCTTTTCTACTCTAACTTACCTGCGTACATGTCCAGGGCGTTCCTGATTATAAGACCAAATGACGCCCCAATTTTTGCAGATCCGATGATTTTCTTCCAGTCGCAGGCAGGGGACTCGATGTTGAACTCGATCGGGTCAAAAAGGTCATTAAGGCCTCTCTTGACCCGCTGATGCCCCGGCCTTGTCACGTTCTTTACACTGTAAACATTACAGAAATAATCATCAATTCCGGGACAGAAGTATTGTTTTGGGTGGCACTTATTAATGGCTGGGTTTGTATGTTTGGGTTCCAAAGTGAGTGGGTGGAGATTGAATTTCCTTGATTGACATGGTTTTATCTGGTATTAACCTTGGTTCAAGGAAGTGGTCTCCAGGAATGTATGAAACATAAGCCATGGTGTAATAGGGGAGTAAGTTTCATCATAGTTTTTTCAAGTTTTTCAAGTTTCATCATCATTTTTTTTTTCAATTTTCATCATCGTATGTATTGAGTAATGATGCATTCTACGAATTGAGTGTACTTCATAAACAACTACCTGTGATTGACATAGGTACGTTCATTTAACCACATTGAACGATAACTGTATATGACATCGTTTAAACTATGGCACCTACCCACGTACTATCATGGTAGAAGAAAAAAACCTACCACAAGTAAATTTACGTCATTTGTGACCTGGAATTTAGTAACCTGAAAATTCAGTACCGATAATTTTGAAAGTAAAGGTATATTGAAAGTTTTACCCAGGTCCAATGGGTCCCGTCCAGTTTTGGATTTGCTGCCCGTGCGGATGTGCCTGGTAGTACAGGTTGGCCTCGTACCGTACATGGGCGTCTTTGTCCGTCAGAGCAGACAGTAGCAGACGTTCTGCCGCCTGGATACCAAAGATGAAGAGAAACACTTATGAATGCGATCACCAAAGGCAAATATAATTATACTACCTAAAACAATCTCAGATACTTTCACTCTACTCATGTCATGTTCCGACAAAACTTCCCTGTACATAGGACAATATAATTAGAAGTATACATGTACATTATCATGTACATTATCATGTAGAAAAACGTAAGGCCAATTGTTCCATTACTATATCACCTTTTTGAAATAGTATAATGTTATTTTCGATACATAAGAACTTGTAAGCATTGCTGTAGACGTGAGAGTAGATGTTAGCTAGATATGTAGTACTGAAGAGTTTGCCATGCACTGCATCCATTGGAATTGTTGTGCAATTCTACGCACGCTACTGTTAGGTTAACCCGACCTCTTTATGATGGTAGTTCCTGAGGGCGTGAAGCCCCGCCCTCCGGAGTAAGGACGGCGCCGATGATTGGTTGACGTAGGACAGCAGGTGTTCGTAGGAACTCCGCTGGGCGGCGTTACCGAGCGCCTCCATCAGGGTGACTCGGCTGTGGTCCAACTCCTCCAGCTCCAGAGGTGTGAGGGTGGAACGCTTCTGTCTCTCCTTCCAAGGGTCTGTTGAAATAATTGAAGGTTCAATTTTTGAAAATGTACGAAGATGTATCAATTATTGCGTATCAAAGGTTTGCACATGTGATTTTCTGTGTCTGACCTTATGACCTCCTCTAATTCTGCCTGTCAATCTTTCCCATGTACGTCCCTTAAACTGTCCTTCGAGTTCATCCTCCATTATTTCCTGTGTGTAACCTTTTGAGTGTAACTTGTTGCTCTGCTTGTCAATCTTCCCTCCACCCACGTGCTATCAACCGACTCTATCCGTGTAAACAGACACACAAATCCAAAGCTCATTTTCTGTGCATAACCTATTAAGCTCCTGTCTCTCTGCTTGTCAATCTATCCTCCACGCACCTGCTGTCAACCGATTCTATCCGTACAGTCACACAAATCCAAAGCTCCATCACCCTAAAACCATACTTCCGTCCCCGGAAGTAAACGTGTGTCTATACATCCATAATTTTTGTAGATAGATGGTAGGAGTGAGACCTGTCTGACAGTTTATTAACCAACAAGAAATCCTTGTAAGGATGTCACCACGAAAAGTACCACACAGAGCATACAACAGCAGAAATCTGGACCCAAGGCCAGGGGAAGTCCTAGGAACATGGATAGAGAGTGTGAAGGACACCGTGACCATGTATGGCATGCCTGTAACAACAGCCTCCAGACTAGCCGTCCGCCACCAACTGCCCCTCCCCACGACACCCCAGACGGTAGAAGTGGACAGATAAAATAAAATGTGTTATTAAGCAAGGTCACTAACCGTGAAGGCCGAGGTTGTCCTCGAGGCGTGTCACGATCCTTCCCGCGACCCCCTTGCGTCCATGTTTGGCGAGATTCTCCGCAACGGCGCCCAGAACTAGCATGCATCGCTGTCGAACAGATTTGGTCAAGTACACTTCTGCAGAGGGGTGGGAAACAAAATCAGCATTTTATATAACATATGTCACTTAGACCTTACGAAAGTCGCTGTACTTTTTGTTGTGTCAATAAAGTTCTATGTCACTTGTAGAAAATGAAGACTAAGAATGACTGATTCAAAGGAGCATTGAATCTATAAATACACGTAGACTGATCCTACATCCGCGCCCAAAACGTAGAAATGCAAAATAAAAATGTGAAAATACATTACATAGCATGCAGCCACTCTCTCATTGGTCAAAACGTTAATTGACATGCTCTCATTGGTTGAACTGCTAATTCTGATGGACGGGCATAATAAGTCTGATAGTATGGGACAGGATTGTCACTCTCATAGAGAAAATAAAACACATACCGTCATAGTCCTCTGGATAGAAGGACACACTCTCCAAGAAGTCCACAAGCCTCTGAAATAAACAAGTTTTGAGTTTGGCGTTAGTTTTCTTAATAATTTATCCCTACGAAATTCAATATCATAAACCCCTCGATAAACCAGTTAGTGGGTTTCTGGGTTCTCCTGCACATTCCTTCTACATAATTAACTACAAACTGACTTGTTTTAAGTGCAAACAGACAATAAAAATTACATAAACAAACAAAACAAGGCTCACCTGTGGTGGCAGGCCGTCTATGCCCACGTAGTGGACCAGGACACGTTCTATGATCCTCCTGTCTGGTTCTTCCGACAGGAAGACGTAGTCCATGATTAAGTCTTCTGTAAAGTCTGTGTGTAGATCTGCCACTGCGTCCATCAGATGGGCCCGGTCTAGGCGCTTCGTACTGCAATAACGAGAATAAGACATACTATTTCTTGAGAGGGGTGAAGGAAACCAATGAAAACATATACATCAGGGCCCATCACCCTACATTGAACCGCGACGGGGGCCGACATCGTCTACCAGATACCTTTGATCCAGTGTTGACATCACACTTCAGAGAAGCCACGTGACAAGCTTCACTGGGTCAGTCTACTGAGGTCGAAGACCAGAGTGACTGGTCGAAAGCTCTAGGTGAGAGAATTTTTTGTGTTGGACCAAAAGTTTTAACTTTAAACAATAAGACATACAGGTTACATGACTTTCCTCACTTTATCCAGGTGTAAAATGGGCACCTGAATTTGGTTGAGAGGTAAAAGGTGGTGGAAAGAGAGGAATGGGCCCCACTTTCCAAATGAATGGATTTATTTATTTATGAATGGGTTAACAACTCTTTGCCTTTACAGCCTCAAAAAGGCTAAGAGGCTACCTTTATTCATTATTGGGACAGTCATGCTGAGCATGTATCCTATCTTGTCTCATCTCTCGTCAGATTTTATATCTCAAACCTGTACACTGATAACCTCTACTGATATAGATTTGTAAATGTTCTAGCAGCACGTTTTTGTATTTTTCATGACTGTTTGCTTGTTTTTATGTTTGAACCTTGATTGTTTCATGAGATAAAATCGACCTACAGGCCACTTTTCCTTGTGTGCGTTTCCTTGATTAGTGATTATAATATTTTTATATTAATATGTTCTTGTTGACAGGCTTTGAAAACATGGTAACAACTGTCCTAACATACCCTCTATTGTTATGGTGAAGCTTGATAAATAAATAAACAAACAAACAAAGAGATATATGATACCAAAGTGTGAGGTGACCTACATCCACACAAAAAGACTGAAAAACCCTTTCTTACAAAAGGCAATATGCCTGTACAACGAGTCATTGTAGTAATGAATTTCAAGACTCTCTGGACTTTACTTCAGTGCCCATGCATGTGTGGCTTTGTAACATGTTCGTTTGTGTGTCTGTATATGTATTGTCATGTTAATGTGTATTTGTATTTACTATGTACAAAATTGCAAAAAATCAGTGTTATTCAGCTTGGTTGACTTGTGAACTGGCTGCAAGGCTGATTTTATTAATAAAAGTTGAAACTTGAATCCAGGCACATGCACACGCACTACCTTACACTAGTACTACCAGTCACCGCTTCTGAACTTCAGCTGAACCCAACGTGTAAAGTGGAACATTCTAGGTTGTAATGAATGTGTTGACAGGTGTATCATATCCCTCTGGTCCTTTTCAGCCATCTGTGTGTTCTATATCAAGTTGTCTTTGCTATTGATAGGTTAGGCCACAATGTCGACAGGTTATGAATACACTATTGTACAGGGCGGTATAATTACACTGTTTACGTAGCCCCTTGGAAAGGGGTCGCCTTTGCTAGCACCGCCGCTAGTGACAAAGGTGACATAGAAAATAAGCAAACGCGATCTCTTCTGTTTAAGAATTGTGTTAAAGAAACAACATAGAAGCATGGTGTGTACATAGCATTAGCTTTTGCCTTCGTAGTAAATGCCTTTGTGTGGACATTTTTTTGGTCAGATATGTGTTCTTTAGTCCTTCTTTGTAAGTTTTGTAAAGACGGATGCGCATGTTTGCAAGAAGACAAAGGAGGCTTACATAAGGGCCCGGACACATAAGTTGACATAAGTTGAACGAATATTGTACGATCGTCATCTGAAGGTGTTCTTGTGATAGTCGTGTTAGCAAAACCCAGCTTTCTTGTTACGGTGGTTAGTTCTGTCATAACATGCTAAAAATGTTACAACATCAAAATCCTACAACAACCTACAACGAACATGACCGCAGGGTAAAGATACATTGGTCAAATGAGCACAAAAAATTCAGAGAGTCTCTTTCAGTACTATTTGACATGTAGCTACGAAAATACTACGTCGACGAAAAATCCGGGTAATAAAATAGTTACTGTAGTAACAGTTACTCGAGCAACTGAAGTTACTACTTACGCCAAGTTGGCCAGGGGTTGGTTGAAGTAGGAGTCAACCACAGAGAGCAGGTCTTCGTTACTGAGTTTCCCAAGGGTGTCCTTCAGACTGGTATAGCAAGCAGTTATGCCCTTCTTGGTGTGAGCTATGCAACAAATTCAATAAACAAAATTAGTTGCTTCCCTAATATTAGTCTTGATTCAGTGCAAGATCGGTGTATCAGATCAATCAATATGCTGTTTATCTGTATCTGCATAGCCAGTGTATAGCTGCCTTTTGGCGTAACACACCAGTTTTGCAGGCATTTCAGTGAGGAAACATTGAAACATGCTCAACTCTGTAAACGTATGTTGTATATATATTATGGATTCTTTTTTATTAAAAACTTTAAATCACTCACCATTCTTGCTGGCAAGTTTCCTCAGACACACCAGGTCCTTTTTGATGAGTTCTTGTGCGTACGTCAGGTTCAACTGTGGCCCGTGAGCAGTCTTTGTACGATGCTGAAATAACGTAACAGTTCAGTTATTAGGAGCCATGATGTAGTATGGGGGAGAGCCTATAAGATAAGCCACCAGGCTTCCTGCCCTCCCATGCACGTCTATTTATTGCTCAGTTGTTATGTTTTGTTTTATTTGTAAGTGCAAAAACAATAACAAACAAACAAACAAACAAACAAACACGTACATGTGTGACGTGCAGCGTGTCTTCTCGCAGATCGGGTGGAGGAGTGGCCGGTTTGGTGTGCCTCAGTCCGATCAGTGTGAACTCGGACTCTGCGTTAGTAGACATCTCTGGGAGGTCTGAAAGTGTGTTGTGCGTGTTTGAAAATAGTGCTTCAAATCCTTTGAAATCCTGACACACACACACACACACACACACACACACACACACACACACACACACACACACTGTAACAGTCACACATACAAACATACAAATACGCGCACCGCCCTATGCACCATATATAGTTACAATTAAATTTACAATGTGTATAGAATACATCATAAAGCTTGTTTTTGCAACAATCCAGTCAGCACTACGTACTGACATCGTTATCCTCAAATACAGACATACAGACGGAGGACTCTACAGACTAGCTGAGCCACTATCCACCGAGATATGAGTAGGGAATCTGCATAAAGTGACGTCATGTGAGATGAGGTGGCTTCAATCCTTAAAAAACGGCGGACAATTGGGATAAGTAAAATTCTTTGTGTTCTTGTTTTTTTCTGAAAAAAAAACGACCTAATCTTAGCTAATAAATTAGTGATATCATTTTGTGTCTTCCCATACACACACAACATGGCCAAACTTACCGACGTTATCCGGTTCGTTGACGAACTGTCCTCCCCTGGTGCCCTCGTGAACATCAAACCCCGGCTTGGCCTTCCGCGGTGACGTCACCTTTTCCTTGATCCGCACACGGTGAGGAACGTCCCCGTCATGCTTGATGTAGATTTCCTGTCAGAGATAATTAAATTAGAATTGTAGCCAATCAAGGGATTTAAGGGTAGCGATTTTTATGTATGACAGGCCATCCGATGTAACGTCAATGTTTGGTCGTGTGGCGTAGTGGCAGAGTGACTCGGAACCAACAGAACCCGGGTTCGAGTCCTGACATGCCACCGATCTTGTGCCCTTGGGAAAGGCACTTGACACGACTTTCCTCACTTCGCTCAGGTGAAAATGAGTATTGTTACTTGTTCCCTGTCTTGGTGGCGGCATTAGTATAAGTTGAAAAAAACTTGTGTGTGCCGTCACCACGTCTTGTGATTACATGTTGGAATATATAAAAAGTCACTGTTTTGACGAGGTCACAAGTGTGGTTTTATTGCATAGAATTTGTGACAGAACCAACAGCCGACAAGGATCAATTAAGACAACTCACGTTTGCAGAACATCTACAAGACTGTCCCAAGAATGCATCGGTTTGCGATCGTACGATGATCGTACGATAAATGTGACTGGCTAGAACCTACCTTGTGCATTCTCGTATCCTCGGAATCAAGGCCGATGCTGGGGTGTCCCTCGCGGATTTTGGTGAACTTGAGTCCATCCTCGTGCGGTTCTGCACTGTACACCGCTTCATGTTCACCTGTAGGACAAATATTGCAAAGCATTCAATGATGATTTATGCATTGATAACAGATAAGCTTTATTTTATATTCATGCCTGATCGGGCTAAGTACAGGTACACAGATGAAAAGGTTTGTAGCACCAATTGACTACTGATGCTAATTTAACTACATTTAGCTCTAAAACTACTCTCTTACAGTAGTTCGATCTCTTTTCGTTTCTTTGTGTCTTTTTGTTATGTTAAAAATATAATTGAAGTGGGTTTGTTTAATACAGGATGATCAAAGTGCACAAGAAAAATGTGTGTGTGTGTGCGCGCGCGTATGTGTATGTGTGTGTGTGTGTGTGTGTATGTGTGTGTGTGTATGTGTGTGTGTGTGTGTGTGTGTATGTGTGTGTGTGTGTGTGTGTGTGTGTGTGTGTGTGTGTGTGTGTGTGTGTGTGTGTGTGTGTGTGTGTGTGTGTGTGTGTGTGTGTATGTGTGTGTGTGTGTGTGTGTATGCGTGCATGTGGTGATCTCCAGGTTTTAATTCCCAGGCTTTAATACATCCATGTTTACATGACCATCAACAAAAGCTCCAGCTTTACCGCATTAAGACCGGCGATGTCGCCGGACCCAAACTACATTGTCGTAATCCCCCTTAATCACTGTCATCCTACTCAATAGACAGTGTTATCTAAACAGATTCTATTGCCCGGCATTGACAGAAAGGTTGACCCGATGTTATCGATATGCACCAACGCCCACCCCGATGTCAATAGGCCCATTATATAGGTCACAAAGAGGTGAAGGTAGCCACGGGCTTTGTTGAATGACCCCCTTAAGACCCGTCAGATTTTTCAGCTGCGTCATTACAAAAATGGGATGGAACTAACGACCTACCGGATACAGTGCGAGCACTCTACCCAATTTGCCATTGTACTAAAATATAGAAAACAATGAGGACAAAAACATTCAACTTTTACCACCCAAGTTTAAAACCAAAAAAGGACCAAACGAGAATCGAGAATCAATCGAGAATTTCAGAACCTCGATGAAGTACAAATGATTATCTAGAGTTGTTGCGAATTCCTTATCTTATTCAATATTGTGAATTCCTTACTGATTCTGTATGTGCATTTTACCCACCAGGATTCTATAATGGAACATATACGAAAAACGACTTCAAAATGACGACAGAAGATGTGGTAACCATTCACTTCCTCCCAACCTGCAGACTTTTGGTCTCTAATTTGACCTTCCTGCCAGTCTGTGATTGGCCAACTTCTTATCACTCTACTATGTTGAAATAACTACGGGCAAACAAACAAATAAACAAACACACCAGCCCTGATAAATGACCTTGTCCCTAAACACAAAGAGGTGCGGCAGGTGACACGCCAGTCAAAATCCCATCACGAAAACACTCTGGTGGTCCCTGTCTCCCACACCAACAACCATGTGAGAACTTTTGTACCAACAACTGTTAGGCTCTGGACAGTCTTCCAAGGGAGATCGCTATGATCAGGGACAGACAAAGATTCAAACGTGAAGTTAATTCTTTCCTCAGCGCAAAACTGTGACAGCGTTCTGTCTACTAACTCAGGCAGTCTTGCTGCTAATGCTGAGTGAGAGCTGACATAGATTAAAAAAAAATCCGTACACAGAAAGGAGATAACTGTTCTCTCTATCCAGTACCAAGTGAGAAAAAAAGTATTTTACAATGCTACTCATGACAAACTGATGTCACTGCTAGAAATGCAATGGGAAGGGACTGTTGTGGGATACTGGCTAGAGGATCATTCGACAGACATAACAATGTAAACTTTAAAAAGCAAGAACGGCGACGTAGCGTCTAACTGTTTTCTTTTAACAGTGTTTAGATGTACTGGGCGGTCTACCATGGCACAGAGATGGTCTTATACATCATTGCCAGCCGCATACAGGTGTCAGGGCATGAGAAAAACAAACCATTGGCGGGAACCTGATATATTTTCGTGCGTTTGCAGGCGACAGGCCGAATGAATTGACTTGTTTACTTTGGCAGCAGTAATCTCACGTGTCGCCAGGCGTGGGGTTGTGTTTCACGTGTCCCAAGCATGGTGTCAGCTAGGCCTGTGCTATCGAACTGTTATACATGTACTACATAGTACAATGTACTAGCAGATGCAAAGAGAAGGCGACGAAAGGCTGCAGTCACTCAGCCGACAGCAGCAGTGACGTTCACATGCCCGTGCTGCCGTAGGACCTGCAGGTCGAGAATTGGACTGCGCAGCCACATGAAGGCCTGCAGGGGACTGACTTCCTAAGCATCTTCGGACACGAAGAAGAAGCCAACAACAACAACATAGTACAATGTAAATGCAAGCCTTCTTTCCATCGATCTACTAGACTTTGAGACTCATTCTTGAAGCATTTCACAAGCAAAGAACACCTCAATTATTGTAAACAAGGCCTAATTAGCCTCTATATAACGAGATGTCATAGCCCCACCTATCTCTGTCAAAACGTAGGTATCCAAACTTAACGTACAATATGCAAATATTTGACGAACGAACATGCACACTATCATTGGTTAAGCTGCTAATTACCTTGCTAGCATTTGGTTAAACTGCTAATTGTGATGAATAGTCCGGATCGGTCTAGCCTGCCACTGCCATTGACCATGTTTTTTTCCACATATTGTGATGCACATATAGGCTTACATGTACTGAGACTTACAAAGTGTACTCAGCAACTTTATATAAAAAGATACAGTGCCAATTGTTCAGAGAAAGAAGTTTACATCTGTGACCTAGATAGAAAAGTAAGAGGCATGTTGAACCATGTAAGAGCGGTTCAGTTCACGGCATGGGCGCTCTTTAAACCAGTACGAGCAAATACAATCGGAACCCAGACTGAGCCTTCATGCTACGACTTTCTATGGTGGCCGGTTACCACATAGTGTAACATTACACCAGTCAATTGTGTAGAGCCAAGCCCTTGTCACACATTCAGAACCTTCCCCCGAACACCAGCCGACCAAACTTGGCCGAGGGTCGGGAGCAGACTGACGAATTGAATCGAATTTGAGTTAAACTTAAGTCAAATTTGACCGCCAACATCGCCCAGATCAAGGGTGACGCATGTCCAATTTTTGTCGCTCAGTGATTGTGGTCTAGTGGAATGGGGGTCTTGGCACTAGTTCTCTCTTAGACCACAGCAAGTAAATTTTGTTGGATGACATCCAATTCCAAATCTAATGCGAAAGGGTGAAAAAAACAAGGCGGATCGAAAAAAACAAGATTCCTAGTAGTACATTTTAAAATTTTGACTCAATCATTGTACAAATGGTTTTGATTCAGTGAGAACATCACATATACACAGCCAGCATCACATATCAATGCATCAAAGTAAGAAACAAAACATTAAATCAGAGCCCTTTTTTGTCTCCTCTCTTTATAGTTATCTGCCATCCACCTTCCGGCATGGCAAAAGACATCTTTGCCCATTTTCGGCATGGTGGCCACTGTCAGAAGGCAACTAAATTTCTTGTGTTTTTTTTTTCAAAATCAGGCGAAAATCAATGCGCGCGCTGATGTCATCCATAAATATTACTTGCTGTGGCCTTAATATAAAACCAAGAAAGTTTCTTACAACGTACGATCTCTGTGCGATTGCAACTTTACCGTAAGGAGGCCGTACTCACACGTGCTTCTTCCGCACGGCACGTACGGGGCACGCACGTCGCTCGTACTCGCACGCACGGGCGATGAATCCGCAGACCGCACGTAGAAAAAGTTTTACATCCACTTAAAGTTCTACGGCGTGTCTGCGTGCTCCCAAATCCATAGGATTCCGTACGGAGGTGGTACTCACCACGCACGGATACCCTACGTTTGCCCACGTTTTTGCACGTAGACAGCACGCAGAAGCACGTACGGCGGGTTGTGACCGTCGCTTAAAGGAGTACAGTTTTTTTTTCAAAGCGGCAAACTGTTCTCTACCCTTGCAAGTTATTCCAATATTTGGCCTATTTCTACTGTTTACAGCCACCTTTGAACCCTGGTAGAGGCTAGAGTTACATTGTAGATATCTATGGTAGTGTTCTACAAAAAGTTTCCAGCCTTTTATAGTAAAATATGCAGATGTTGCTCACCTTCGTGACCAGTTTCATTGGTGATGTAGTTCCACTTGTCTTCGTTCGGTCTGCCCACCTCGTGGTTATGGTGCAGTTTGGCAGCTAAGAAGCTGACTATTCCCTTCTTGATGTTGACGACCTCTACCACCTCACCAGGCGGGTACCACACCCGGGATATCTCACCACGGCCAGAGATCTCAAACGAGAACCTGGAATAGAGACACAAGTACATGTACCGTCGTATCTTTCCATTCTTCCTCTTTCTGATGTCTAATTCTCTAGATCATCTTAACAAACTCCAAAGAGAATTAAGTTTCCTGTCTGTTCAGAAACTGGACAAACACATAGCTATGGAAAATAGTCGCATGTCACAAATTGTATCATCTTATTATTCAATTCCATTCTTCTTTTTGATAGAGTTCCTTTGAATAATTCTATTACATTTCTTTAGAAATTTTACACAGAATTGCAAAGACCCATTTTCATGGCATCAACAAGAATACACAAAGACAAAAAACGGTATGAAAAAGATGTTCCATATCTTTACTAAATAATTAGGAATTTATTTACAGCTAACGAATTTCAGTTAGAGCTTCTCGTATATA